CTACCAATTATCCTTTTCATTCTTTTTTTGTAGGGAAAGCAACGAGGCAATGGCTGGAAAAGGTCGGGAGCAGCGGATTTATGCATGGGCAGAGAGACTCCTGGTGGTTGACATTTAAGCTGCCACAAGGACTGTTAAGGGATGGGAGCGGTGTTCTGGGGATATACACTTGTCGGCTCGAAAAAGTTGCGACGGGATATGTCTATAATACGCGGGCACTATGCTATGTAGAATCAATTATTGGCAATGTGTCGTTGCTTAACCGTACATGACAATGCATGGCATTTTGTAATGAGTGATGGTGATGAAGGATGCACGGGACGGGAAAGACGGCCAGGAGATATGTCCTGATGGAGCAGGTTGCCAGCGCTCGGAGGGTTACAATGGACAGGATGCCCTCCCCGCCGTTGAGGGAGGTGACTAGCGGGCACGCGACTTTCCTATCTCGATGACCGGATAGATAGTGTAGACAGGATAGGGACCACATGACGAGGGTTGTTGATATGAGGAGTCCGGGGTTACGCGGTAGAGAAAAGGGGTGGGATGGGATTGGGTTGGATAGGGCAGGAGAGAGCGCCGGTGACGTTTGTTGATGTTGGAAAGAAGTCTCTCTAACACGAGGCCAAGAAAAAAGCATGGCAAGAGGGACAGGATACCAAGGAGTTGTTATGCTATACAGGTAGGTAGTGAGGTATGTGAGGTCACTCGGCACTCAATGGGATAGTCCCGGACCGAGATTTTATTCTACAAGGGCACGCGGACAGAAAGGACGCCTAGCATACCTATCTAGGTAGGTAGGTAGGGAGTGCAGGTATTCGTAACTAGGTATCCGTACGGATGATTTACTGCGTAGATAAAAGAAAGCAAGAGCGGGATCCCGTCTTCTCCACTCTTCAAATGCTGTAGGTACAGGTACGTACATTACCCCACCCAGGCAGGAGATAGGAAGGTACGTACGGAGTACCTATACGGATAGACAGACACTCAACACAACAGTAGGTAGCCAGGTGCCCCGTCTCTTCTCGCATAGAAAAGCACATGACGCGCCCGAAAAGGAAACGACCATTCTCTGCTAGGTGAGTGGGAGAGGTTGCATGCATTCGGCGGCCTGCTGAATCGGGATTTAGGGTGTTGTCTGTCCCGTCTCTCCGAGTCGTTATCATCTGCGCATACCGCCGGGGACACAAAAAGTAAGTACGGGATCGAATGGGACTTTCGGCGCTGATACAACTTTGATTCCCTAGTATCAGCACGTCGCCAAGGACACACGCTGCGAGACCAAAGGTCGAGGGCCACATGCCGCCGTGATGGCTCAGTCCGCCACGAGCTGGAAGCTTTTTTCCCCCAGCACAACCTTCGAGCCCCGGAAACCCACCAAGTTCACGACGGCCTGCTCACCACCAAATCGGCAATCATCCTGCCGAAAGGGTGTCCATCTTGGATGTCCTTTCCCCTCGGTTGGACCAGGACTGGCCGGCATGTGTGTGCCATTTCACTCACGGTACGGAGCACCTAGCAAACCTAACGTCCAAATTAGGTACCACTTCCCCCGCATCCTGATGGCAGCCTACCACTTTGTCTAAATCCAATCAGACGCCGATATCACCGGGCGCCATGTGACGCAACATTGCAGCCGGCTGGGCAATTACAGCCTGCTCCTCTCGCCCCACTTCTCCCCAGGCTCGACTATCGCCGTTTGCTATCGAGAACTGGTTAGTATCGCCCGGCTCGCTCGCGGGCGTGTCTCTCTTTCTTGCCATTTTTCAATATTGACATGTATGGTCACCCTCGCTTGAGATATCCCCCCTGCCGTCCAACCCATGTCGCACACTACTCAAGCACGGCGCGGGCAAATCATTGTGCCCGAATCCTCGGCATACCTTCCACTTCCTGCGGCACTGGCATCCCGATGGTCAGGTACCCGTCCTGTTTATGCTTGTGTACGCGGTAGGCAAGGGAGATCGATTACTTTCACTAGCTCCAAGAGATCCCATAGGCAGGGGAGGGGCGAGATGCCATGTTCACGAGTTCAGTTCCTCGACGATGGGTAGAACATTATAAAGAGCGGGCAGTTGGTCGCGCCTTTAGGCTCTCGAGTTCTGGGTAGTCAAGCTCAAGCGACGCCAATCTTTCACGATGCCTCGTTACTCTCGCTCCGGGCTCGACATGCCACGGCGCTCCTTGTTCGCCGTGTTTGCCCTCGTTTCGTTTGTGCTTCTTGTCACCATCGGCCTCGCCACGCGCGGATCCCACCAGGGCCCCAAGTTGCGGTTTGAGCGCAGCGACGATGGGAAATGGCATGCCAAGGCTAAGGCCAAGACCCGTGCTGCGCCCGCTGGCGATAAGTACCTCGTCGGCGCCGGCAAGGCCGACATCACCGGCCCCGTCGTTGAGGTCGGGTTCGCCGGCTACGCGGACCTGTCCCAGGTGGGCACGGGGCTGCGCCAGCGCATCCACAGTCGCGCCTTCATCGTCGGGGACGTGAACAACCCGAGCGATCGGTTCGTGTACCTCGTCATGGATACCCAGAGCGGCGACACGGCAGTCCGGAAAGGCATCATCGAAGGCGTGCAAGCGCTTGGGTCCGAGTACTCCGTCTACAACAAGAACAACATTGCCGTGACGGGCACCCATAGCCATTCCGGACCGGGCGCATGGTTCAACTACCTCCTCCCGCAGATCACCAGTCTGGGTTTCGACAAGCAGAGTTACCAGGCCATCGTCGACGGCGCCGTGCTCTCCATCAAGAGGGCCCATGAGTCCCTGACCGAGGTATGTCGGCCCCCTCTCCCGTAGTACAAAAATCGGACCAACTAACTGATGCTGACAGGGTTACCTCGACGTGGGCACCGCCGAAGTCGCCGACGGCTCCATCAACCGCAGCCTCTGGGCCTATCTCGCCAACCCCGAGTCTGAGAGGGCCAAGTACAGCTCCAGCACCGACACGACCATCACCCTCCTCCGCCTGCAGCGCGCCTCGGACGGCAAGAACATTGGTCTGCTGACATGGTACCCGGTGCACGGCACCTCGATCCTGCAGAACAACACGCACGTGGCCGGCGATAACAAGGGCGTCGCGGCGTACCTCTTGGAGAAGGACCTCGCGAGCGACGCGAGCGCCGCGCCAGGCTTCGTGGCCGGGTTCAGCCAGGCCAACGTCGGCGACACGACGCCGAACGTGCTCGGCGCCTGGTGCGACGACGGGAGCGGTCAGCAGTGCAGTCTGGAGAACAGCACGTGCGCCGATGGCAAGAGTCAGTCGTGCCACGGCCGTGGGCCCGCCTTTGACAAGTTGGACCTGGGCATCTCGAGCTGCTACGAGATTGGGAGACGGCAGTATGCCGGTGCCAAGTCGGGCTATGTAAGTCATCTATCTCGGGCGACGTGAGTGTGGAAATCGTAGCTAACACCGTCAGAACGCCCTGGAGTCTTCCTCGACCCAATTGTCGGCACGAGCGTCAAGTCCTTCCACTTCTTCCACGACATGTCCTTTTACAACTTCACTCGCGCCGACGGCACCGTGGCCCAGACATGCCCCGCGGCGCTGGGCTACTCCTTCGCCGCGGGCACGTCGGACGGCCCTGGCGCGTTTGACTTCACGCAGGCCGACTCGGGCAAGCCGGACGCCAGCCCGGTGTGGGCGGTCGTCTCGGGCCTCCTACGCACGCCGACGGCCGAGCAGGCCGCCTGCCAGCAGCCGAAGCCGGTGCTGTTGGATGTCGGCGAGATAACCGTGCCCTACGCCTGGAGCCCTAACATCGTCGACATACAGATGCTCCGCGTCGGGCAGCTGGTGATCGTCGTCGCGCCGGGGGAGGCGACGACGATGTCCGGACGGCGGTGGAAGGACGCCGTCAAGGAGGCTGCCAGGACCATTGTGGACGACGAGCCTCTCGTCGTGCTCGGTGGCCCGGCCAACACCTATGCTGTAAGTGGCACCCCACCCCCTCGATCCATCAGAGCGAATGAATCCCGGCTGACAACGATGGCGACGGTAGCACTACATCGCTACGCCTGAAGAATACGGCATCCAGCGCTACGAGGGCGCGTCTACCCTCTTCGGGCCCAACACGCTGCCGGCCTACATCAACCTCACCGTCTCCAACATCGGCTACCTCGCGCCGGCCTCTACCTCCACCCCGCCCGACGGGCCCTCGCCACCAGACAACCGCGACAACTCACTATCCTTCATCACGGGGGTCGTGGCGGACGGGGTGCCGATCGGAAAGTCGTTTGGCCAGGTGCTCACGCAGCCGGCGGCGTCGTACACCCGCGGCGCCGTCGTCAACGCGACGTTCCAGGCGGCCAACCCGCGCAACAACCTCCGGCTCGAGGGCACCTACGCGGCGGTCGAGCAGCTCGGGGCCGACGGCCAGTGGACGCAGGTGCGCAGCGACAACGACTGGTTCCTCGTGTATACATGGACGCGGACGAACTGGCTGCTGGGCTACAGCGAGGTCGTGGTCAGCTGGGAGACGGGCGCGGACGACGGAGCCGCGCCGGGGACCTACCGGCTCAAGTACTACGGCGACTCGAAGCCGCTCATCGGGAGCATCAGCGCGTTCGAGGGGACGAGCGGGAACTTTACGTTGCTTTAGGGGATGGGGCCAATCGTTGGGTGGTGGGAGCAATGATATATGGTAATGAATGAGCGGGCGGTAATGCCGATGACAGCTAGCGACCTATGGATACCTTAATGCTATGACTTTCTTGTTTGCGTCTCGAAGATGAACAGTAAATATGCTGTGTGGTTTCCCCCTCTGCTGGCTTTTATACGTATCGTTTATCAAAGACACCGCCACAGTCCGTCATGTGGAAAGGTGTATCGCAGTCTCACACATGTATTCCTGGTTTCCGAATATGCACGCACGAATATAAGTGGCCGAAGCAAAATTGTACGCTGCCTTTGAACTCCGCTTTTCCGCTTCTTGAATCAAGCAAATGCTACGTCAAAGCTGTTTTACAGTTTTACTTTTTACCCCCCCCCCCCCCAAAAGATATCATACAGCAAATCCTCCCGAGTTCTTCTGTCTCGGCTCACCCGCCGCCTCGAAAGTGCCGTTCGGCAACAGTCTCACGCCCTGTGCCGTGCTACCGCCAGGCGCAACCCAGGTGACGTTCGTCCCCAGCGTCTGGAGGTAGCTGGTCGTGGCGTTGTCGTAGGCCCACTCGAAAGCGGCCGTATTGGGGCTCAGCTGGTCGTGGAAGCGGGGCTCGGCCAAGGCCTCGGCCGTCGTCATGTTCCTGTCGAGGACGTTGTGGATGTTCTGGATGGTGGCGGTGATGATGCGGCTGCCGCCGGCGGAGCCGATGACGAGGTACAGGTTGCCGTCGGGGTGCTCGACGATGACGGGGGAGATGGACGAGAGGGGCCTCTTGCCGGGGCGCACGAAGTTGGCGGGGCTCGGGATGTAGCCGAAGGCGTTGCTGGAGTCGGGGATGCTGAAGTCGTTCATCTCGTCGTTCATGATGACGCCCGTCTCGGGGACCATGAGCTGCGAGCCGAAGAGGAGGTTGATGGTGGTGGTCAGGGAGACGGCCATGCCGCTGGCGTCGGCCACGGCGACGTGCGAGGTCCCCGGCGTCTCGAGCGACTCGATGCCCTCGGGGTTGTACCACGACGTGTTCTGGGTGCGGACGTCGGAGATCTTGGAGCGGATCTCGGCGCCGACCTCGGGGGACAGCATGTCCTTGGTGTACGCCGCCAGGCCGTCGACGAAGGACGGGTCGCCCAGCTTGGTGCGCTGGCCGTACGCGAAGCGCATGGCCTCGTCGATCCGGTGGACGGTCTGGTTCCTCGCCGCGGGGTCGCCGAAGCCCTCGTACCCGCTGACGATGTTGAGGGCGCTCAGGGCGACGACGCCGCCGGACGGCGCGTTGCAGGCCGTGAGCTTGTACCCCCTGTAGGAGATCTGGGCGGGCTCCCTGACGGCGACTGTGTAGTTCCTGAGGTCCTCCAGCGTCATGATGCCGTTGGACCTCTGCAGGGCCGCGATGGTGGCGTTGGCGAGGGAGCCGGTGTAGAAGGCGTCGGCGCCCTCTCTGGCGATGACGTCGAGCGTGTCCGCGTAGCGCTTGCGCGTCATGGTCTCGTTGAGCTTGACGCGGTCGCCGTTGGGCGCGAAGTCGACGGCCCACGACGGGTCCTCGGTCAGGAAGTTGCCGTTCGGCGTGACGCTGTCCATGTATCGGACCAGGTCCTCCGTGACGCGGAAGCCGTTGCGCGCCACCTCGACCGCCGGCGCCACCACTGTTGCCCAGGGCAGCTTGCCGTACTTCTTGTGCAGGTGCTCCAAACCACGCAGCTCGCCGGGAACACCGCTTTCGACATGTCAGATAACCCCGTCTGTAGAGGGTTCCGAACGGGAACCGGAGGGGAGGGAAGGGGGGGAGGGGGACTTACCTGGCTAGGCCTCCGTATATGCTTGCGCTCTTGTTGTTCCTGTACATGTCCTCGAAGGCGGCGGCCGGGGCGGTCTCTCTGAAGTCGATGAACTCGTAGGTCCCGTTGCCCGACCGGATGAGCATGAAGCCGCCGCCGCCGATGCCGCTGTGGTACATGCCGATGACACCGACGCAGAGGACGGTGCCCACCGTCGCGTCGGCGGCATTGCCTCCCTCCTCGAGGAGGTCGGTGCCAATGCGGCTGCAGACACTGGACTCGGATGCGACGGCGCCCAGCTTCGGGATGGTGCTCTGGCTCGGGGCCGCGAGAGAGGGCTGCGCGATGCCGAACAGCAGCTGCACGAGGGCAGCAGAAGTCAAGGAGAGCTTCATGACGGGCTGGCGAGGGCCTATGCGAGAGAGCTGTGCTACAAGGTTGGGAGAGCGGGAACGAGCTGGCTGGCGTCAAGAATGTTGACAGGCGCGCCCAAGCTTTAAAGTAAACAAGACCCGGATGGCGCAATTGTCATGGGGGCAAAGCTCACGCCGATCTCGTCCATGGTTCCGACTCAAGTCGTGGACCTGGTTGGGCTGTGGAACGGTCCATTTCGGCAGCCCGCAGGGCGGTGATGATGATGACCAACGGTTGGTCCGCCCTATCGCAATCGGAACCGAGAAGCAGGCATGCCTCGGGACAACACAGGCACGCAGATAGGTAATAGTAGGTATCATGTATGTGTCGTATGCCCAAGGCAGACCAATTAAGACACTGTTTATCGGCTTCCCCGCAGGGCCCAGAAAGCACATTTTCCCAGACTCGACAACCCGAGATAAGCTCAGGCGGGACCAGGCAAACTGCCCTGCGGGCTTTCTCACTGCGTGCCTGAGCCTCATCAAGGACCGGGTTGAACAGCAGCAACTCATGCGCGTGTGGGTGTGGTTGGGGAACAGTCAAGGCTGATTGGCCATGTAAGAAACATCGAGAAAAATGCCGAACGAAAACCCACAGTGGAAACGTCCAGCGGGGGTTGGAGATTGAATCACCTTCCTATTCCGGATAGCTCACGGCGTCCCCGGCCGACTCTCGGATGCTTAGAGGGAGATGCTCGGCCGGGAGCCCGTTGCCGTCTATCGTCGAGCAGCAGCCACGCTCTGCAATGTGCACAAATGTACCATGGTCGATGGTCACAATGTACAGAAACGCGGGCTTGCCTCGTTGGTGTTCCAGAAGTCGTGCTGTAGGATCTGTCGCTGTGCCAAGGTGAAAGGAGTTTGATGCAGAACGATGATGATAAACGCATTACTCGTCATCCCAGCAGAACACGTTCTGGGGCACAGCAAGCTTGACTCGGGTGCCATGCAGCAGCATCTGGGAGGGACAGGAACAAGGCCTCAATATATTTCTACTTTGTCCATAGTGGGGTGCCAAGAGCCTGGGAATAATCATCATATCACAATGCACCGCCAAAGCCCGTTTTCCCAGACTTGGTTTTCCCAAATTGGTCCTTGTTCATCTCTAAAGCAAGTCCGGCTTTTGCGAGACGTTTTCCTTATGCGTGTAGGTGCGCGCCACCCATCTCCTCTCGGAATCAAGTTAGGCCTGATCGTGACGGGCGATGGTAAACCCAAGGCTGCAAGCAGAATTTTATCAAGCATGTTTATGCGATGGCGATTACTGTGTGACATGCTCGACTTTGGTTCATGGATATTGTGGGTACGACTATAGAAACTTCATTCTACATCCGACCAAACGAACCCTCTTCGCATGCAGGACCTTGTCAACCCAAGGTGCTCGGCCAAGTCATAGACCAGGGCTACCGTAGTTTCAAAACCCAATGCATCAGCGTTAAGATTCAACATGTAAGGCTAGGGACTGCCTGCATAGGTTGCGAGAAAGAATAAGAAGAAGAAAGATGGTCACCCAATAACATTATGCTTTGAACGCCTCAATCTCAGCGATTGAAAAGAAACCCTCATGTACCCGTCATATGACACTCTTGCTCGCATCATCATGTGCAGACTCGGCAAACCAAAAACCCCGACGCTTTCAATGCATTCCCTCCCCGTGCAGAATAGCAGACAACTAATTACTAGGTAGCCGAGTATCCCCCGTCAACAAAGATGGTCTGCCCCGTCACCGCGGCACTGGCACCGCTTGCCAACCATACTGCGACCCCGGCAAAATCCTCCACCATGCCGTTCCTCCCGATCATGGTGCGGGCCGCATGCGCTTCCGCCTTGTGCGTGTCGGCGAGCATCCCCTCCGTCATCGGCGTCTCCACATGCCCCGGCGCGATCGCGTTACACAGGACCCCGCTCCGTGACCAGGCCTCGGCCTGCGAGCGCGTGAGCGAGACGAGACCGCCTTTCGCAGCACCGTAGGCGCCGCTGTTGTCGAAGGCGCGAAACGACTGCTGGCTGACAATGTTGATGATGCGGCCGCTTCCGCGCTCAGCCATCCCGGGCCCGAACGCTTGTCCCAGCGCGAACGGCGCCGTCAGGTTGGCCGCGAGGGTATAGTCCCAGTCTCCCTGCGTTATCCGCGACAGAGGTGGCCTGTGAGACACCCCGGCTGCGTTGACAAGGATGTCGGGCACGCCATGGGAGGACTTGATGCGGGCGCTGGCGTGGTGGAGATCTGCGAGATTTGACAGGTCTGCTGTTATCGATGCCGCGGGGATGCCGAGCTGGGCGAGTTGCTCGACAGTGGATGCCAGAGGCTTCGCCCGGCGCGCGATGAGAATCACCGTCGCGCCGCTCTGGCCGAGGGCGAGTGCGATTTCCTTGCCTATGCCTGAGCTGCCGCCCGTAACCACAGCTGTCCTGCCCGCCAGGCTGAACAGGCGGGTTAGGTATGTTGGTAATGCGCTCAGATTCCTGGCCATCTTGTGTGGCGGTCTATCTTCAGCTTCTGGAGTGGAGTGCAATGCTTTCTTTTTTCACTTCGTATACTATAGGATGACAGGAGTTGAATATGGTTTGGTGTTATGGTGATTTGAGATGAACATTGGACAGTGAGGGGTTCGAACGATGAAATGCTAAATTTGTGAATACACGCTCATGCCTATCTATCTATGGCTAGAGGAACGCGAACAACTGGCAATCCAAGCCGAGCAAGGACAGAATAAGTGCGGTTCAAGGCGGGGTAACTCGTATGCAGCTACCGGCGTCCCAAAAGCCTTAGACTTGGTAGGTCGCGAGTTACTACTCGAGAATCTTCACACGTGATGGCATTTTGCTTCACACTATCCATTCAGAATGGTCGCTTCTACTTGGAGCGAGGGGTTGGCATACATGGGTTAAGGCTTGCGTGAGGCGAACAGCAGCTAGCTGGAAAAAGGGGGTTGGTAATTGGGCAGGTTGGTTTAGTGAGTGAGCGAGCCTTCGTAGATACCGTGTGACGACAAACGATGAATCAGGCCTGAGCTGAGGGACACAGCGATGAAGACCACTTTAGTGAGGGTCTCTTTTCTATTTGACTTTTCAAACTGACATGACTTGAATGGTAGAGACTGAGAAGACTCGAAAAAATGACCTTTCTGGTGGTTGGCTTTGTCGTGTAGCAACATTCATATGAGGTTGTGGCCTATTATTAGCGCCAGCTTAGCGTAAGTGGCCGTCCAATATCCGTACAACATTTTGAATTGGCGGAAAGAAAGATTCTCACTCATGACTGATTGGCCGTACAAGGGAAGTTGAAAACTCATCCAAGAAAGTGAGAAATGCTTGATCATGTCAACGCTTCTTCAATTCTACTCTGTCTCTTGCCATACAAATAATGGTTCAACCGCCTGTATGAGACTGGTTGAAAACGACGTCGTGCTGATCTGTAAATGTTCCGCGGATTCTTCGTTCACGGACAGTGTTCATTCACGGTTGATGAGTCTTTGTACAAGATGATGATGATCAGTCCATGGTTGTCAAAAGTGTCGAATTGATGACGCCGTATCCCAGTGCAGTGGTTATTGGTAAAGAATCACAACTCCCTCCACAACACAAGCAATCAATCCCAGCGTAACTCCTGCACCATATTATGCTGCACCCAGTGCAATAACCCGTAACTCCAACCATGCATCACCAACAAACCATTCACCAATAACACTTGCTTGCCATCCAAGACACCAACATGCTCTCCAACGGCCCTAGTAGGGAGGTATGCAGTGCATGGCCCTGAAATGTTGCTTAGGAGCGGACCAGAAAAACCAAGCAAAGACCCAGAGAAATCCGATCGTCTTGCCAACTTTGCCGCTCATCTTTTCGTAAAAGCGCGGGAAGTAGGCTCGGATGAAGTAGAGCAGTGCCGTCTCGCCGGCGATGACAACAAAATTCATGTTCCACCACCAGATCTCCCACATCCAGGCGCAGTGGATGCCGGAGATGTAATCGGTGCCTGCGTGGAAGATGCCGCTGATGAAGAAGACAAGCCCATTGAGCAACCAACGCTTCTGTCCGCGGAACGGTCGCTGGCCGAGACCGACGGCGGTCATGAACATCTCGCCGAGGCCGTTGACCGGTCGGTAGATGAGCCGATCCCAAAACTTGCTCCAGAGACGGCGGAGGCTCCAGGCCTGGCGGATGTCGCCGAAGACGGGAGGCCAATCCTCAGGCTCGTCGATGCGGAGGGCCACGAAGAAGATGGCCATGATGGAATGCACCTCGGTGTAGAATGCGTAGGGGGACCAGATTGATTGGACGGCGAAGACGCAGCGGACCATGACCTCATGGAGGGTGACTTCGTTGAGGCGGCGAAAGAAAACGGTCCTGTCGATTTGGATATCATCCCACTCGAAACCGATGAATATCTGGACGTGGTCGTTTGCGCGGTCCAAGACCCAGACAATGAGGATGGTCGCGGTTGTTTTCACGATCCAGCGATTCCTATGGCCGATCCAGTTCCAGAGCCGGACCACGGGCAGGCCTATACAGCTCCAGATCCAATAGCCGATTTGTCGTACACCATTGCAGGCGCTTTTGATGTGAAGGAGGCCGTCGCTGTAGTTGTCGTCGGTGTTTCCAGCAAGGCCGGCGGCATGCTCGTCGAGTTCTTCCGAGTCCTCCTCTTCCACGGTAGCGCCAAGTGCGGCCTTTCGAAGCTCTTCATCCGCCTTTAACAGGTGAAAGACAGGAGCAGGCCGGGACGTTTTGACAAATCGTGAGTTCCACATGATCTTGTATGTCGCGATGGCGCGTTTCCCCCAAGACAGCTTCTTCTGCTCCTCGGTGAGACAGAACTTCTCCCAGAGGATCATAACGACAGCACCCATGTTGTGGATGATGACGACCCTGATCAGGGTGTCCTTGACCACGTACTCAAGGCTCATAGGGCTGAGACACTGGAGGATCACATACCCAATCGCAACGGAGGCGGCAACCCATGCTCCTCGGTAGCGTTCCTTGGTGTTGAGAGCAATGGCGATGCAGGCCACGCTGAGGGTATAGAGAAATGCCGGGTAGAGCAGCTCCTTGGACGCCATATTTTGGATCGACACCCACGTCTCCCAGATGAAGAAGGTGTACAGGGTTTCAATCCAGTCCATTCTGCGATAGTTGCCGTGGGGGTGGAAGTCGGAGTACTCTGCGAACCCAAAGTCCGACCAGTTCAACATCTCTCCCAATGGCATTTCCATCGAACTATTCGCTCCCAACGTGTCAATGCTCTGCATGAACTCCATGTTTGCGATGGTTTGATTGAAACGGATGGCGTATTCTAGCGGGTGTATCAAGGACTTTTGCTCCAACGTTGGAAAGCGAGGAAAGAGAACTGAATGACAGGGTGATTAAGAAGAAGAAGAAGAAGAACAGAAGAGGAATAGAAAAGGAAGAGAAATGCTGCCACTTCGTGGCAGAAGGGAGAAATGGGCACTATAAATAGCCCTAATCATCGTAATATGGTTGGAAAAGCTTGAAGGTTACGTGCAAATCCAAGAGTATAAGAGGCTAAAGTTGGTATACCACCATGGAAGTGGCAGTCCCAACGGTTTGTTACTGAACCATAATGTACAGGCGAACCAGGCAAAGCGAGGGCAGCCAGAATCAGGCCCGTGAGAAGATGGCCTATAACACCAGTTTCGTGAACACAACCCCCGAAGTTTCATTCTTCGACGCGGCACAACTTGCCATTCTCATGAGGGAGTCCGTCAGCCGTATGGATTGTCCAAAACTCACTGCCGACCGCGGTAGCTGCATAGAAGACGTCGTTCGGATCCCATTTGCGCTTCAACTCCAACAAGCGCGGGTACTTGGTGTCCCCATAAAATGATTGCTGAAAGTTCGGCTCCATTCTGTCCGACTCAGACAGGTACGAGCCCGCCCCCGGTGACACATCCCGCCAGCGTTGCATGTCGCCCAAGGTAAAGCCCTTGCGTGCCTCCAAGATCTGATCGGTGGTCGCGTTGACTGGCCATCTGACAGACTGGATGGCGAAGAGGATGTTTTCGCGCCAGGCGGGGTTGACTGCGTTATCCGGGTCATCAGGGCTGGTTGCCTTAATATTGAATCCGACAAAAACATGGTTCGTCTCGAGTGAAATGCGGATGGCGTCGAAGGTGGCTTGCTTCAGCTCCACATCTTCAAAGTTTCGACGTGGGAAAAGACGAGAACCGCTCTGCACGTTGACCTTTTCGACCGCCTCAAGAGGGAAGAAGTCTTGCCAGGCAGGGTAGAAGCTGCCATACTGCGTCATGTTGGGAGTAAAATCGATCCCGAGCTTTCGAAGCTCGGCGAACCACGGATCGAATAAGGCATTGACATCTTCTGCGGTTTTGTTCGGTGCAAAAAACGGTGTCATCTGGAAGAGAAAGTTTCCAGGACCCGGGTTGTTAGGCAACATCACAAAGTAGGCATACGTGCCGTTGTCGGCGTTGTGGATGAACGAGTCGAAGTAGCTCCGCACGCCGGCCCAAAAGGTCTCGTTGGAGATGCCATCCGCAGTCGAAAACTTGAAAGCCGCCGCGGTCGTCGTGACGTCCGGGAAGGCTTTGACTGTGACAGAGATTGCAACACCAAAAGTCGAGCCCCCGCCACCACGAAGAGCCCAAAACAGATCCGAGTTTTGGGTGTGGTTTGCCGTCACGAGCTCACCGTCAGCCGTGACAACTTCGAATGCGAGGGCTTGGTCTGCTCCGGTGCCATAGATCGAGCTGAGGGGACTGTGTCCTCCGCCTTGGATGTAGCCTCCCATAACTCCCACTGTCTAGAAAAAGCTGTCAGCCACAAGACTCTGATCGAGTACCTCTTTGGTAAAGTACCTCTCCTTCGCCACCAACAACCACCTTGTTGTACTCCGAAGCCACCTTGTAGATCTCAAAAGCTTGAACTCCAGTGCCGCACTTGAATGCGGGACCAGAGTACCCCTCAACTGCATCGATCACCTCTTCGACGTACTCGACATCTTTCAAGTAACGAGTCCAGATACTCAGCGACTCCCCGCCACCGGACTTGCCTGAAAAGTCATGCCCGGTGTTCTTCACCACAAGCCTCACGCCTGTCTCAGCGGCAAACTTGACGCCCTCCTGTACATGCTTCGGCGAAGTCGCATTAATGACATACCATGGGAAGCCACCCATGGTGCAGTTCCCCGAGTCATAGATGCTGGGTGGCAGACACGTCAGGCCTTGATAAACAGGCGAGAACATCTCAATGGGATCTTCTAGGTGGATGTACGAGTTGGTCCAGTTGGCCGACATTCTCGCGCAGGCGACCGCATCGTATTCGGGGCCATTGTAGCATGCCGCCGCCTGGGGGCGCGGCTTGAGGAGGCGGTTATCGACGCGTTCGTTGAGTGACGTCCACGCTTCATCCAAGGGCCAGGCGGTGTCACCCGGGTAAACTTTACATCGTATTGCCGCTGCGAATCCGGTCGATTCCATCACGGCGCAAAGGATGAGCGATGAGAGCCAGCGCGCCATGGCTTGATAACAAAGGTGCTCTTGATTGTACTCCGCAGCGGTGCCTGTCAATCTTACATCGAGAGGTAAACTCTGTGATTCTCTTCATACTTATGTGAAGAGACCCCTGGTTGGAATTCTCCCTGTCTTGGTGCGGGGGATTTCTCACGTTGCGCTCAAGCATGCGGCCCTTCGACCCGGGATGGCGATCTTCACTGGAACCAGACCGTATTAGCATGTCAGCGTAGCAGAACCCACCCATATCGCCACCTAGATCGCCTATCTTCGTCCTCGCATATGCCGAGAGGCCTCTTGTGATGGGCCAGCAGCAGAGGCCGCGCTAGAGAGAGCCACCAGAAATGCCTTGCCACAGAAACGAATTTCGGACTCTTTCCAATCGCTGTGTTGCACTAAAGTTGAGAGCTCCTTTTCATCGAATCGAAACTGTCCGTCTTTGATTACTTGCACTAGCTTGGTGCTACCGCTACAGAACGACAGAGATCCTGAAACTCCTTCGACTCAACACAAATGAATGAATTCCCGAGCCGCTCAAATGATCCCCAAAAAGAGTTGTGGCAGCCAGTCCAATACATCGCCGCAGCCCTGAACCCTCCAACGAGATATCCTCCCGGTAAAGTAACCAAGCCTGCGCACAGCCAATTTGTGTCGTCGTGGTCGTAGTCGTGGTCGTGATCGTCGTTGTCGTCACCGCCGCTGCGGTGGTCTTTGCTGATGTTGCCTCTCCATATGTGTTTGCGGAGTTATCATATTTCAGGCAGCGAATGCAGCTCCGCCAAATGTCAAGTTGGATCCTTGAGTGGCTCCAGGGTTGAAACCACGCGCACCTCCGTTGGCACCTCCGTTGGCACCACCGCTGGGCCTCGAAGGGGGAGCTGCGTCCCAGGCCTGAATGCCATCGATAGCTGGGCTGCGCGGAATCCAGACAAACGCCTTCCTGGTACAATTCTTCCCGTGGCGGCAGATGAACTGAACAAAGACCTCGTGTCGGGCGCAATCCGTAAGGAAGCTGTCCATCTTTTGGATCTCCGCTTCCGTCAGTCCCGTGACGTAAACGCCCTTTATGCTTGCTCCTCGACGATCGGAAAGAGGAGATTGGAGGGGGTCATCGCTAAGAGTGGCTTGTATAAAAGCGAATCTCTCCGTCAATAATGGATCGGGATCTGAGTTGGAAAGAATAAGGTTATAAAGGGTCTTCGGTTGGCTCCAGATTCCGTAGAGGAAAATGTGATTCTTGGAAAGTGAAGAATTCGAAGAGGGCCTCCTGGAAGAAGGCATCCTAGAAGACGACATCCTGGGATATTCGGATGACCACAAATGGGGGCTTGAATTCGAAACAACATGTGAAATGAGAGCAGAGTGTAGTTGACAAGAGCAAGATTACACAGTAAGCAAGAAGTTCGGGTTTGTTCGGAATCTTGGGGCATTGGGGCCAGGTTATAATTCAACCCGTCTCCGATAGGGCTGATCGGCGAAGAGTTGGCGAACCACTGCAAACCGTCTCCTCGTATTAAAGTTAAGGCGACCGTCAGGTTACGGAGTACCAGTTTGGTTGCCTCCGTCCACTCGGACTGGTTATTTTTTGGAGCTAGACATTCATCGCGGGAAGATCAGCAGTCCCAGACTCCCAGTCCATAATACTCTGGCATAGTTGGAGACAACGTAGGGACAGGTGCCTATAACAGGCATAGTACTAGGGCTCAAAGTTTGTAGAGCGGCGAGGAAGGGCTCGATATTGGGCATGTAGCAGCTTGAGCATGAAATGATGGCCGGCGTAACCTCGTTTTCAAGATTGGATGACCCATAGTGGAATCCAAGTAACCAGACTCGGGAGGAAGTATATCTGCTAGCTGAGTATTTATGACTACCTCGGAACGACTGCTACCGACAGATCATTGCTCATCAGTTGGAAATTCGTCATTGCTGTGTGGCAATCCCATCAGGTCTAGTGTTTGACGGAGCCTGACTTGAACCCTCGCCAATCCTCGCCTACACTTCACCCGAGTGACACCCGTGTGCCAGTTCTTGTAATACTCTGAGCTCTGACCAACTATGTACTCTGAAGCATCAAAAAAGCTTGAGATGCGTGACCTAGGCTTTCAAAAATGTCATTTGATAGTTGGTAATTGCGTGTCTTGACCCAGCCACGCATTGCTGGCTCGATGACACAGCGAAGACGTACAACGGAAAAGATGTCCGGCATCTGGGGGTATTTTCAAGTGAAGAATCTCAAGATTTCTCGAATCGTGTTTGTGAAAAGATTTTTACTTTGGCTTCTCACTTCATCAAAGAATATGTGGCCTTCAGACCATCGTCTACGGTTGCTCTGCGTTACAAGGTGACTTATATGTATCGAATCTGATCATGCGTATCGTCAATTTTCAAGTATACCAAGCGAACAAGGCCAAGCTGCTAAATAGGGCTCAGAAAGATGCAAAACAATGACAATAGGAGATCTTGGAAAGATACGTACCGAGCCCCTCTACCTTTCTATTTATATTCTAAACAAGTCTAACTGAATCCTCGTCGAGCCGAAACCTTGAACAAGCGCGGTGACGTGCCTGCATGTGCATCAAGCATTTTACGCAAAATGATAGGGTTACTCCCATACTGCAATCAGCGTCGTTGTCTTTCGATAATTTCCTGCTCGGCACGGGACGACTCACCTTGTCGTATATGTATTATGGCTGTAGTACTCTCTTTCTCAACCACAAACGTGGCTCAATTCACATCTTCCAGCATCCTTATCACTGCACTGCCCATCATGGGCCAGCGGGTCACCGACCCGTTGGCTGAAGATGAAAAAAAAGGTCAGTGTTGTACTCCATGTTTTTTTGAGATCCCGAGTCTGAGAGGACTATTCAACACCGGCATGAGAATACCATGTCGTGAACGCGGCCCTCGGAGGGGCGAACCAAGCATCAAGAATTGTGGAGACAATCCGCTCCATGGGCGAGATTGTCTAGATACAACGTTGAAGTGGTTGAACGAAGTCCGAAGAATACGACCGACTTCATGAACGGGCCATCTAATATATATTATGACAGGATGAGGTCGATCGTCGGCTTTGGGTTTGCTAATGAGGTCATCCGGGCCTGCTAGAGTAAGTAGTTTGCTCAAATTACGGACCAGGATATGGTAAAAACTGCCTGTTAATCTTCCTTACCTAGTTCCCTTCCATTCGTTCATCCTCCTCTTGTTCTCTCAAATTACTTACAGCCTCCGCCCCACACAACAGATTATGCACTACTCGCCCTCTCAATACCGTCAGCTTTGGTATGGTTTGTGACCTCCACGAGCTGCACGAGAATCTCATCTAATGATGAGCAGCTGGTCAGCAGTAGATGACGATGTTGTGAAATCTGTTGCGCCCATATTCCAGGGTATAGTAAAAAACAGCCTTACAAGGGGAAATGAAGTCCAGCTAGATGAACAATATGTCGTATATCTCTTCACACCAGAAACTACGTTATTCCATCCATATATCTGAGCTTCTAGGCTAACCATACGGTACATGAATACAGGTGTGTCCTAAGACGGGGCCAGCACAGTCTTAAAGGCTAGGTGAGTGGAACTGCGCCGGCCGCCAGCCTTATGCTGTAGTCCTTCTAAGTCAAGTTGAACTGGAAGGGTGATTCTGTGCTTGGGGGTTATCACAATGACCTGAGCCAACTTTTCGCCGCGGTCTATGAGGCTGGTGCGTTTTTACACAGCAACTCGTAAGATACGAAGCTGTCAAAGAAAGACAACTTTAAGCAGCGCCCTTACGACAGTCAGTCAGGACTCTGGCAGGCGGCAGCCACATTCTTTTCTACAGTTTTGTCACCCGTACTTCTCCCAGGAAACAAACAAGCAAACATGAATATTCGAGGCCTGCATTACCCAATTAACTGCTTCATCATACTTGGCCTAGCTCATAGGCCGGAAGGCATTCGAAACTAGTGGTAAACTCCCAGTCGTCGCAAGCTGCAAGAGCACGATGACAGTGGAACCTTCGCGGGGAAGCAATCATCTATAAGTTCAAGTCAGGGACCACATTTGGTGCCGCACCGTTAATCTCATAGCGAAGAGCCCATGTCTAGTATACTTCGTTGTTGATGCTGGGAACGACAAAGACAACATCGGCCACGCCACCGGTGTAGTCAATGAAACATGCAAAGTCTTATGACCTAACCACCAACCCCGACCATACCTATCAGATAACCTGGGTTTTCGACCGCTCTATCATAGATGAACCGATGATTTCTGATGCTAAAGTCGTTCATGACTACTAAAGACGACAAGGTCCGTTTCCCGTGGATATGTTTTGTTTCATCAGGTAGTCAACCAAGCTATGTTCGATCGTTTCCTGCCTTGTCTGGATATAGCATAGGTATCATCAAACATTCAGGGATTACCTGGGAACTTTAGTGACCAGTGTGGTCAGTAAACGCCCCAAGATGCCTCCGGAGCTAATGAAGAGCGAACTACCTTTCATCGACCTAGCTTTAGGCCAAGGACATGGATCTGACGCAAATTCGACCTGCGCCACTTGCTGCGGAACCCAGCTGTCATACGAGACCAAATTTGGTTCATGCGTAATCTAACCCTCTTGGGGTTCCGTTCCCAAGGCTGTGTTAGAGGCTTCTCTGTGAGAATGTTCTGGCTCGGGTGTTTGATTTCTGAGCAACCAGTGTATGTCGAAGGGCAATAAATTGGACGGCGCCCCCATGTATAGGCAGAACCAAGCTCTGCAGCGGCTGGTGCTCCAACAAGACTTGAAGACGTGTTTGATGATATATGGAAGCTGAAGCAAACATGTTTTCTGTGAGGGCTGTTCTTAATCCCTAGTCTATATCATGATCAAATTGCCGCCCCTTTACCACTAAGCATCCAAGCTGCCCTCTTCGTAGACTGCTCACCTATTCTCCTTTCTTCTCCCCCAAACCATTTGCCGAGCTCTTCCCAAATACTTTCGAGGTGACTCTGCGTGGATGGCGGTCGCACTTTCGAGGCACTAGCTGTTGTATTACTCGCTAGTGTCCTCTATTCATCGGTGGTTGCGCTTGTACGGCCGCCACTCAGGCCATGCTGCCTACTCCGTCTCTTTCTCACGTGGCGATGGCAGGTGAGTGGCGGGGTCCAGTGCCCCGGAACGCCGCCTTTCCTAAAGGAGGGAGTAGGCAACAAAGCCGTCGATGGTCTGATACCACAATACTAGGTGATAACAGAAGAATCCTAGGCCTTCCCCGATTCTCATCCCAATAATTTGACTGATCGAGCAACAGCCAGAGCCTGGAGAGTAAGGGGAATAACCCCTCTTTCGTAATGGCAAGTCCAACTCTTTCGGCCGGAAAGGTACCTAGTCTACTTGGTCTGCCAAATTGCCGCCTTTGAGCCCTTGGCGCTGCAAAAATAAGCCAGACGGAATCCAGGCTGGAGCTTAAATGGCGCTTTTTCTAGCGCATATCGATGGTAATTGACAAATCGAGTCCACAGGCGGCACGGACAAGAGGGATGGCTATAGTTGGTGCCGAGGCTCTAGCTTTGCCGGGACTTTGCGTATTAATGGAAATAGCATGGTGCAGCACAGTCGCGTGGCAGACTGGAAGTGTGACTTGCCGCCGACGACTCTATTGCTGTGGAAGATCTCCTCGACACGACAAATGGTGATAGACTCTATCGTTTCCGTTCACCAGAAGTGTGATCAATGGATGGAACGCATTGTGCCATCTTCAATAGTTTCTTCCAAGGGCACAAACTTGCCTGGAGATGTAAAACTATCGAAACATTGCTTTGACGAAAGGACGGGTCCATCCATATCATTCGTAGTGATGAACGGCTGATTTGCGCCATATCACACCGACCCGTAGCACTATTGATGTTATGTAAATCACATCGGCCAGTACAGTTACCATCAGCTTGTGATAAAATAGGTGAAAAACATACTAACTGTTATGTAAACCTTGGTCCAGTCGCTTCTCAGGACTAGTTGAAAGACTAGTTCACTCCTCGGAGAAGGGAAATCGAATCCTATGTTTATGCAGCCTGGGCTCCCTTTGAGCATACTTTCAACCGTTGTCGTTGTTAGGCTGCGGTTCAGGCGTACTTGCTGGATCGCAGCAGCAGCTGTGCCGAGGCTGAAAGGAACAATGTCAATGTTTCTAGGTTTTGGTACCATGTACCTTGTAACAAAGCCATGTCTTTCTGGCTTGATGTGATGCAGCTTTGTAAGCATCGGGCTGCGTTATTTGGGCGGGCTTCAACGGTGTTGCAGTCAGTGGCGTGGCTCGACAGGACAGGATAGGATACCATATCGGAGCTTGTGGCTGATGCTGCGCCGCACCGCAATAAACCCATTTATTGTGCTTATGTTGATTCCAAACGATGTTGGGGCAAGCCGGCTCGTCTAGAAATTGTCAACACGTCAGCCAGAGTCATCACATACGTATCGTCACCTATTGCCGAATCTCTCGCTTCTCCTAGCTCTTATCGGGCTAGCCAGATAAATAAGACAGCTTGCTTTTTCCGGCGGCCAAAGCTCCAGCCAGACTTTCTAAGTGGGCTTCGATCAGCAGCGGGCCCCCTCTATCATGTCTCACCCCTGGAAGCTTGGCCTGTTGCGTGATGAAAGCTGTGGCCATATTTCCGGTCATGAAAGAAAGAGAGGTCGCGGGAGAGGACGGGAATAAAGATGCAACGCCCGGATGCGATCAAACCTTCTTGGGGTCTGAGACGGCTTGTCAATGGGGCTGTCTCGGCTCTCTAGCCGTAGCCGTCGATCTCGACGGATGGGCTCCTAGGGAACCCTGGCTCGTTCTTGGCCACCGACGGACCAATGCCGCAGTCGCCTGAGCGAACCCTCCACAATCAACTGGCGTTTTATCAGACTGCTGATTCGTCAATCCCCCTCGTCTGAAAAAAGGAATGCTGCAGGGGAACCGACACACGAACGCGGCGGGTTAAGTTGTTTGCCCCGTCAACATTTCTTGAAGCGCCAAAGTCTCCGCGGCCTCCCCCCCCCCCCCCTCTCGGACTCATAGCTGCTAGGAAGGGAAGGACGGGGTCAATGCTCCTTGTAAATAACCTCCTGTGTGTTCACTAGCGGGATCACGTTGCAAAAATGCGCGTCATGTCAGAATCGTCGTCGTGTATCTGCTCTCTGCACGCCCACTCTATAGACAAGGAAATGTGATGTAGTAAGGCCGATAGTTTCATGAATCACGCATGTTCAGTACTGCATTTACATGTAATTATACCGCACTTACGCGAGTATACCTAGTCATCCATCATCCAAATGACCCTTCGCACCTATGGCCGGCCGGTCGGCTTGTCAGATATCAGTTGTCAAAAAGTTGGGGAACGAGACTTCTGCATATCAGATCCCTGCCAAGAGGCAGAATCTTTCTCTCCTTTTCTTTTTGAGAGACAAACTTCATACACCTACCTGTCTAGCCAGTCGCGAAACCATAACACCGGAATCTCAAGATTTGCCCTTCTCCGCGTACACCGACACCCAGCGATCTTGGTCCTTTCGGCGGTGCCAATACGCCAGTCTAATTTGTTTGTATGGACTGATAAACTGGTCTAGCGCTGTGAGAATATCATACCACCATGTCCTATACCGGTACGTTTCCGCTTCCAGAGTGGCAGTCCCACGTGTACAGGGACCCCGGTGCAGGCGGCTTTCTCTGGGTACCGGAAATTTACCCTGTCAACCGTGGCGCGCACCACTGTCTAGCTTCCTAGAGCTCCTCCAAACACGCCCCCCCCTCCCCCCATACCCAATCCATCTGCAGACCAGGCGTCTTTCATTGTTAGACTTGAATTCACTTATGATGCCCCCTGTTCCCCCTCCCTCTGTTACAGTCGTCTACACACTTGCCTTTACGACGTGCTCCCAACGGTGTTCCAAACATTCCCGCTGGGTTGGCGACGACGACGACGAGACGCCGAGACGTTTGAAGCGAGCAGAATCCTTCGCAGTCGGGACGTGGAGTTGAGGCAAGGGGAGGCCCTAAAACTATGCGAAGTGCAACGATCTAGATCTCCAAGATACCGCGTGCCAATGGGCAACCTCATAGAATTGCTCGGGAAGACCGACAACCTCAGTGACCCCGAGCCGCCTCTCAACAGACAAGCGGCTGTCCTGGGTATGGTTCTTTCGTTCATGGTAAGTGACTCTCCCCGCTTCAAAGACGACGACGTCCCTTAACACTCGCAATAGACTTTGGCATGGATTTGTGGTGTCTACCGACTTTATGTTCGCTACTTCGTTCTTCGGTGTCCGGGATGGGATGATTACTTTGTCATGCTGTCTATGGTATGTGGCATCCCGCGGATGGGGTTGGATTGTTGAGGTCTAACGGTCCCAATATAGCTCACAAGCTTACTTCTGTCGGCCGCAACTTGCGTTGGTATGCTTTCTAACCCCATTCACCCGTCGTTGATATGTGCTGACGTTCCTGATGTAGCTACGGAGTATGGACTAGGAAAACACTACATCTTGCTTGGCATCAAAAACATGCAGGATTTTGTCAAAGTCTTTTATGTGTGCAACGGCGCATATCCCATGGCCACTGCTCTTATCAAGCTGGCCTTACTTTTCCAGTACCTTCGCATGTTCGAGCGCGGCACCAAGTCACGATACATAACCGTTGTCTTCATCTACATCACCGCCGCCTGGGGTATCGCGTACTCCTTCCTTGCCTGGGTCCCGTGCATCCCCGTATCGGCGTTCTGGGACCTGACGTCGTCGACGGACACACGATGGGCTTTTGGCTCTCGCGATCCCCAAACCTTCGCTCGTAGCTTCGAAAGCCATGTATCAATCAATGTGGCGTTGGATCTGATTGTTTTCGCGATACCCATTCCCCTGCTCTTGAAAACGGGTCTCCGGGCAAAGTCTCGGTTGAGTTTGCTCGGCTTGTTCATCATGGGCGTGCTGTAAGTGTTTCCAGACCCTGATTATCCTCGCCAATAGGCCATATGCTGACTCGCTGACTTGGCAGTGTGAATATCCTTGGACTATTCCGTGTCATTGGTATTGCACGTTCTAGAGCCGGTACATACCCGACTCTTGACCCCAGCTGGTATGGCTGCACTCCCATCGTGCTCGCTGCCGTCGAGGTCAACCTAGCGACTATCTGTGCCTCACTCCCAGTCTTCTGGCCTAACCTCCAAAAGAACATTGGCCAGATCTTCATCACGAAAGAAGTCGAGATTACTTCCGAGGCTCGTCGCTTCAGCGCCCTCCAAGACACAGAGGCCACTGCAGAGCTTCGCGAATTTTCACCACGGAAACCGCACAAGGCCCTTGTCAATAGTTCGTGGTGCACTGATACCCGTATCCTGCCGAGACCGACACAGACCGAGATCGCATCGACACGACTTGCTTCCAAGCCGAGCGAAAAGTCATTGTTTTCCGACGGATCGAAGAAGATCTCAGATGATCAGGAGTCACAGGATCGGCTGGTTTTGACACCATCCCGTAGTGGCAGGCGGCCATGAATATAATCAATTGTTCATTTCAAAGTTCTTGTGGATTCGTGTAAGCTGATCCCACCGTGTTTATGCTCGTCCTATCGGGTCGTGTGTTATCACGAATGGTCTGTGCGGCATGGCCGGCTTCGCTCGTCAAAGTCGGCTCGAGCGGCCCATAGATACCCAGATAATCATGCATCAACACACACTCAATGCGTGCTCCCTTGCAACTGTGACTGCGATATATGGTCTCGACATGTGGCTGGGTCATCAATGGTAGCGTTGCTTCCAGTCATGGATGTAATCGGTTGCGGTAGGTCTGACTCGCAAACTAGGAGGAGTGGAGTTCTGTTTGCAGCTAGCTTCATACCAGAGCCGCATCTGGGGACAGCAATTATAGAGGATGGGTTCTGTCTTTATCGATTAATTCGGATCGCAATGTGGCCTTATACAACATCCATAGGTTTTTCTTCGATAGGGCTAAACGCAATTGCGAGTTGATATCGGATTTGTAAAAGGTGCCAAATGCAACCAAGTAACAACCTTATCTATTGCGATTGCAAGCCTTCACCATCATCCCACGTGGTACTAATACAGACAGTAAAAGTAGGGCGGCTCCACAGAGACCTATTGCGAATGCCTGCCTAGCAGCAGGTTGCCGATTCTTGTCCTAGTGAATTTTTCAAGTCACAGAGTGGGAAGAAAAAAGACATTAGATACTATCGCGATCTTGTCTTCGTTTGCTCCATGAGAAGTCACTAGAAGCAAGATAGTCGTCAACAAAGTAGAAATACAAGCTGATTACTGAACGAGACCATTTCGGTTTTAAGGAGGCTATCAGGGGTTTCCGAGCTGAATGCGAACAATCACTCCACTGGTTTTGTTTGTCTCCACAAGAACTCCTTACTTACGGAACATCGTCCGTAATCTTCTTGCGGGTAGGCAGCGTGGCAGAGAATAACACAGGCAATTATCCCCTGCATGTACGGGTAGCATGTGGATCGAAAGTTCCTGATCACAGCGAATACGTAATTACGACTGCAGCTGGGCCCTGCAAACATGGCCGCAGAAGGTATGTAAACCGTTATCGATTCAGACAACACCCCGTTCGACAGGGCAGCATGCCCTCAAATCTCGACTATGATGCAACTAGTTTGGTCTTTGGCTAGGGTAGCACGGCACGGCAGTAGATGGGCCTGGCACGGTGGGCAGTGCGCGAGACTATGGGGCAATATCGGCGGGCATCATGCCCTTTTTAGTCATGATCATCCCATACCGCGTCTTTCTACGACGTTAGTCCAAAGTTGAGTTCCTGAATATATTATTTATCGAAGTCGATGATTTTGGGGGCATGATATCATTGGAATGGCGACTTCTTCATCCTGAATCGCGCTTCGTCACTGAGAAGACGCTAAAGGGCAAATAAATTCTCACCATCCATTGCCGATGCATGTCTTAAGTTCTCCAATGGTTGGTGGGCTTTTGGCCCAGGTGGCTTCATATCAATAGATTGACAAACTGGAAACGCTTCAAAGCGTTAATCAAACAGACATATATTGAGTAATATAATAATATTGTGCACGACGGCTAGATAGATTGTTGACTGATAGTCTAAGAATGGCATAGCTAGCTGTCATTTAGCTTCATAATTGCCCTATTACATCAGAGATACAGATACATGTGCTATTAAGTCTTAGAATCAAATACTAGGGAGCCCGTGTAACTGGTGACAAATTGACCTGAACCTCAATATCTCACGGAAAGCAATATCTATTTGTAGAGTCGAGCTGTTACTATCTGGAGCAGAGTCTGGTAGCCAGGACTAACAGCGCCTGCCAGGAGAAATTAATAGAATGCAATGATGGTAGCAAAGTGCCTGGTGACAGAAACTGACCAGCCTGCCGCATGCCCTGCGCACAGACTCTGTGGATCTGTCTCCGTTTAATATACACTGAGGGATTGCCGTGGGTCGATGTGAATAAATCACCTCAGTCTTGTCAAATAGTGCACTGATTATTGGTCAGAGGTTGGTGAGAAAGGAATCGCAAGGATGATCGGCCAAATAGGGCCTCGAGAGCTCCTTTCTTGGCACGGGGTTTGTTACCAGACTATGTTTATATTCTGGAGGATGAGAGCCACGGCTTTTACCGCGTTCGATGTGGCTTACTTTCCAACAGGCGAACCTGGTCCAGAATTTTCTAGTTCCACGTCGTGCGGAAGGCGAACTACAAGTATAACGGAGACTGTATTTTCACCCTTAGCCCAGGATAGAGCAGCACCTATAGATGTCAGGTTTTGAAGTAAGAAAAGGCTTTTCTTACACTGGATGACACAAATTCCAGATGCGCCCCCTCACGATCGGCAAGGTGTGCTGAGATGGTTTCCCAAGAGGTTAGTTCCTCTCGTGTAACAATTAGTTATGATCTTTCAGGGCCTACATCCGCTCTCCACGTGAATTTGAATGCAGTCGAAAATGAGTATCTGCCAATTCTCCTACTCCAGCTACAATTGAGGTGTCATCATTGCATTTCGTGATGATGTTATAAAGTTCGAGACGGGCCGAGTGGGACGGGTCAAGCGGTGGTTATTTGTCCGAGGATCATATTCAGCGATCCTTTTACATTTGGGTCATCTTTCTCTGTGCATGTCTATAATACATTCAACATCATGTATCTGAATTTCGATTGGTATTCTCCCACTTATCTCCAGAGGGGTCAATCATGTCTCAGCGAGCCAGCCGCAAGTTCCCGCTCAGGTATTAAACCTGTTTATTCGATACCGGCGATGTTCTTGATAGAATGACAGGACTTACTACTACGTGACGAAACCTTCCTTTTTGTTGAACATGATGCAAGACACGACGCATACTTGATTGTGCCTGAGTATGAAAGCTTTCATGCTGTCTCAACACTTTTTGAGATGCTGCCGTAGTGTAAAAGTGTAGTTATCAACGGATGGGTGATTCCGGTAAGCAATTGCATGCAGTAGGCCCAAGACACAAGTGGAGTCCGGATGTACCTTTGGTGTGTTTTCATTACTGTTATTTCAAAAGCGAGAACCATTACTAGTGGTCTAGACATCAGTATCGTGAACAATTTGGGGAGTTAAACGCCGTACCCAGCTCAAAGCTCCAGCACATCAAGCCAAGACGGCGCGAAAACACCCACGCTACGAAGGGAGTTCCTTGATACATTGGCGTTGTGGCAGAGTGGTCTAATGCGCAAGACTAGAAATCTTGTTCCTTCGGGAGCGTCTGTTCGAATCAGGCCAACGTCGAATGCTTTTGCATCTTGGAGCATATTTCCACCAGGGCTACCAAAGTCGTCGTTGTTGCACTTGCCCACCGACGGCGAAATGTTCACATTGTGTGTTTTCTCAGCTAGGTAAAAAGTGGAAACTTGACTCTCATTTCTCACGCTTTTTGTCACCCAATACTTCCCCACCGAGACCGTGAGAAGACGAGGCTTCTTACCTAAGCAGTTGAGCCGCTGTAACCTCTCGACATGTAAAATGCAATGAACCGTAGCGTCTAGTAATTTGAGAGTAGAGTAGTTGTCCTATTAAGAATCTACGTATGGACCGGAAAGATGACAGAGATACTCATCTAAAGCGGTCCGTGCGAGTGGTACGCCACATCTGTAGCGGCTTCCACCCACTAGCCACACGAAGCTATTCCAGCTTCACGACATAATAACAAGAAGATGGGCAATTCCACTTGGACATGTACAATCGTAACAATCAATCAAGCCCGCCTTGTAGCGGTTCATTGATTGATACTAGAGGGGTGTAGTTTCAAAAACGTCACAGACAGTGGAATGGAGCTGGCGCCGCTATTGCAAGCTTTTATAAACCAGTAACTACTACAAACAGGCTTATAGAAAGGCACGGGCCAATGCCAAGGTTCACCTAGTATACTCAGACAACCACCATGAGCCCTCTACTTATCCAGAAATACGGATAGGATACTACGTAGGCCAGGTAGCCTAGACTTTCTCAGCCAACTGACAGAACCTTATTCGAAGCAAGCACACATTTCAAATAAGAACATGCAGAGGTCACGAGCAGTCTTCCCATGCTGCTTCCAGTTATAGTCACAGAGCCATGGTCACTGCCCGTTGGTCTCAAGTCTCCGACCCAAGACACGGCTTCCCATGCCTCTCAAGACCAACGCGGCGGCGCCAGGGAGTGTCCTCCGCATCCGGACAGGAGGGATGAACGACCGGGACGGGTTCGTCTGCGACACAGAGAGCCTTGTGTCACGCTGTCCCGGGCCGCACGCTGACCCGACGCACCAGTTGAAGATCCGAAAGAGGACTGGCGGGGAATGTGGATGAACGACTTGCCCACCAACCTAATCTATCGATCGATTCATCTGAAACCAGTAGAATGAAATGATGGTAGCAAAGTGCCTGGTGACCCCTTCTTCCACGCGCGCGCCCATCTCTATTCGCCGGATCGTGCCCAGAGGTATCAATGGCCGCACCAATGGCCCTTCTGGGCCGAGAACTCTGCCAAACAACCCGACACTTTCCCCGGACCGTCTGTCTACCCTTTCCTTTCCGTTCGTTCGTCCACCCACGTCCCTGGGACTCACCCTGCTGGGTACCGGTGCCGACGCGGGCCGCCGAATCGGGATGTGTGACTGACGAACCATCTACCCCCGCCTGAACTTTAGAACGGCTTGCTTTCTTACGCCAACTTAATGCATTGGGCAAGGCTGCGAACGGGTGTGGCTGTCATCATAACTTCAAGTCGGCTCCCTGCCCCCCCCCCTCCCCCCCCCCGGATAAAGCTAGGACGAAGACATACCCGTGGCAAATGGGAATACTTGTAGTCAGTTAGGTTCGAATCCTATCGGCGTCACATTTTGGGGTTGTTGGCACAACTGTTTCTTTATACCAACATGTGAAACATCGCGCGATTAGTACATTGCGTGCCAGCTTACCTCACTCCCGAGCAATCACCCCCGGGCCGACCAAGCCCAGACCGAAGCCGGGCGCCAGATATCCCCCTCATCCTTATCTCCCCAACCTGCAATATTGGTTAGTCCTAGTCAGCTTAGCCGCGAACGAGACCGACTCGCCCAATCTCCGAGATTCCCCCTAAGGAAAGGAGAAACTCCCAAGAGAGCCATTAGCGGCGAGGGATAGGGGGAAGCACCAAGAGCCCGCATCTCAGAGCTCGCTGCCATACTGTCTCTGGAGCCGTTCCCTCCGACCCATTCAGCTTGGACTCTCACGCCTGTCTAGCTATTTGCTCAAAGGAAAAGATTGTAGAGGGGGCGGGAAGAACAAACAAAAGGAGTAAAGCCGAATAGGACCTCGTGAACAAACCGACAAACACCCCAATACATCCCTGCATTCTTCGCAATAACGGCCCTGGACGCCACCATTTCCCCCGTCGCCGTCCCCCATCCTTCCCCATCCTCCACCTGAGGGACAAACACGGCCCCTTTGAGCCCGTGTGCTTGAGCTATTTATACCCCAGGCCTGGCCCTTTGTTCCTGTCGTTAGTGTATGGCGCGACCGTTTGCACGTGGCGGCGGCCCCCCCCTTTTGTCGGGTGAGTTTTAGACGCTACACAATCCCCCATTCTACCGTCATTTGTTCACATTGATGGCTTCCCCCTCTCATCCCCCCAAGGGCAAAGGGGCCGCCGGTACGTGTCTCTATATCATGCCCATCATGCACCGGTCCTTCAAGGCTCCTTCGCCCCCGTCCATGTCAAGTGGCCTCCTGCTCCTCCCTCTTGAGCCATTCTGACCGTAGCGGGCGACATCCACAATGCTCGCCTCAACATGCCTCCTCGCCTTGGCCGGTCTCGCCCCCTTCGCTCCCACCCTCGCCGCCGCCGCCGATGAGGACGTGCCCCAGAAGCCCCTGAACCCCGACGCCGCGAACCCTCCCCCGCCGCGGGCCTCCGCCTCGCTCCTCCCCGGTGCCGGCTCTCACATCCTCGCCTTCGGCACCGTCGCCTCGTCCTCCTCCTCCACCGTCTTCTGCTCACCCTTCGAGAAGGTGTGCGACGGCAGGTGCATCCCCATATCGGGGGCCTGCTGCGTCACCGGCCGCGGCGGCTACTGCGAGGAGGGCAACTACTGCGTCGCCGGCGGTTGCTGCAAGACCGGCAAGACGTGCTCGGGCCCGCCGCAGGGGTGCGCCGCCGGCAAGGTGCTCTGCAACGGCCTCTGCATCCCGGTCGGCACCGCGTGCTGCCCGACGGGCGGGTACTGCGCCGCCGGGGAGAGGTGCGCGGCGGACGACACCTGCGCCAAGCCCTCCGGCGCCGGGGGCGACGATGGACAGTGCGAGTCCGGCAAGGTGATCTGCGGGAGTGGATGCATGCCGGCCGGCGAGGTGTGCTGCTCGACGTACTTCTGCAACGCCGGGGAGACATGTGCCGCGAACGGCAAGTGCAAAACGGGCGGCGGTGGTTCCAAGTCCCAGTGCGGGACAGGACAGGCGCCGTGCGGTGCCGGGTGCATGCCCAAGGGCGTGGTGTGCTGCGAGACGTTTTACTGCTTCGAGGGGCAGACGTGCGCGGCGAACCGCAAGTGCCGGAACCCCGACGGCGACGGCGGCGGCGGCGGCGGCGGCGGGGACGGCGGAGAGAACAACGGGTCCGGGACGTCGTCCAGCCCGCGGCCAACCCGGACGACGACCACGGCACATCCCGTGTCCACGACGGCGTTTGCAAACGAGCCGAAGCCGACAACAACGACGACGACGTCGGAGGAAGGGGATGATGATGATTCAACTTCGACTTCGGCCGTCTTTACCCGGACGGCGCCCACGGCGGCCACAACGCCCACGATGGAGACTGGGCAGACAGGGCAGACAACGGGATTGGCGCCGCCGAGCACTCTCGCCAATGGAGGCGCCGGGCGCGTGGCGAAGAATATCCAAGGAGCGGTCCTTGTGATGGGCTTGTTCGCAGCAGCGCCGCTAGTCATCTGAGAATGCATGTCGTCAGCATGGAAAAAGCAGCTCGAGGATCACGATTGACGAGCACAAGATACCAAAGGACGATTTTGATAAAAAGAGATCACAATATAACCTGTCGTCCTTCATCTATAATCTGGATGCGTAATGTTCATTCCCGGACTCCCTTGAACACGCTTCCCCAACGCCTAAATGATCCTTTTTGCCAAACTCCAAACTTTTTCTTGCCTGTGATGATGTAAACCTCAAAAGTGACCCGACGCCGTGCGTATGTAATGCTGACTACTGACGGGCGATGCCGCCTGCATCCCCGTAATAAAAGTTTCGCGAGTATCCTATAGATACCTGGGCCTCATCCACTCGACATTGCGGAGACCCAGGTTGAGCCCGTTGCTGGCCCACCACCTGCGCACCTGCTCCTGGTCGCCGATGCTGTCCTCCAACGCTTCTTCAATGTCGCACGTCCTGTACTCGACGCGCTGCTTCCGCCCCTCCATGCCCTCGAGCTCGCCGTATGCGAACTTGCGCCACCATTCCAGGACGCCAATGTGCTGGTGGATGGTTGGCTGGACGAGCACCTCGCCGTCAAATGCAAGCTTGTCATCGCCCTTTAGTTTCCGCCAGAGCTCAAGGACGCCGACCTGGCCCCAGCGCGAGGCAATCTTGGCTACGCCATCCCCGTGGGCAACGGGGATGCCGGACGCCATCCACCATCGGAGGACATCCACCTGGCCATGCTGAGCGGCCCACAAGAGCGACTTGCCGGGCCTCAGCACAATGGTGTCGTCCTGGGCGGCGGCGTCACGCCACCATTCGAGCACGAGGAGGTGGCCCTTGCCGCTGGCCTGCTCGAGCGCTGCTTCGGTGAAGCGGAGCGGAAGACCGGAACGGCGCCACCACCAGTCGAGAACCTGGACGTAGCCGTTCTTGGACGCGCCGTCGAGGGCCTCGGCATCGTAGCACTGCTGATGGCGGCCGCGGAAGTACCGACTCTCCTTCCAGTAGTCGAGGACATCTGGGCGGCCAAAGTAGGCGGATGCTTTGGTCGGGAGGACTTTGCCGTCAAAGGCCTGAAAGAGGTCGGGTCGGTTGGCTTCCATCCAGGTGAGCACTTCAATGAGTGAGAAGCGGATGAGGAGTTTGATGACGAGGGCTGGGAGTTCGTGGAAGGTTGGTGGGGACTGGAGGAGCTTTTTGCAGATGGAGGTCGAGTCGCAGGTGAGAACAAGCCATTCGAGCTCGTGCTCGTAGACCTTGAGCGGGTTGTTGGGGTCCCTGGGCTGCAGCTTCCAGGGATGCGGCATGGGCAGGTTGGTGAAGATGCCCAAGGCCTGGGCGAGTTCCCAGTCACCGGCGTAGTCGAGAATGATGGTCCAGATCTCGGGCGGCAGGTTCGAGTAGACTCGCGGGTCGCCCGAGGCGAGGTAGCCGAGGTGTGTGACGACGTCGACGTCGCGGCCTAGGCCGAGCAGGTCGGCCTGGTTCTTGATGATGCCAAGCACGTCGTTGAAGCCGTTCCAGTTGACGATTCGCTTCGGGCTTTTGTGGGAGCCGTCATAGTGCCACAGGATGGGCGACATGGCACGGATCCAAGGCCACTTGCTGTTGATCTTGTTGAGCTGCCTCTTGGTGGCGGGGTTCTCCCACATATGGGTGCTCATGCCGGGAACGAGCAGTATCTTCTTAGCCGTGTCCCAGCCTCTCAGGACCTCGAGGAGGAAGGTGTCGGCGATGCCGACCATCATCTTGGCCATGTTATCGGCGTCGATGGGGGCGAGGACGAGCAGGTCGGCCCACTCAACGAGCTCAAAGGCCTGCTGGCGGTAGAATTCGACATCATCGACGTCGGCCTCGGAGGCGGCACGCGAGGGGCCGAGCGGGAAGGTCATGGAACGATTCTGCATGGTGATGACGGTTTGGCTGAGGCGGGGGACTGCGTCATCGACGATGGCGCGCATCTCAATGGCGGAGCTTTTGGAGAGGCGGACGACGAGGGTCTGGGCCCATGATATGTCGCGGGGGCCGTTGGCGGCGACCAGCAGGTGTAGTTTCCGATCGCGAGGCTTGAAGTGGAGGGACGAGGAAGAGGAGGCGCTCCGCGTTATGCGCAACGGTAAGGGATCGGGGGGATCCATCGGCGCATGCTCTAGTGGCGGTCGAAGGGGGAGATGGCGAGGGTCGGGGCCGTTTCGAGGACGGCGGGTTCGTACGGGCTGTTTGGGATCGTATCGATATCAGGCAGATGGAAGGTGGCAGCAGTCGTAGTAGCGGTGGGGTTGTTGGAACCGAAGGCTGGATTGGGCAGAGACGAGTTCGAGATGGTTCAGTTCGGTCGCCAGAAGAGAGATGGTGGTGGAAGTCGGTCGGCAGATGGCGGTGGTGGAGGAAGAAGGAAGGAGGATATTGTAACGATAGGAGAGCGGGTGGGATGGTGATGGTGGAAAGACTGTAGTGTACGTATTGAATCGAATCCCAGTGGTGATGCAGAACGGGTTTGTCGGCCGTCAGTGGCGGTAGTGTGTTTGTGATGTTTGCGGACTGGGTAGTTTGCGGTGTGTGCAGTGCAACAGCGACGGGCTCACAATTTCCGGAGGGTGCATCCGCAAGGCCTTACGGGATAGGTACGTACGGTATCCGTACTCCGTAGTCGGTCGAGTGTTGGGTTATGAAGCCAGGTCAGCCAGTAGGAAGGGTTGGGGGCGACGGCGGGAAGAAAACGACATGGATCTGGGCCGCAATATGTGGCATCACCATGACATGGGGGGGGGATCGAGTTCCTTAATTCCACCTTTGGGTTCGACGTGTGCGTGGGACCGTGCTGGTTGTTGGTGGCCGGGAACAAGCAAGAGAGGGTGTACTGAGAATTGGAAGGAGCAGGACGAAGGAGTTGGGAAAGTGCTGCAGGGGGTACGGAGTATAGGGCAAAGGGAAGGGACGTGGACAGAAGGGGCGATACGAATGTACCTAGGTAGGTATCCGTGGTGGGATGTACCTGAATGCGAAGATACCTTGCAAAGGTACCTACCTACTACGGCGTAGTGTAGTAGTACGACGTAGTGTACGGAGTAGCAGTGTAGTGTACCTACTCACTTTGTCCGCCCAAGGGGCTTGGGTACAGACAAGACAGTAATAAGTGCCCAACAGCAAAATCTTTCGTGACCTTCCCTTGCCTTGTTCTTGGCCACGCTGCGCTGTTCTGTACACCTCACTGCTGTTAATTACCACCTATAAGCCCATGTTGTAGTAATCATACTGTACACTACTGGGTATTTGCTGTGCTGGATTCGCAGCGGGACCATGATTGGAAATGCAGATGTGACAACAGAGAGAAAGGTTAGACGCTGCGGCCAATCAAACAGTAGATGCTGGTCTGGCCGACGCTTCATTACCTAATCACCCCCGCCTTCTGCGTGTGGTGTGGTGTGGTGTGGTTCCCACTCTGTCTGCGCCCGCTACGTCACCACCGCTTCTTCCGTGTGACACACGAGGAAGGAGGTCTGGATGAAGCAGGAGCAAAAGACATGGCCATCCGGAACATTCCCTCCTTTCCAGCTAAACAGCATATCCCATATCACCATCACCACCACACCACCACCACCTTTACCCGTCTCACATCTCTCGCCATCACCTCACTAAACCCCTTGGCACTGTGCCCCTTCATCATATCGACATCGTCGTACACCCCGCGCCGCTGTCATCCTCCCACCACCCTCCAAAACGGCCAGCACATCCTTGCCTGCATAACGGCACACCCGCAAGATGTTGTGTGTGATGCGTCGTCTCAACATCAACGCCAAGCAACCCCGTCCAGCCCCTTCCCGACTCGGACTGCGCTAACTTTGGCACGTCTCGGCCTCCACCCCGCAGGGTCCTCCGTGTCATCGGCACCGGATCCCGCCGGTACGGCTGCTACCTGCCGCGCTGCGTATCCCTAATTGTGAACTCGTCTCGACCTAGGTACCTAATGTAGGTAGTACCGGCAGGAGGCCGTCATGCAAGACCCCGGTCATTCCTTACCGCAACGACAGGGGGAGATGAGCCTTACCGGTACATAGGTACGGATAGATATACTACACTACACTAAGTGCTCCGTACTGCCCCATCCAGATAAGCTCGGCTGACATAAGCCACTATCACGACAACAGCCATTATCGCCATGGCCAGTTTCCAATTTCTACATAGCTGTCCCCGAGGACATCGTCCCACTGTCGTTTCTTCGCCGCCTTCCCTCGCTATTCTTTGCTTCTCCCTTTGCAGTATCCTTGCAACTGTCAGCATAATTCCCGCTCGGATACGTTACGGGACTGATCTCAAACCGTCGACTTGAAGTGGGGCAGGTAATGCGGCAAAGCCTTACACCCATAGATATACAGATAACCAAGCATCTCGGCATATATTCGAGCTAGATACTCGTGTGTACTTGGAACTCGGCCTGTGATGCTTCTCCATCCTCCCACTTTCTCTGCTAGCTTTGGCCAGTCGTGGTAAGGTCCGTTACTCGTCCAGTATTCTACGCTAAAGGTGAAGCCCTTGGTGCTGACGAAGTCGGGCCACTTTCAAAGCTATGTGTTATCGTTGCATTCAACTGAACAAATAAATGGATATTTAGTTATTTCAGAAAATAAATTCAAGTGGTGTAATTACAGAGAAGTAGAAATCTCCAAAACGCCATGTTCTATGCGAGTCTAGTGATGCTGAACCCTGTATCCGTGGCACCGCGCTAACTACCAATGAGAAATCAGTCATCAGAATCTTCGCTGTTACTCTTCTCAACCCAATTCTGAGCTCTGGATGCAAATTTGGAGATCATCAACACCAACACCCCGGCCGACAAGGCCGATAGAGCAGCTAAGCCATCACAGTCAGCACGCGTTGCGAACATCAGCATTGAGGCACAGAGGGACGCTTACTTATCGTGAATGACCATCCTACTCCTATGGCATCAATCATTGGTACGGCGCCACCAATACTACTAGCGCCAAAAATGTACTGAACGACATACTTACTGCTGATAACGGCTGTTCTGTGTTTGGGGAGTGCCTCTGCAGGGGTGGTGTTTAGATGGCTGTTCATAGAAAATAGAAGCATGTGCAAAAAAAAGGAAGACTCACCAGCAGAGTACGTATTAAGACCACTGAAAGACCACATGAGCCCAAGGCCCTGGAAGAAGGAGCTTATGACTGGCAACGCCACTCCGCCAACTTCTTTTTGCAAGCTCCACCCGAAGATTAGTGTGCCGGCTGGAAGAACGATGAAGATGGCCGGGAGGCTGCTGTTCAACCTGTCTTGTGGAAGCCTGAGTCCGTTTCGCTTGCGAATGTACCGTTTCACGGTATAGTCGGATACTCGGCCACCGATGGTACTGCCCACCAAGAAGCCTGCGCCCGGGGCCAAGTAAAAAAGACCACTGATGAGGGGGGAAGTGAGGTTGAAGCGCGGGTTGATGACACGCCTGATGGAGCTAAGTAGGCCGTACTGGTTGAAGCCCAGAAGTCCACACGCAAGGTTCTACGCATTGGATTAGAATACGTGCAAGTCATGGTTGAAGTGCACAACGAAGAGGGCAACATACGGCGGCGAGGACGTTGGGGTATTTGAACAGGCGGAAAACCCCCCTCGGGTTGAAAGCACGGCAAAGTTCACCAACGGACCGCACAGGGGTCTTTTCTTCAACCCGGTGTTTGGCTAGCTCGCTAGCTTTCGGCACGAAGAAGAAGGCCATGATCAGACCGACAAAAGCCATTCCCGCTTGAACCCCGTAGATCACCCTCCACGAAGTGAAGCTTACAATCACACCTCCGGTCAGTGGAGCTAGGTCGTGTTAGATAGATGCAGGATCGGGTTACAAGTTGCCACTCACCTAGCGTGTTTGCTCCGACGCAGCTGCCTAAGAAGAAGCCGACAGCGGTTCCGCGATTTGTCTGTCCAAATTGTCAGAGATGTCTCAGATATTACGCTCCAAGGCCCGACTTACGGGATCGAAAATGTCGGCCAGGATCGTCTGCCCTGCGACAAGGAAGAACGGACCCGTCGTCCCCCCAACGATCCAGATCGCCGTGAAACAGGCAAAGTTGTTGGACAACGCCGAGCCAATCGAGCATAGGCTCAACAGAGTGTTGGCAACCAGATACGTCGTCCTTCGGCCAAGGATGTCGCTCATCGGCAGCCAGATCAGCGCAGACATGGCCTGGGCTATGAAGACACCGGCGTTGGCCGTGGTAATGGCATGCGTTGATATGTCAAAGTCGGCAGCGACTTCGTTCGTCGCCGACAAGATGGAGCTTCCGGAGAAGATGACGGGCAGGGCCATCCAGCAGACAACGGAGAGGATGACCCACTTACGCCATGTGGGCATCTCCATCACCACATCGTCAATGGCCGCAGGCCGCGGAGGGGCAGGAGCAGCCGGAACGGGGCCGGAGGACGGATCGGCACTCATGAACCGAGGGACATTGGCTGGAGGTGCGTGGGCCGGAGTTTCGGCGCTCGGCGAACCCATCTTGGAGTCTCTCTGATTGAACAGAGATGGAGAGAAGCAAGTTTCTACGCTGGAACATTTTCAAACCGGACCGTAACCCAAGAAGTTCCCCGAGTGTATATAGTCGCGGGAGCTCCGCCGTTCGGAGGCATCCTTCGGGAGGCGAAATCTCTTCCATTATTCCAATTTTCTCCTGTGACTCAAATGTTCCGTTAAGTGGGCCATGCACGGCGCCTTTCGTCAAGACCGGCCCGAATCTGTGACGGAAACGCGACTGATATGCTGATCCAGTGGCTGACAACTCGAAGGACGAGTCGGCAACTCCACAAGACGCCGACTAGGGAAACAAGGTCGGTTATCATCCCACTAGTGGGAAAGGAGGCCTGTGGGGTTGAATCGTGACGAATATGCTCGGCAGGATTCGCATGATGCCGATAATGTGGGGAAATGACCAATATTTTCTCGGGATGGCCCATTGTTTTCGCCGAACTATCTCAGCCCGGCCAACACTCGTCTCACTTCGACAACAAAGAAACATTTTTCAATCTGTGGCGATGTCGTGTGTTATACAGCCAGTATTCTAAATCAAACATCCTACCGTCGGCAACATTTCTGGGAGGCCTGTGAGCCAGCGGATGCTGTCCTACTTCCACCTGCCTCGTCCCTCGGCATCTTGCTCAAATTTCCCGAGCATCGGTCTTCATTGATAAGGGCCTGCAGCCCGAGCCGGCATTCGGATTGAGCATCATGGCGTCCGAAGGAGATATATCCAGTTCGGAAGACAGGGGCCCATTGAGACCCGCTCCGACATCTTCCAAGAGTACGAGCCGTCCGAAAACCAAACCAACAGCGTGGGTGCCATCCTCTCTTCGCCCCAATGATGCCTCGTGATTGATATTCACAACTGTTTGCGCCAGGTGCCGTCGATGTCATTCCAGAAAGGTGAAATGCTCCGGTGAACAGCCCTGCAAGAACTGTCAGCAAGCGAGCAAGGGCGCAGAATGCACATATCCTCGAAGGAACCGCATGGTCAAAGTCAGCCAACGGTCAGCATCACTTACTTGTCACTCCAAAAAACCTCCCAAGCCTAGTCGCTAAGAGAAACTCACGACTAGGTACATTGACGATCTCATCGCCGAGAACCAGCGTTTGAAGAACACCAGTAATGCGGCCACTCAATCCCGCGCAGACGCCCTTCTCCCAGAAATCACAGTGGCGCCGGTCAAGGAGACGACGGACAACGCCATTGCCATCCCGCCCCCTTCGCTCGATGAACGTCCCTGGTTCTTGGACATGAACATCCCGCACACCCCGATCCTCATCGGCGAGGCATCGGACGCCGCGTTCGCGACCCGCTTCCGCCAGGCCATTTCGACGGTTGAACACAGCCACATCCCGCGCGTCAACTACGCGACGGATGAGCGGCTGCTCACGCTGTCCGACACTGAATGCCCGTGGCCCAGCCCCGCGAGGGCGCGTCTTCTGGTCGGGGTTGCGCTGCGATATGTCAGCCGTTGCTATCACATCGTCCGCAAGAGCCTCACCATGGATTCCCTTGAGCAGACTCTGCGGAACCCGGCCGAGAGCGACGCTCTTCTCAAGAGCAAGCTCTGGGCACTGTTCGCCATTGGAGCCATGTACTCAACTCGGTCGGTCACATCGGAGAAGAACTTTCCGGGTTTGGCCTACTTTGCGCGAGCCACGAGGGTCCTTCGCATCGTCAGCGAACGACCGAGAATCGATGTCGTTGAGCTAAGACTGCTACTTGTAGGTCCATGATACCTCGTCTCTCCCTTTCCCTGCTGTATATGACTAACACCTCGCCGTCGTTTTACTCGCTTGCACTGAACCGACGACATACTGCGTACGCCTTTGCTGGCTCTGCGACCAGACTTGCCGTCGTGATGGGTCTTCATCTCAATGTTCCCGAATCACAGCTCAGGGATGCTGCTGCCCGCGAGCACAGGGTCAGGGTATGGTGGACGGCATACATTTTCGACAGGATGTGGGCAGCGAAGCTCAGCCATCCCGTCGCCGTACAGGACGTTGATATCGAAGTCGATCTCCCGTCCAACCCGACGGTGGATGAGAGTATTGCAGATGATTTTGCAGACGCCTCTTATTTCGTCGCGAGTGTAAGGCTCGCCAGCCTGCTGGGGCGAGTCGTCCCATCCATCTACCGGAGAAGACATCAGCAAACCTCGCTGTCGCACAGAGTGCAAGAAGCACTCAAAGAGCTTCGCGGGTGGTCTGAAGGACTCCCGCCAGAGCTTCATTTAGATCACAAACCCACGTCAGAGCGTATACCCAAGCCAATCTCTCTGCACCTCAACTTCAACCAGGTAAGTCGGGGAGCTTCGAGCCATAACAGCAGGATTTACTTACTCCCATCTCAGTGTGCTGTGTGCACCACACGTCCCATTTTGCTCCACGTCCTTCGTACACACGTGGCGTCCTGGGGTGCACCAGATGCCCCTGAACCTCAAATCCCGGTAACCGCAATGACGTTGGCCGAGACTTGCATTCGCTGTGCGCGTCATTCATGCCGACTGCTGACGGAGTGCTGGATCGATGGCTCCTTTGCCACCTTTGACTACTTTTTCACACAGTACCTCTTCTCGGCAGCCACCATTCTCGCCGCCTCCAGCCTCCTCAATGGAAAGGAAAGCCACAACGACAGGGAGCAATTCGAGGAGGCCGCCCAGTTCCTCTCGCAGCTGAAGGACAACGGCAACTACGCAGCAGAGGAGTTCTGCCAGCACATTGATGCCATGAAGAGAACCATGGCAGCGGCCCAGGCCCGTCGGGGAGGCTACGCCACCGAAGGAGACACCTCGGCCGCCGTGCCTTCTACCATGCCCCCTTTCACCGATGCGGTGACCCTTGGTCAGCCTTTCCAGACGCAGCACACGACGGCTGGCATGGCACTCAACGAACCATCCCTACAGGAGCTCTTGGCTCAGCCACTTCTGGACTTGCAGTTCATCGATGCCTCGATTTACAACGATGGTGCTCAGGGGCTCTACTGGCCGGATTTCAGTCCGGAATCATGGACAGCTGATGCATGGGCGCCGACTTGAGCTGGAATTTTCCTTGATGTTCGATCACGGGTGCGATTTAGTATTAAAAGAGTTAAGGAACATTCTGTGAATCCTACACCAATCTCCCAGATGCCTCCACTTTCGTAAGTCCGGTGTTGGGAGCGTCCTACAGCAATGGAGTACGCCTACCAAAACTTGAACGGAACGCCCAGCCTTCTCGCAGCGTTCGGTGTCGGAGAACTGGAAGCCGCCGAGGTCGATGCGCCGGATCCCGTCTCTGTCGCCGCACCAGATCCTGTTCCGGGTGTCTCGGTAGATGTCACCGCGACAGTGGTCGATCGCGTCACCGACGCCGTGACGGTGGCAGTTCCACTTCCTCCGGTACCGCCGCATGATTCCTCTCCCGGGATGATGGTGTAGCTGGTGCTGCATCCGACGCGGGCACAGGGGTTTCTGCATGGAATAGAGACATATTCCGTCAGCACCGGGGTAGGGCAGCCGCAGGACTGCGTCAGGGTGGACACTGTGAGGCACTGCGGCACCGGGCAAGTGGCGCAGCTTTCCGTCACCTCCGTGACGGTCGGGCAGGCAGAGGCTGTGCCGCCACTCTCAACCGGAAGGGTAACAGATGCGGTCAAGTCGATCGGGAGTATCGAGTATAGATCCGACGTGCTTTGGGCAGCAGTTGGCCCCGCGCTGGTCTCGTTAGCGAGATGCTCACTCAGCGTGATTGATAGATTCATACATGAAGACAATGGCTGAGAACTGCTTGGTAAACTTCATTGTGATTGATGACTTGCGAGTCAGCGGACTGTGCAACAGAGGAAGATATTGCGGGTTTGAACAGGTGACTGAGAGAACAAGTTTGGCATCTAGGAGAGGCCGCCTTTTGTGTTCTTGCTCCGTGGCAGGTGACACCACCGGTGATCTCCTCTTCTCAAGGCCCCTGGTGCTCATTCGTTCGGTCCATCGGTGTAGGAGTTCAAACCACCATCCTATTTCGGCATTGGGGTCTTGGCTTGCAGGGGTGCAGATGCGGAGATGCCGTGTTGACTGGCCACCGACCTCTTTGATTTTTGACCAATTGCAGTAAGTTCTCGGGGACCTTGGCCGTTTGACCACGCACGGCAGAGCAGCCAGCCAACTGTAAAAGGGACCGCCTTGGCAACGTACCTTAGTCAGGTTTATAGCACCTTACTGTCTCACAAGATGCTCTTGACCTCTATGGGCAAGGTCAAACTTTGGTAGCCAATGGGGCAGTTAGATACCTGGATAGCTCCATGGTATTGTGTTTTCTCCTAGAAACCTTCTGCTGTGCTGAGTATCGGCCACGATACTCATACTGTACTCTTTAGACTGTGTCCCGAGTATTATTATTGTGTACCTGTGCGACCTCAAGAGGGACCACGGATTATGTATCTTAACTTTGCCACGGCAGTTTGTGCAAGGAAATCTTTGACAGTAGAAAAGTGCCACTGCTGTGAGACAGTGTCGGTTGTATTCCAATCGCAGCAGCTGTATGATCGCAGAGATCAGCATGTATTCAGACACAAACGCAACTTGGCAACACCAATATCTGTGCTACACCGGTGGGCCGGAGGCAAACATATTTATTTATCTATCTTTGGATATAAACGGCCCGCTTTATGTGCCCCCCAATGCCGCTGGACACTCTCGGTGATTCGTACGGCTACATGCCGTCCTTTTGGCGTTCATCGGTAACTTTCTCCCGTGACGAGCTCCTGTCCTGTGTCCAGGTCTCCTCGGTGCTCGCCGCACGAGCGTCAATAGCAAGATCCTCCGTCTGCGGCACGCCATCGATATCCAGCGTACCGGCCGCGTTCGCCCTCGAAAAGATAGTGCCAGGCATGACGGGGTAGTCGCCTTCGGTTTTCTTATGCTCGGGGACGAGGACGTTAAACCAGCGCGGCATGACGAGGCCAACGAGTGAAGCGGCGAGCACGATGTGCATGAATGTGAAGCCGGCGATATGAAGGGGGTCCCAGCGCTTGTCAGAATAGAAGTTCGGGTATGCGAAGGAGAATATGATGGCAACAATCGGCGCCGTATTGTATTTCAGCACAAAGGCCCAGATGGCAGGGATTCTCCACTGCCCGTCCGTAGCAATTGTAGCATTAAGATCGCGGCGCAATTGGTTGCCCTGAGGAATTAGCAACCGTGGATCGCTGCCAAGGAAACACGCATTGAGTACTTACCGAATAGGAGGTTAGGTACCAGAAGCGTCTCATCAACGAGTTCTTGCAAAAGAAGTTGGGGCAGTAGGCGGTCGGGTCGGACGCGAGTAGCACCGAAGAACCGGCCCCGACGATGAACATCCCGAAGCCAACGCCTGCACCAGCTGCAGCAGAGACCGAATGAGCCACGACGAGACCGATGAACATGCCTCCGATGTAACCAAAAACGTTGTACAAGCACCAAGACAAGAGACCACATTGGTCAACTACATCACGGTATCGATACAGTGTCGTGGCACAAACGGCTTCGCACCAGACGATCCAGAACAGAGCCAGGTAGTTGATCCAGGTGTCTGCCGCGTCCACAAGAGTGTATCCGAATTCCGTGCAGAAGGGCAGAGAAATGAGGAAAGACGCGAGGACAATGATAGTTGAGACCCAAGGGCGAGAGTACTTCTTGCCCCAGTCAGAGTCGCAAACCATGGTGACCAACGTCTCGAGCAACGCGAAAGCCGAGCCGAGACCCAGGATGAAAAGGGTCGCAAAGAAGAGGACGCCCCAGAAGTTGGAACCTGGCATCTCGGAAATAGCTTCAGGGTATGTGAGGAAACCGACGACGAAAGTGTTGAGCCTCTCGCTGTTATCGGGGTGCATGCCGAGGTAGCCGACAACGCCGAAAACGGACATGGAGCCAATGATTTCAATAAGAGAGTTCGAGATGCAGATGATCAGCGAGTCCTGAACAGCGTTGGAATATTTCGAGTTGTAAGAGGCGTAGCTGGTGTAATAGCTGGAGACCGAGCAACATCAGCCATCATACTTCGAAAATCAAAGCTTTGAGCCTTCAATCATCACCTACCCCATACCAATCCCAGTACTGAAGAATACCTGACCACATGCTTCTTGCCAGATAGTGCCAGAGGAAAGCTTCTCTCCGTGCCATTCCGTCCAGTATATGCGGATGCCATCTATGGCATTGGGAAGAGAGCAACCGCGGCCGATGAGAACAATCATGAGGACCAGGGGTGCGGCCATGGTGAAGTAGACCACGCGTCCTGTAAGACCGATGCCCTTGAACATACAGAGCCACACAACTGATAGAAAGTAAAAGGTCAGCAAGAAGCCAAAACAAGAATGGGGAGTGCGTGGTTACCAAACCAAGTGAACAGATTCCATAATGTCGTCTCGGTAACCATGCCCATTCCCGGGTAATAGGTATAGTCTTGGACGGCATTGCCGTCAGCCGTTAAGTTGCCCTCGACGCCTGGAACATCCTGGAGAACGGTCCCATAGAAGAACTCCTCATTGCGACCAGACCAAGGCATAGGACTGATAAACGAGTGTCGAAAGTAAGTCATGATCCACGCCAGGATCGGGACGTAGTAGATGACGATAGCGTATCCGATATATACGACGCCAAAGCCCACGCCCTTTGCTCTCTTGTGAACATGGTGCCAGGCAAGTACGCACCCGCTACGGTAGGCTTGGCCAACGCTGATTTCGAGAAGCAGCGTCGGAATGGCCAGGCAGGCAAGTGAGATAAGGTAAGGGATAAAAAACTGCAATCCGTGATTGTTGAAGACAATGGAGGGGAACCGAAGAAGATTGCCAAGGCCAACGGCGCCACCCATCGCCGCAAAGATGAAGGACGTTCGAGAACCCCACATGTCACGGCCATCGTCGCCCTTCTCCGCCGATGGCGCCAGCAGGTTGTAAATTTTCTTGCCGATGTTGACCATGTTTGCGGATATCGCTCAAGAACTACTATTAGGGACAAGGAGCAAAAGACGTGACATCCATGGAGGGTCAAAGGGCACGCCTGTGACCGGAAGGCCAAGCGGCCAGTATACTAAACCGATATGTATTAACGTGTAGAGGTCGAGATGCGCTGTAGCATCTCAAAGACTTGGCAGTAAATATGATAGTCTCACTGAAAATAGATCTGAATATAAATGGTTTGAAGGTGGTCCGTTCAAGATCAGTTGAACGAACTACCACGGTGGAGTTCGTCTTAATATACGAATTATGGGTTGCATACCAAGCCTGGATCAACATTGAACTTAGACCCAAGAAATCGGCAACGAATCCTGAAAGCGCCCCTGTCCCAATAGGTGAAGCGTATAGGTAGACCGTTCAACTAGCCAGCATATGTGATAGGATAGGAAACTCACCGGAAAAGTTGGTCTACACGGGCACCAAGGCACACGACCATGATAGCCAAGCCGCTTGGGGTTCCTTGTGTCTTGTCTAAGATAAGGACCATATAGAAGGCCTCCTGGAGGTGGGACTCACGAATCCGCTTACCACCAGCTTTCTGGCATCTAATTGGCCCACAGAAATGACTGGGACGCGGGCCAAGAGCCTCTCATTCTACGATCTCTGGGGCTCTCGGCTTTCCGGCTTCGGTCTGTCCCTCCGCCAATTACCAAGGATCTTGGCTCACGAGAGCTATCAGCACACGCGCGATAAGACGCACTTTCTCCACACCTTGGCACACGCATGGCAGCGTCAATTGCCAAGATCTTGGTTAGGACCTGGGGACACAACTCTTGCGCTTGACACGCTAGAAAACCAATGGCCTCCGTCCCTTGGCTCTTGGAGCCTGGGCTTGGTGCTGCGCCTGCTCATGAGTATATTACGTTACCAAAGACATACGCTCAGGATAGAGATCAGAGGCTCGCGTAGAATGATGTACGTTTTACGTAAAACTATGAGGAGTCTCAATGATAAATGGTTCTCTCTAGCAATCCGAACCATACACTTGTTCCAGCGTTGAATGTTCACTCAATATAAGTATTGTTTCTTGAACTATATGTCAAGTCGACTTGATGCTTCCTGGTGGCCAAGGCCTTTCTCGACGGTGCCACATACAATTCGTTCACAACTCCAGTTTCAGAAGTTTGGAGAACATATTTCGTGGTCTTTTTGCTCTCAAGCTCCACGTTTAGAAGTTTGACCCAACCGGTCTTCAACCATGGAAACCAGGAGTTTGCTAGCGTTACTATTTCTATAACTTTGGGACATGAATGGCCAACTAAGCTATTTAGATCTCAAATGAGCGGTTTTTATAAGACTTAACGACGTGAAGAGATACATGTATTGAGAGCCGTTCTTTGATTTTCCTAGCTGAACGTCTCCCAAGTCTCAAAACCGATAGTATTCAGCTCACAATGTGGAAGACAACCTAGCGTCACTGCTGAAAAAAAGGTTTGCTAGTGTTTCGGGGATTACGAATCCACATATGGCCAAGGCCGCTAGGCTCGAGTCAAGTATATAGTATTCAAGAAGTAGCACGATTGATCGATGAAGCTTATTTGATAAAAAGTCACATCGATACCTTATTATACGGTACGACGGTCTTCCCATGAGCAGGTCGCAACGCGTTAGATATGTTAATTTTATAATTACGAAGAGCAGAATTGCGCTATAACTTTCCTCTAATGGCGCAATTAGGTCAGACAGCTATGTGGTAACTCTGGGAGTTGACCTTACACGAACTGTCAAATCTATAGTGTTATAGCTTTCTTGATCTATCTAACCGTTGCAAAGGGCACATTGTGAACACACACGCTTCGTTGTGGAGTCTGGCGCCTTAAGACGTCTGAAAGCCATACCCAACATGACTCAATCACTGTCGGGATGTATTCGAAGGCTCAACCACTTTCCTACTTGACTTCACGGGCGCTTGGGTTCATTACACATTTCAACAGTCATCTGATGTTTTGATGCGTTATCTCGTCACCGAGATACCTTGAGAATGGACCAGCGGGCTTGTGTCAGCTGTCTCAATAGCGACGGTTCAAAATTTCTGCAGGTACATAGCTTGTAACGTTAACCTATGTACCTAGATACCCACCGTTTCAAACTGGACACACGATCCGTGAGCAGTATTACATGATTCCCAAGGAAAGTGTTTTACCTAAATGCATACATTGCATAATCTAGAACAACAATTCTCGTCCCTTCCAGGAACTCAAAGTATAGGTGTGCCGTCGACCTTGGTGCCATTTCAACCGTCCAGCTTTCGTGTCTCCACCACTAATGATATGTCAAGATTCCACTTGATGGTCTCTCAAAAATTGATCGTCAAGTTTGTTGTTTCCCCCATTCCTAATGCGGCCTATAGTTACTGAATCTCGTTTCACGAACGGTCCCTTTCTGCTATAAGAAATACCGTTAACTACGGAGGAATGCTCGGATGACGATCGTTATTCATTCTACAAAGCATCAGCACCAGTGACCTGGCGCTGGGTTCTGCCAAGCTGCTCTCAATGACCCACAGCCCGGGTAAATACATAGTAATAGGTATGTCGACAACGGAAACCTTTCGCCCGAGACCTTGAGTCCAAGACATCCATCCCACTCGGTTTAGTCGGTGACCCAAAGCAGGAACCAACTCATTAACAGCATGTATCTGTTTCAGATGCACAGTGCAATGGGCAACTCTCCTTACTTAGGACTCAAAAGTTTGGTGCAGCTGTCGAAACCCAGAGTATAGTCCCTTGATGATTAGTGATATAAACAATGACTTAGACAGGCCGAGTATTGTTATCAGGCAGCTAGAAGACATGCATTTGGAACCCCGTTCGGGTTCGGCCTGTTCCGTGTACTAGTTTGGTTTGCGTCTACGGATCCTGGTTAGATTTCCGCCAAAAGCCGCGGCACTTCAACAGTATGCAATAATGAAGCCAAAGGCCTGCTTCAGCCGCCCAGATTGCTACCGTGGGCCCACAGTTCATGCTGTCATACTGTCTCGAACTCCGGCGCTAAACGCCCTAGCTAGCCGCCAACTTAAGCTAGGAGAGAACAACTGACAGGGCTGTCTCCCGAAGCAACATCTCGGAAGTCACCGCGAAACCAAGCGTGTTCTTCTCAACATTACCTCGAGCATAGCAGTGTCGATCATTGGATTTTCGCTGAGACATGAAATCAGCTGGAGTTTGTTTTACATGCCCCACTACCAAGAATCCGACAGGGAGAGACGGTCAAGGGATTTCCTATCTAGGATTCAACATTCATGAGCTAAAGCATGTCTTGTCTTAGATCACGGGTGTTTCTGACCTTAGCTAGGTAATCTGATTTTCATAACAGCCGTGACTGACGGCTATGCTATAGGCAATGTTCCGTTTATACAGTGCGTAATTGAGCGGGTTCTTTCGAATATTGGGTGAAAAGAAGTAAATATTGTCGCTAAACGAAGCCGGGTGTTCGCTGATCATTTCTGGTCTGGGACCTTGACACATCTAGGCTAGGCAAGTGGAAAGAAGAATTGACATGTGGTCTTCTACGTCGTTTCGATGGGAATGCTTTGGTAACTTGGCAGATACGTGAGAGAACAGATATCGACACTAATCGTGTCGAGTGTCATACTACGAAGACCAGAACTCACTATCGAGAATCAAGTATAAGAATCATCTCGTCTCCCGTCCATATCAACATGATCTTCACAGCAACATTCGCCTTCTTCTCACCTTTCCAACCTAATTTTACAATACAAATCTCTAGTTTCTCGCACTCTTATACAAAACCAGCAACATGCAGTTCACTATGCTTAAGTACGCAGTCGTTGCACTGGCCACTCATGGCAGCGGCGTACTTTCTCAGTTGACGCCTGCGAATGTTGTAACCAACCTCAACACGCTCACCGCTAAATCCCGGGCCCTCCAAGCACCTGCCAAGGACATCACCCTCGTCAACGGCCCTTTGATCCTTATTGGTCAGGGTCCTTTCCCGGTAAGAGAGTTCCGCACGCCTTGATCGTACTCGACCTCCCCACTGAGCTAGTCGATATTAAGGCTATAACTAAACCATTTAATAAATACAGGCAATTATTCAGGGATTTACCGACATCGTCAGTACCACGACTAATGCCATTACGTCGATGCAGGGCATGGCTCCCGTTTCTGCTGGTGCCGATTCTGACAGTATCTTCAATGCGTTCCGCGATTTCGTCCGCGTACACCAAGCGCTTCTCAACATTCTCATTGGCAAAGCTGGCTTGCTTAACACTGTCCCTTTTGCTGGACAGCCGATTGCAGCTGTCCTGAGGCAAGTCGAGGCTGTCGTAGATGTACGTTCAACCAAAACCCTAGCTTCCAAGCGTAGTATGTATGGAATAATCGATTTAACCCCGCTCATTAGACGGTAGCCTTCACTCTTATCGACATGGTGCAGAGCAGAGCAGCCGACCTCACAGCTGAGGCCAATAGCCTCGATCAAAGCCTTGACACGGCGATCAAGAGCTACCAAGGTGTCACCCAGGGTGCTGTTTGAGCAGCCAGAACACAAAATCTGAATTAGCAAGTCAAACCTGTCAATTCAGGTCTTGGACCAGATACCATCCATTTGAACTTCGGTTGAGAAGTTCGAACAACTAGGAATAGTCATAGGTTGCCGGCATAGGAAGTTATGAGGAAGGCTGTGGGCTTATACTTCGAACATCTGCTTTTCGTTTACAAATAGTTTAAGCTCGATCATCCGATTCAACATGCGGAATAAAATGCTCTTTTTGAAAATTTGAACTTGTGTTTACAAACTCTACATTTATGGCAGCCAGTGAATATCATTAATCACCAAACAGCACAACGCTGAGGCTGGATATCTAACTACGCAGCATATTGATGATGGAACGCAGTATTTCACAATACATGCCTGTAAACACAAAGATTAAGCGATTCACTCAAACAGGTCTCGGTTGCTATGCTAGATTAGAAATCCCAATGGAAATGTGACATTTTAATAAGCCGAGTTCTACTGTGCAGCCTCGGGGATATACATGTACAACTAGGCTTGAAGGAAGTGTATAATAATGATAGAGTTAGGTAGTTAGTCCATGTTCCCATCCCCGCCTTCATCTACCCGCACATATCCTTACATACTCTCCTATCTACAAGCCCACACCGGATGTATCTATGGTTATCAGACTAACCACGTGGGTCATGTTTTCCATTGAAGTAATCTCAATTGGGCCAACTATTCACACGCATCCGGTTATTTAAAGCAAGTTTCTTGTGATGACGAAATTAGTCCACAGTTGTCATTGCTACAACTGCACTTAGGTACCGTCACGACATTTCTCAAAGCAATTCCATGCATTAGCTAATGAATCGATGCTTCAAGAGCCTCTCCCTCGATATCCCTAGTCCAAAGGCGCACCTTTCGTAGGTGTAATCCCCTAACAGATTACTCCCATTCACCTTAGTTTTGCACAATGTGTGGCTGACTTAAGTGTCACTAAATGCCAGTAGGCTTTTATATCCAGAAGCAGCCGATCCATTTGACGACATGGCTCGGCTAGAACCTAGTGTCGAACTTTTGAACGGGGAACCAGATAGCTTTGGACTTAGCCAAACTTCACAGGGGCTGAGTCAGGAAGGAGAGCGACCCATGCAACAGATTTGAACCTGTCTCTCGACCTGTGATCGTCTTCTCACCAGTCCATTGTTATTTCCCCATTGAGAACCGAAGGGGCGTAAGGTACGCACCTCCAGTATTAGGAGCCTGCGAGCTTCATTCGCAGATGGCGGCGGACTTCCCCATGGCACAGGAAAAGATGGCGCAGGCCGGGCCCACAAGTCCGACATCTCCTCTAAATGCTGGGATGCCGCTCCTTTTGATACTAGTTACCCGGATATGCTCGAGTCTATTGGTTACTCCTACTATTTTATCCACTACATAACCAGATCGATATCCAGTGCGAGTCAAACATCTCTTTTCCAATGCTGATCAACAACGCAGCTGAAGACGAACATTCATCCACTCTCCACCTCCACCGCCCATTTGTTCTCCAACCGTACTTCCGCCATGGTAAACACCATCTATGCAGTCACAGGAGGCAACAAAGGCATAGGGCTAGGCCTTGTAAAAGCCTTGCTGGCTAGACCATTTACGACAGTCATTGCTTCTGTCCGCAACAAAGAAGCAGCTGCCTCATTCGAATCCGCCATTGGGAATGTCCAAAAAGGCGACAGCAGCGAGGTCCACATCATGCTTCTCGATTTCACCAAAGCTCCAACCCCGTCTTCTGTTCGCGAGGCTTTTGACCAGGCAACGTCCAGCACGATTGACCGCGTCGACGTCTTGGTCAGCAATGCTGCTGCAGGCTGCCCGCCTTCGCCGGTGGCATCCCTCAGCGCCGAAGACCTCAGAAGCCTTTTCGAGGTCAACACTATCTCGCCCTTGATGGTGTTTCAAGGTCTTTGGCCACTGATGAACACGCCACGAGCAACCGGAGAGATCGGGCCCAAGTTTATCGCCATCTCGTCAATAATGGGGTCTATCGAATTCTTCCAACCCGTCCCTAGTGGCGCGTATGGTCCAAGCAAAGCTGCACTCGATTGGTTTGTGAAGGGGTTACATGTGCAGAACGAGAACCTGATTAGCGTGGCTGTCGACCCAGGCTTCGTCCGGACTGCACTGGGCGAATATGCGGCCAGGCAGTGGAACGTTGATGTTGAGCACCTGATTGACGTTGAGACCTCTGTCAGTGGAGTGCTTCAGGCTATTGACGGGGCGAGTCGTGAGACCACGTCAGGAAAGTTGGTGCGCGTTCCAGACAAAATTTGGGCTTGGTAGATGTGATTCAGCAAGCACGGTTTTAGTGTCTTCAAGCTACGCAAACGCAAGACGGGCAAAGTCATGGGGAGTGCAGCCTTGGCAAGCAAATTTCTCCCGCATGTCCTGGAAATTATCCAATCAATGTTCCTTGCCAGATACTTTGCCCCCACTGAGCAAAGAGACTCTGCCGGTCCAAAGGTATGCCATCGGTTGTCCTGTCAGCGGACTTGAGTGGTTTTGGAAGCTGAGCTGACTTGAGCTTGCATTCAATAGTGTAATGAGACCCCGGTATTCCAATGCCCAGCATGAAGAACGCTAGGCAGAACGTCGAGCTCGCCCAATCATAGCTTCAACGGAAAGTTTTGACCCCTTCATCATACTGAACTAACAGATCTGACATAAGAAGACATGTGCAGAAACTTGACTAGCCGAAGAAGATGACGTGAGATCTATACAAGTTGTTGCACCTATCACAAAGCAATTGTGGATTTGTGGCATAAAGTTAACCGAGCGAGAAACGTTATAATCAATGGAAGGATTACCGAGATGTGAAAGCCTATGTCTCCTGCTACCATCGCATCACTGATTTTCTCCCTCTGGCGAGCAGCACTAATAAGCCGAGACATCTGAAAGAATGCCTGTCGACTTTACCCTTAGTTCCACCGAAGCGCAGATTCGCAAGACTGCGGCTGAATTTGCCCAACATGTACTCAGACTTGCACGAGCTGAGTATGCAGTGTATTCGGAACAGCACAAGCGATTTCAAGCTACTCAGTCGGTCTACAGCACAGCAGTAGCAGGCGGAATGATCAAGGGGCAGATTTCCAAAAGCCTCGGTGGTGCCAGTGGGTCACTGATTGAGGCTGCCATTTTGGTTGAAGAGTGCTGTAAGAAATTCCCAGACTTTTGACCTATTCCGACTCGGATAGGAAACAAATGAAATAGTAAACAAACAGCCGAGCTATAGTATAGAGCAGCGAATCTACTTAATAGAGCTGCCTTTGGAGCAACATATCCACCGAACTAAACATTGACACTATCTCTAACAGATGCGGTGGAACCGAGCGCTTCTCTTACCATCTTTGCGACGGGCTTAGGATTGACACCTCTGAACCTGACGCAAAAGCCAGAACATGGCCAGTTTCTGGAGCCCTTTTTGACCGGTCAAGGGGCGCCGCTTGCTTCCTTGGTATTCAGCGAGCCAGGTGGAGTAGCTAATTATCTAGAAAAAGGCGCAGCCGGACTCAACACCACGGCTTACCGCGAGGGGGACGAGTGGATCATCAACGGGGAGAAGATATGGGCGACAAACAGCGCAGGCTGGGATTCCAAGGGCGCCGATTTAGCCTGCGTAGTCTGCCGCGACGTATCTGTCACGCCTCATCCGGACGCGAACCCTGAAGACAGCGTTATGATCATTCTGGTCACCTCCGCGGATCTTGAACGCAGCGGCGATGGGAGCTTCCAAGTCCTGCGCCATGTTTCCACACCCGGACACACCTCTACTTCCGGGCCGCATATCAAATATCGAAATGTCCGCGTCCCCGCGAAGAATGTTCTCTGTGCGCCGGGGGAAGGTGCAGCGATCGCCTCAGGCTCGTTCGATTGCAGCGCCGTACTTGTCGGTGCCATGGCAGTTGGTTTAATGCGTGCAGCTTTCGATGCTGCCCTCTCTTTCGCCAAACATGACTGCCGCGGAGGCAAGGTTCCCCTGCTGGAGCGGCAGGCTGTTGCCGACCTTCTCTCCGGTATCAAAATGCAGACGGAGGCGTGCCGAGCATTGACATGGAAAGCCGCTCACGCCTTGGAAAACGGGCCGGGCGATTACAGAGCAAGACGTGAGCTAGCACTGGCGGCTAAGGTCTATTGCAGCGATGCCGCCGTCAAAGCTGTTACTGATGCTATCAACGCAGTTGGAGTGTAAGCTTACCATTGCCTGCTTCTCATCGTGATAACGGCCACAGCCGTACGACTGACACGAACTCGCAGATCCGCCTATGATACCGAGCAGCCCTTTTCGGAGCTCCTCAACAACGCAATGGTTCTTCCAATTTTCGACGGGGGAAACGTGGGAATCCGACGACGACACATGCAGCAGCTGATGCTCGCCCCATATTATGACGCTTGGGCATCGACATATGGCCCCAGCCTAGGCCGATGACAAGATTTGTGTATATACTATTGCCATATCCGGTTTACTGAGTCAGAGAGTGTCTGAGAAATTAGCTGCGGAATCTGGGTTTATTGACAATAGAAACGTCTAATACCAGTTAAGTTGCAAGTTGGTTTAATGGACATGGGCGCAATGTTAGCAATGGGTATATGGGCCATTCTGTGGCTGCATTTGAAATAGCACTAGTTAGCTGTTGTTGTCGCAAGTGAACATGGATTCAAGTGTGTCTTAAGTATTTTAGTGCGTTAAATTTATTCTTTCACCTCCGTCGTTCAAAGTATATGGAACCATACGATGTTTCGCAGCCACCGCCCCTAAGGCTTCGATCAGATAGTCCTACCAGGGGTTCTTCGATCGGGTCTTGGTCGTGTCGCCAAGCTGCCAAGAGATCATGTCGTGATACCCATGTTTGAGAGGATAGTCCAGAGGCATGGGCTTCGCTGATGGACCAACCAATGCGTCAAAGGCGCGGTTGAGCATCTTGCCAGCTCGACCCTTGGCGAATTGGTACCCGTCGTAAACCAATCCTTTCAAACTCCATCTCTTGGACTGACCAGAGCTCGACGCCGTCTTTGCCGCCTTCTCGTCAATCTTATGTCTCTGAACCATTTTGTGGTTGATGTCGATGAAAAGACGTTCCCACATGCCGATTCGCTCCTCTCGGAGGGTCTTCTTTTCATTTCCGGCATCTTTGGTCCAGACCCAGTGGTTCTTGGCTTGGTCAAGGAGGCAGAGGTCCTTCTCGAAGGGCATTTGATGGACAACCAGCGTGTGGTCTTTGTGATATTGGGTGTCCAATGCATGACCCCCATGGACCGAGGAGACTTTTCCACTCAAAGTCTCATAGGTAGAGGCAACCGGGCCTCTTGGGTACTGGTCTCCGAGCTCAAGAGGCTCAGTAGTCTTCTCGAGTGTGTATCCATTCTTTGTCAAAGCCGCGCATTCCCACTCACCCTCGTCATTGAGGCCCAATCCTTTGTAGAGGTACCTAATACGCACTGAGGGGTGTATGAACTCATTTGGATCCGTAATCAAGGTCTTTTTGTCGTCCTCCTTGTAGTTTCCGGGCGTCCTGGTGCCAAGAACGGTGTTCTCACCCTTGAGTCTCTGCCATGGGTACCAGATCGCGTTGTATGCCTGGTCTGGGATGGATGTAGTAGCATCAGGATTCGTGATCTGCCCTAAACCCCACTCACGCGGTTTGACGCCGGGCTCAAGCGTGTAAAAAAGACGCTTCATCTCCGGGGTGCTGAACTCAACGCCAATCGATGTGAGCTGATCAGCCATCCCTGCATCGTCCTCTGGTCAGCATGCAACTGATAACACCTGTCTCGGTTGGGAGGAAGACACATACAGGCCATGGCAATTGATGCGATTTGCTGGTCAGGAAAGCCCCCACCAACGTTGCTGTGGCTGCCGGGGAACCAAACTTGTCGAAGCTGAGTTGTAGTATTGTCTTTCATTCCCCACAGGGTCGGTTTGAACGCCGTCCGCCACTCGTCCAGAGCAAGTGCATGGAAAGCGTGGTCAACTTTTGGATGGACATCAAGACTTGCGAATCGAAGCTGATGAGTGTCAGTATACCTGACTCCTACAAGATGACGTAGCATGAACAGGGTGTGGAGACAGAATTCATACCTCATCCGCGCTGCGATCTTTGCGAATCTTCTCCCACGGCATCTTCGGCCAGCCGAGACTTCCAACCGTGTCCCATACACCTAATTGCCGTGAGTCTGTCAGTTGATACAACCCGAATGAATCAATATCCCGTGCCCGGTTTTACTGACCTACTGCTTTGACCCTGACCTCTGTGGGGACAAACTCATTGACCATCCGGCCGCCTTCTTTCCGTGACTTTCTTTCGCACAAGATCATCTCATGCTGGTAGTTTGGTCAGAGGCAAATTCATAGTTGAAGGACGAGAAGAAAAGCCAGAAGGACACGGGGCGGAATGTTTTACCTCGACAAGTCCCTTCCTGTAAATCTGTGCCATATCCCGAAGCCTTGTTTGACCGTTGCTTCCTTTACATTCCAACATGGATTTGAAGATTTCTCGCTTGCTCTCGTCAAGCGCTTTTTCCAAGGCTGCGTTGCTGCGTCTTGCTGGGCCCGCCTTGAATATCTCAAGACGCTCGAAATTGGAGAAAGTGAAACCCACAAGGTGATCATCCTTGTTGAACTTCTTGCCTGGCTTCCAGTTGGCGAAGTTCTGGTAGTCATGGAAAATTGCCCCGAATTGTGACAGTCCCACACGGTTCAGGAGCCCAATGTTGCACACAAGCCCCGAGACTGAACGAGCAGTGAAAGCACCCCTGGAGAAGCCAAGAATGACAATTTCGTCTCCGGGGTTATAGTTGTCGCAAATGAAGCGATAGGTGTCCGCAATATCCTAAACAGGAGTTCCTTGTCAAAATTGTGCACTTGCGAGAGAACCATCGTGTCGTGATGAAGGACGGGCTTACTTGGACTACGCCCTTCCCCAAGACGCCTCCAAGGTACTGTCCAACTTTGGAAGAGTCTGTGCCCGCTCCTCGTGTGTAGTACACGATTTGTGGCATGCCGGTACAGCATTTACGAGCGATTGCAGCCGAAATACGAGCGACATTAGTTGGAATGCCCCCCATCTTGTTACTATTGAAATGCAGCTTAGTATTTCAACCGTGCAAGCAAGCTCTTGGACCTTACGAATTGTTCCATGTTCCATCGCAGCAAGCAATGATTCGTTTGTTATTCGTCGTCTTGTTCGCTCGGTGGGCACAGTCTGCGAATTTCTGCGTACTACCGGTTTGAGAATCAGGTAGTTGCATTTGCGATACCCAGGTTGGGCCGTCTGTCGATGCGTTGGCCATGGTATGAAGTCTTTCAAAAGTTGACATTGACAGGACAGAAATGAAAGATTCGATGCCCAAGGGATGGCCGTTTTAAAGAGATGCCCATCCGAAGTACGAATAAGAAAAATGTTCTGGCCTGTGATTCTGCCAAGGGATCCACCCGTATCTAAACTATCGTCTGATCGCTTGATACAAGGGTTCCCTAAAAGGAATGACGCGGAGTCTGGGCTGAATGATCGTCATTGACGGATTTCGCTATGTCTTGAATGTTTGTAGGGATTTGTTGAGAAGAGATCTCCAATGCAGAGTAGTCTGTAACTACGCATACCAGAGTTGGAAGTTATAGGCGGGATCTCCACAATATATACTTTCACAGCTCGTCCAAGGGGAGCTTCTGGTGAGAATTTTGTCTTACATGGCAATCTCACAGTCATTTCTAAACTGGCCAGCAGTACAAAAAAATCCCGATTCCAGAGTGTTGAACTAGATTTCGATGATACTTGAGCGTCGGCTGGTCGCTACAGATTACATTGACACTTTTCGGTTGTTGACCCTACGAACCGATGAAGCAGAATTACGATAAGGGTCGGAAGGTTGAATCTGGTTTGGGAATTTTTAACCAATTATGAATGGAAAGCCACAACTACAGCGCGGCGTAAGTGGCGTCGCAGATCCCGTATAACCGAGACACCAGGGATGGTCTCAAGGGGGGCTGATAACGCACTGAGATTATGCTCATCGAGATCGAGCTAAGTGGGAATTCAGGATCATTCAGTGTGCCTACGTGTCTACTTCTCAATTAAGATAATTTTGCAGTGCCCTTGAGTTAGCTACTTCAACGGAACATCATCGTATGGCTTCCACAACGACTTCGAACAGCTGTTCTCATCTGGCAACTTGGCACAAAATGATGGCCGGCATTCTACCCGCGCTCGGGCGTCGAGCTGAGGACACTAGTACTAACCGAAGCAGTCGGAGCGGCCCGCGTTGTGGGGCCGAGGGAGGAATACGTCGGAGCCACCGACTCGGCAGTTGCTTTCTACCCTTCTTACTGGCTCAGCAGGCTAGAATTTCAGTAGTGAGGGCGTCGCCGAAAGCCACTAAGAATGAAGGACTCGTTTATCGGGGTTGATTTCTTGCTATGGTCGGTTTCCGAGCTGAGTCAATCCCTCTCGGTTCCGCAATGCCTCATATAAGGGCACATGTAGCCCTTATTCTCCGCTAGTGTACGTGCTCACATGAACGTTTCCGAGCCAGTCCCGTAAAAAGAAGCAGCCGAATACACCTGCGTGAGTGTTTTCCCGCGATTCACGTTATAAAAGCCTGGCTATATACTGCCGCTTGCTGGTTGTCAGTCGCAAAGGGTTGTTATCCATCACCCGTCAGCCCACTCATATCACAGGCACGCCAGTCTACTCCAGCATGTTGGGTGCTATCAAATAGCACCTTCGCCATTTGATCCTTGGCCGTGCAATTGTGTCTTCTGAGGTATAGTAGTCGCATCCATTAGCCCGAGGTCAACATGCAGGTCGGGTTATCCAGCCTCGGACCCTCACATGCGGGGAAGGTTGTGCCACATAAACACGTCGATGATTGGTACGCATATACTGCCGGAGAACAACCAGAGGAACCAACAACGTCAGCCGGCCACATCGGACGAAGAAGGAAGAAAAACCAATGATTCCTTTACAATATCGACTGACTGAAAACCATCCGTGCTTTTCACCGTACAGCATTCAACGCCGGAACGTCATCCGGCCTGGGCAGCATCTGATGACCGCATATCTGCCCTATCGGCTGTCGGTAGTCGGGTTGTAGTACCTCCAGGTCGCACTAATATATTATTAAATTCAATTGCTTATAGCAAGATGAAGATAACTGTCAAAAGGATGATCGAGGAACATCATGCACAGTATTCGACCAGTGTCCAATATGACCCTGGATATCCCGACCATGCAGTTGGATGTCAGCTTCCCCGCTCACCTGTCTACCGAGTCACACGGCGTCGGTGTGCTTGTGCTTGCATGAGTATAAGCAGACAGCTTCCCAGGTCCACCATGCCCGGAACTTGGTTCCATGCCCGGTCATTCAAGTTGTCCGGCATCCTCGAGTCGCTGAAACGTTGGAACAACCCACGTACTCCAGGGATTGGTCCAGTCGGCGTGTAGCGTGTGGGGCCTACATTTGCCTGTTTTATCTTTCCCCGCATTGTCGAGGTCCATCAGTTACGATTTTGCGGGGTTCAACCCGAAACCCAGATGCGATCCAGTCAGCATATTAGGTACTGGAGTTGAACCAAGTTCTTGATGGGAACATTTCCCTCTCCACGAGAGACAGCACAAACCAATTTGACGCCTTCTAACACTGTTTTTTTGTTGAGATTAAGGCACACAACTCTTAAACATGTTTTTGAGTCTCGGTCGAGGCAAGAGCCTTCAGTTTGGCGTAACGATATGCTGTCTGATTGCATTTGTGCTGTTTGGCTATGATCAAGGCGTAACTCCCTTCCCCTCATAAAAGAATTCGTCATGATGAATCCAACTAACATGCTAGTAGGTCTTTGGAGGTATCCTCCAGATGGAAGACTGGCTGAACCAATTCGATCATCCGTCTGACTCAGAAACTGGTATCATTGTGTCGTGTTACAACTTGGGATGCCTCTTCGGTTGCGTTCGTAAGACGATTTCCACTTCCAACTCACAAGGCTGGCATTCGCGCTAATGCCTCGGAACCCCAGTGAACTTCGCCTTTGGCGAGAAGCTCGGCCGTCGAAAGACGATCTGGACCGCCATGGCGCTCGTGATTGTTGGTGCCACGCTGCAAGCAACGGCATACACTGTCCCTCACCTAGTAATTGGACGTATCGTCACGGGCTTCGGCACTGGTATGAAGACCTCAACTGTTCCGATGTAAGTTAAAATCCACCTCTCATATCCCCAACAAAGTGCTCACAAATTTCTTCGTAGGTATCAGTCTGAACTGTGTGATCGAAAGTACCGGGGCCGACTGGTGTCTGCCGAGACACTTTTCGTGGGCGTCGGAATCGTTTTCGCATACTGGTTCGATTTCGGCATGTCATACGTCGGCGGCCCTATTGCGTGGCGGCTTCCCCTAGCCTTTCAAATTGTCTTCGCGCTCGTCGTCATTGTGTTGGTTTTTGCCCTGCCGGAATCCCCTCGATGGCTATTCAAGCACGGCCGCGAGCAGGAGGCAGTTCATGTTCTCTGTGACGTCTTCGACAAAGAACCTACCGACGAGTACATCCGAGCAGAAGTCCTCGCAATACACCATGCCATCGAGCTAGACGCTATAGAGGACAAATCGTCCTCTTGGATCAGCATCTTCAGGAACGACCGCCTTAAAACCGGCCATCGTGTTCTTCTGGCATGGGGTGCACAGTTTATGAACCAAATAGGAGGCATCAACCTGGTTGTTTACTACATCCCATCAGTGCTGGTGCAGAATGTCGGTATGACAGCCCACCTGGCCCAGATCATCGGGGGTTGCGTGCAGATGATGTTCATGTTCGGCTCCATACTGCCAGCTCTTGCGTTGGATCGAATGGGCCGCCGCAAAACTATGATGTGGGGAAGTGCTGGGCTTGGCTTCTGCATGTTCATGATTTCGGTGCTCTTATCTCGAGTCGGGCTCGCAAACGGTCAAGTTTGCGCTTCGGCTTCGGTAGCATTTTTCTTTCTGTAAGTGGCCGCTCGCAAGCCTCTCTCGGCTGAGGACTGACCGTGAACAAAGGTATAATCTGATTTTCGGAATGGGTATGAACTGCGTTCCGTGGGTCGTCGTCCCCGAGATCCTCCCGCTCCACGCTCGAACTCGCGGGACGGCTGTTGGTATAAGTTCCAATTGGCTGTGGAACTTTTTCGTCGTCATGATCACCCCAGTCATTATCAACCGTCTCCAATGGAAGGCGTATCTGATTTTCATGGTCACCAACTTCGTCTTTGTTCCCGTAATTTACTATTTCTACCCAGAAACCAGCAACTTCGGATTAGAGGAAATTGACGAATTCTTCACATCTGGTCGCAACCCGGTCAAGGTCGCAAAGGAGATGACCAAGGCCATGAGAATCAGTGGCGTTAGGCCTGAGAAAGATTTGAATAAGACGTCGACCTCAGAGGAGAAGGCAAAAGTAGATGTGGAGCACAACTAAATGGGTGTGCAGATTTAAAGAAGGATGCATAGGCGTCACATCATCTTTTTCGTAGCAGAGGAGAAAGTAGATGTTTGTCGCTTGCTGCGTGAGGGTTTGGTCACATAACATAAGCTTCATCTAACAAGCCAGGTACACAGAGCGCCTGTAGTTATTACACCAAATGGCACGCGAGCCGTCCATAACCACATGGTTAATCTGATTGCACGCTTCGCGCTGTCTCGTTTTTTTGATCTGCTGCGGGGCTTTTTAATGTTTAGGCAGCGGTCTTGATCTGTGTAGTTTGTTTTCTGCTGCGATACTGAGACTTAGAATAGTTTTCTGGCCTCCGGCGATTTTGTGGTGAGCCCGGATGGACACGGACTTTTCTGGATGGAAAATACCGGAGAAGCACTTCCGATACAGCACCGGCTCAAGGATAACCCAATCAAAAATAACGGAGCGTCCCATTTTGGCTTGAAGTTGAAAGCCCATGTGGGTCGATGCCGATTGATTGATAATTCAGTCTGGGTTACGTGAGCAACCTGCCGTCGAAGGAACTGGAGTCAAGAGCCAACGAAGAATCGCCAACGGCCTTGAGGATCAGCGGCATGTCTTCGGACTCGGCCCAATCTCGAATGTCCGCCCGAGTCCGAATGATCTTGGGTTCGCAAGTGGTTTAGGAGTTGCAAATGATACCGCATACCTGTTGGCCTCCGGGTACGCCTCGAATAGATGTGGAGCGGAGGAGTAGGTCAACGAGAAAGACGGCTCATGGTCGAGAGATGCATAAGTAACAGCTAATTCCAATGCCACTTCCGAAAGGCTTCAAGACAAAAAGCAGGCAAAACATTCAAAGTGAATCACCTTATCTCAGAAACAACCTACGCACATTAACCCACCATGCAGGAGACCGTTCTGGTGTTTGGTGCCTCTGGCAACATTGGTGTGTCTGCCATTATTGCCGCCTTGCGTTCCAACCGCCAGGTCATTGCTGTCGTCCGCGACAAGGCCAACGCAGAGAAGATCTACAAATACGCAGGCACCAGTGACGGAATCACGATTGCGCAGGCTGATCCCACGTCGGAGGACTCTCTTCAACACCTTGTCGATCAAGTCCGTGCCGGAAAGCTACCCAGCTTCCAGCATGTATGGGCGTCGTGTAAGTAGATTCCCTGCGCCTCCTCTTCTGGATTTTCAAAGCGACTATTCCGCCCCGTGGATTAGGCTGATTCGGGTTTTAGCTGGAGGCATCTACTGGGACACGCCAATTCTCGAACTTGAGGCCGCTGCGTTACGCGAAGTTTTGAAAGTCAATTTTGAAGCATATGTCTGTGAGTAACTGGAACAATATTACCTCGTATTCTGCGGTAGGAAGAAGATTCAGGCAGCTGACCACATACCCTAACAGACGCATACCGCGCCACCATCCCGTATCTCCTCGAACAGGGCTTTGAAAACAGCACCTGGACTGTTTGTACCGGCTCTCAGGGCGATCTCGGGGAGCGTGTGGCCCCAGCCGTGACGCAAGGTGCTCTATTCAGCTTCGCAATTGCCGCCGCCCGCCAGACTGAGAATACAAATGTCCGCTTCAACGAGGTCTACCTTGCCTATCGCGTCCAGGTCGAAGTCGAAGGGGGTTACCAGAACTGGAATGGCTTTCATATCACAACCTCCGAAAGCTTCTCGCCATTATACGAGAAGCTTTTGGGCCGGACTGACATCAAGGGCAACCGGGTTAATGCCAAGAGCCCAGAGGATGTCGTCAACTTGTCTACAGTGAGACTATTTTGAGAACACCTGGGTGTTTGATGGCTTTGTAGTCGCATAATCACCGAATGGAGAAGAATTGATTCGTGGCAGAGAACATAGCTTAGCATGAGCATTGAATACATGATATATGTTGGAAAAGTTGTCGATGATAACGTTATTATCCCAGGATTCTGTAGCATATTCGTCAGCAGTGATGCGATGTGGGCTCCTCAATTGATTTCAGAGGCGTTGGTTGCGGGGAACCAGCCCATAACGTTATCAAGAATAAGCTACGGTCTGAGAAGCAAGCGATTCCAGTAATCACGACCTAAATTATAAAGCATGGAGAGCACGACACAAGGAGTGTCCAGTTGATGCCGTATAGTCAGTGTGTTCTATCTCCGCAGCGAACATGCATCCGATCAAGAAAGTCGCTATCCTTGGGGTAAGTCAAAGTCTCGGCTGCTGAATAGCACAGCGATCTCGCTAATGAGCCATCCAGGGTACCGGTGCTTTGGGAGAAGCCCTTGTACCAGCTTTGCTGAAAGCCGGTTTCGAGGTTACATGCGTCAGCCGCCCCGGTAGCAAAGCCGCAGTCTTTCCTGGTGTGGTTGTCAAAACGGCCGATTACACGGATGTCGCAGCACTCACAGAGGCATTCAGTAACCACGACGCCGTCGTCGAAGCCTTCAACCCCGCTGGAGCAACTCATCAGGCCCGTATTCTGAAAGCTATCCTCGCCGCGGGGGTAAGACACATCACCACGCCTGATTTCAGCGGCAACACGTTCCATCCCAACGCGAAAGACATCTTCATCTTCAACCCGAAGCTGGCAGCTCAGCAGGAGCTTGAACGTGTAGTTGCCGAGTCTGACGGGAAGCTGACCTGGACGGCCATCGTGACCGGTCCTTGGTACGACTGGACCATTGAGAAGGGCATATTCTGGATCAACAAGGCGAATCGCACCATCACGCGTTACGGCTCGGGCGATCAGAAGTGCAGCATGAGTCGGCACGCTCTCAACGGCGAGGCACTTGTCGCTGTTTTGAGCGACCACGAGAACTATCGCAACCGACCGGCCTATTTCGCCAGTCACACCGTATCGACCAACCAGCTTATTTCCACGGTCCATAAACTGGGGTTTACGGGTTGGGAAGTACTCGATGTGCCTTTCGACGGATTTGAGAGTAGGGCTCGCGCCATATGGCAAAAGGATACCGAGATGGGTGTTGAGGACAGGCTGAACTCAAAAGCTTATGCGGCTCTTTCTACCGTCGCCCTGTTGGACGAGGATAACCGCTATGGATCCGACTTTGGAGACAAAGTCGAGCCTGGGTGGGGTGAAAGTGAAGTGGCGCTTATGGACAACTTGAAGAAATCGCTTAGCTGAAGGTCTTTAAACAGCCTCTAGGCTGAAATCGATGGTAGATTTTACAACTTTTTATGGAAGTTCATGATTGGTCCATGTTTCTGGGGAGACAACGATTATGGTTGATGCGTTGAATTCAGGGCGTAGTATGACTATTGAGAAGCAACGAAACACAGCCGAGTCCCTCCTTACCAACCAACTCTCAACCGAGATCTCTATATACAACACCCTTTTCATCCTCAACACACGAGGCTCAGAAAACATTCCCCCTGGCTCTTATGCCTTGGCTATATAATCCAAACATCCGCTTAGTTGGCAATGACAGAAAGCACGGTGAAAGGAGCACCCTGGCAAGCGTTTTGAACAGTGGTCGTGAACGACGCGCCCTGACAGTCGGTGCCCTGGAAGGCCCTCAAGGTCAGGCCCTTGTTGCTGTCGTAGGTGAGGGAGTTGCCGGCGTTGAAGTTCTGGCACTTCTTGTTACCGGCCTCGCCAAAGTTCTTGTACTGCCCGGTGACGCAGTTGGTAATGGAGAAAGCGCTCGCGGTAGAGGCCAGGGCGGCGGTCGCGGCGAAGACGGAGGTAAAGGTGGTCTTCATTTTGGCGGGGGTGAGGTCAGCTGTCGAAGAGCGTCAGTTTTTCCTTTTATTCGTCAAAAGGGAAAAGGGAAAAGAAAAGAAATGGCAGATATACTTGAAGATATGAGTAGTGGGTTGTATGAGTCCTGTGAAAGAGAGCTGATGGCAGTGTTGTATCTGTGTGATGATTGTGTGTGAGATGGACTAAACATTCATCTTGTAGAGAGGCATGAGGACTGATTTTTATACTGTTCAAGTTACAATGGCGGCCACCTATTCTCCCATGAAAGCTACTGAGACCTCGGTGAAGTCATTCCGAAGGATTTCTAAACCACTGAAAGGATTCTATGGACCCCGACAGGATGAATCATGTTGATGATCTCTGCTTGAATGGTTGCTCTGAGTGGGGTCCGGCTTCGTAGCTATCTTTGGATGTACGCGCTTTGCTGTTTCTTCCTTGTACTAGTGTAAGGGAGGACAGTTGTGATGCCCATACTGTCTACAGTCCTCCCTTGATGCATTCTGCCAAGAATGAATAGGTTTATGAGTGCAACACTAACTTTCGCACTCAACTGGAAGCATCCGCGGCATACCCAAGCAAATATTAGATCTACCGTCTGTAGCCCAGTAACGTTTAGTCATTGTGTGTATGTTTAGGAGCTCGCATAGATTCGAATTGGTTCTGTCGTCTACCGGTGGATGCCGCTCCACTCAGAGGAAGCTGTTACCGAGAAGATATCGCCGAGTTGCTAATTTGACAGACGCCCACTCCACAGGGACATCTCCGAGAGGCAATGATCGTAGTAAAATTGCGGAACTGAACGCCGTAGAGTCTGTCCTGTTTGTGCTGCCACAACGCAAATTACATTCTCAGCCAACGCAAAGCAGAGAGTGGCCCGGACGACATTCGGGTGGAGGATTACCTACCAAGATTGGGCCGTGTGTTACCCGCAAAAGTTGAAGGCTGACGCATGCGCTGTCGATGCCAGCTAGAACACAATGGTTCCACCAAGTAGATCCTTAGCTCCGCACAAGTGGCGAAGGGTAATACACATCTGGCTCTGCATGCCCAACCAAGGAGCATGGTGACCTTACAGTGGCTGGGCGAGAAAGTTCATAAAGTCGACATCGGAATCACCACGGGAACATACTGAGGGATCTACGTTGCCAAGGTTACAAAGTACATCATAATCAGCTGCATGATCCTTACTTGTGATCAAGCCTTCGTAGTACAGACGACGTGGCTTTCGCCACCTAAAATTTCGATAACTAGAGGCAACGAGCGCCCAAGCGGCGCCGAACAATGAACTAACCGAGCATCCTGCCAGGCTACAGTCTAACATCATGGGGGAACCGTCGAGTTGAAACGTTCGGCCGGGCCATATTATCCATTGGCCTATTGAATCGATCCAGGAGCTGCGGTTGACAGCATTCGTATGATCCCTGACGCAAGAATGCCATGTATGGCAAAGCGATTCTTGCTTCTTTTCATACTCGATAGAAATGCGGAACACCAAGGTACGACTGGGAAGAAAGCATTGCAAGGTGTGGGCAGAATCTATAGAATTGGTTCCTTAGGGTGAGTTTTTGAGTCCTCGTGAACACAATCGCATAGACAGAAAAAAAGGAATAATCATAAGCATTACCCCTAAGGTGGGAGATCATCCCAATTCCAAAAAGTTGTTGTTTCCTGTCCTCTCTGAGAACTTCCAACTCCACGTTTGTCCGTTCCTTTGACAAAATATATCGGAGAAATGCTGCCTGGGGGAGAGAACTCCAACCTCTAGGACAATGGTATCGACCACGTGCGATGAAGGATATCTTCAAGAGACTCTGAGCCCTTTTTATCCAACTTGAACCCTCGTCAGTAGTTTCACCCAGCTGGAAAGCCAAGACCTGACGACAAGACAGCCTAGCCGTGATGGACACCGACATGGACAGTCTTAGGATGCTGGACTGCCAATCACCCGCAGGAAAGGCAGCCATTGCCGCCGTTGACGAAAGGATTTGCTTGCCGATGTGGCAGCCTGGAATTGTCCTCAGGACCTAGGTTGCCCTGATGAGAGCGTGGTACTACCTGTTGGCTACTCCCGGGCAAATGATGGATGCGGCGAAATCTTGATTTACTAGACTCCAGGACAAGCGTCTAGCCACTTGGCAGTGACAAGAGATTGGGACACCGAGAAGAACTGATGAGATTTACCAATGCGGCAGTGTGAGTGAGATGTGGATCCGCGAGGCTCATCTGAGCCAGAGAGTCCATGAACCAACTGTTTGGGGCAAGGCAAATATGATGCTGAGAATCTTTCGGCTAGCTCCCATGCCGCCGGCCCTAAAGCGAGATTCCATGTTGGGCAAACGTCGAGTCGAATCGTGTCGTCAATATTCTCGTAGCGGTTGGCCAAGAAAGGCTCCTGGCCAAGGAGACGGGCATATGAGGTACTCGGACGGCGCTGGCGCTGGTAGAGACAAGACGCATCGATGCAAGAGCGCACGGCTGAAGAAGCAGGCTTTGGCAGCCCTGGTCTGCGGATAAGAAACACGGGCTTCGGAGGGGGGACGTGATTCGCCAACGGAGAATGTACAAATCGGCTTGGTGATTGCTTGGGCTTCTTGATGGAGGTGGCAGCCATTACCGGGGTGACGGTACGTGGCTCACAGGGACAATTCGGTGATCCCGTAGAGGGACTGGTCAGGGTCATCCCAAGTGTAGGCCCGGGTAGGCGCAGTAACGGCAATGCAGGCAGGGCATAGCTCGTGGGAAAAGTTGTCAGTCAGCCTTTCGTGGTTAACGCGAGGAAGAGGGCGGTCGATTGACCGGATAGGGAGGAAACCGGGGATGTAGCTGGATCGGGAAAATATTATGAGAGGTTTCTGGTGTGTTAGTATGGGTCGAGAGACGAATAAGGCGGAGCTCAGCAAACGGGAAAAAGGAGCCTCAACGAGGGTGTGGTCAGAGTCTGGTGGCGTTGACATTCGACGGTTGGGTTCGAGCAGGTGGAGCGAAACTAGAGGGAAGCATCAGAGTTCTTGGCCGCTTGGCCGCTTGGCGGAGGCAGCACGATTTATAGGAACTCGAACCATTGGGAGAACGAAGGCGTCGGCGACTCGATTGCGATGTCGAGACAGAAAGACGTCCGGGGAGATGCGGCGGGAAGAATCCATCCCACACATCCACACGAAGGGGCGGAGACCAACACGTGGTGGAATTGGCGGGCGTGATTCGGCAGTCGCAGAGGACTGCAGCGGGGCCACACTTTCCCTGAGGGTGATCGGCTAGTGCTCCTGCCATAGACAAGAGCGCTTGGCGCTTGATGCGCGCCAAGTCGGCTACGGTGGCTCGGTCGCTCCTTTGGGGAAGGCGCCTTTCCGACTTCCTTCCTCGTCTCTCGGAGTACGGATAGGTATCAGCTATGGATTTGCAGGAAGGAACTACGTACAACTTAGGCAGGCAAGTACGGAGCTCAAAGTCGAAATCTCCCTCCAGAAGTCGGTTGGTGTTTCTCACAACGCCATACACCCATTCGTCGTCCTTGTCTTCGTTGCCCTCGTCTTATGCCACGGTTGGACACTGCTAAAGTTTACACAACACCCACAGCCCCTAGGGGCCCCGGCGTCTGGAGATCAAAGTGGAAATCGAAGATATCGGCTCTATCCTCAACCATTAGCCTGTTGGTGAACCCCAGGGTGCACGAGCTCGTTACTTTACCGCCCCATCAAGCACGCCAGTCCATCCATGGCACGTGGGAAGAGCCAGGCCACGTCTTTTTGATGCTCCTACTCTCGCATCTCAGCCTTTTTTGCCTGTTTCCTCCAGCCCCATACCGAGCAACCTCCAAGCAGCCCGGTCTTCAGCTACTTGACCTATGGTATCGGGTTCCTGCCATCGATAACGCCCCCACACTCATGCGCCGTGCCGCAGTATTTTGCCTAGTTCATTCAGGCTTGTGGATTCGAACACCCAATATCTGAGCCAGGCACGAAGTCAGCTCTCATTGTGGGAGACGATGCGATGTCCAGAGCCTGTCAAGCACGAGATGACCTGACCCATGGGACCGCAATGGCTGGTCTACAGCTTCCCTCATCAGCACAACCCCCCGATTGACTGATCTAGGCCGTCTTCAAGAATCATCAACGTCGTCCAAGCTTCCCGTCGAACTGTTCCCAAACGGGTTAAATGCTCTTCGGACGGCTGCGCCAGAGCCATGGCACCATAGGGAGGCACCCGTGTGTGAACTTGATCGAGGTACATGGTTGGGTTCGTCGAGTTAGCAGATGAGGGCATGGAGCGAGCATCCTTGTCATACGCATCTGCGCTTTGCAGAATCTTGCCTGCCTGCCCTTGGGAACCAATGTCTTGCCCAGCCTCTGCCAATGTTTGGCTTCCCCAATTTTGCCCACACCTACCCAGGGAACGACGCCCAGCAAGATAATTCTTCCTGGCCACCGATGTGGCCAGACGCGAGGGCGGGACATGTGCATCTTCGCAGGGTGGTGGCCTCGGGTGGGCCGACATGTGGTCTTGGTCGCCCCTCCCATCTGGTATATATCCTTTGCAACTTCCCAATCGTCTTTGTCCTGCTTCCATGTCGACGTCTCAAACATCATACCTACCCGGCCTTGCCTTCCGCGCCAACAAGAGGGTCTTCCATCTCTTCCTCCTCAAGTCTACACAGACTTAGAGCGCTTGAGCTTTTCATTCCAACACTTGTTGAGTCACCATAAACCTCTATCAAATCGACTCTCAGCACCCTGGTGCCGGATACCAACAAGATGGCGGTCCTCCATCAGTATGATTACATCTTCGCCATCGGTACCATCTTTGCGTTCCTCGATGCGTGGAACATTGGTATGTGCCCACAAGTCTTGCTGCATCCTCAGTCCTTAGGGGTATTAACCTTTCAGGTGCCAACGATGTTGCCAACTCCTGGGCCACTTCGGTCTCGTCCCGATCCATCTCCTACATCCATGCCATGTTTCTAGGTTCCGTCCTCGAGTTTGCCGGTTCCGTCGGTGTTGGCGCTCGCGTTGCAGACACTATCCGTACCAAGGTTAGTAGGAAGCCCCAATCAGGTCGTCGTAAGATCGTCCGCTGACCTACATCCCCCCCTAGATTGTCGACATCGAACTCTTCGAGAACGACCCGGCTCTCCTCATGCTCGGAATGTGCTGTGCCGTTACCGCCTCCGCCATCTACCTCACTATCTGCACCAGGATTGGCCTCCCCGTCTCCACCACCCACTCCATCATGGGCGGTGTCATCGGCATGGGTGTCGCCCTCATCGGTGCTGAGAACATCCACTGGGTTTCCGAGAGCGGCAGCATCGACTCTGGTGTTGTTTCCGTCTTCCTCGCGTGGATCATTGCCCCCGGTCTCTCTGGAGTATTTGGCGCCATCATCTTCTCCATTACAAAGTTCGCTATCATGTTGCGCCAAAACCCCGTCATGAAGGGTCTAATCTCCGTGCCCTTCTACTTCGGAATAACGGCCTCTCTCCTGACTATGTTGATCGTCTGGAAGGGCGGCTCCATCAAGGTTACCTTCAGCGACGCCGAGACGGCTGGTATGATTATCGGTGTTGGTGCGGCCTGGGGTCTTTTAGTCACCATCTTCCTCGTCCCTTGGTTGTACCGCATTGTCGTCAAGAATGACTGGGAACTGCGCTGGTACCACATCATTTTCGGCCCTCTCCTGCTCAGGCGCCCCGAACCCCCCGTTCAGCCCGAGGGCGCGACCGGAGGTATCCGTGATTTCTACGCCGGCCACATGACCAAGGAAGAGCTCGAAGCTGCCCGCAGCAGCGGTGTTGCTCAGACCCACAGCAACGATGTTGAGTCCGGCTCTGGCGACGGTGAGACTAAGGTCGTCCAGGAATCTGCCGGCTCCGCGACAACGACTCCCCGTAACAATGACTACGCTCACAAGTCCATCGTCGGTCCCCGCCCCGAGGGGGCCTGGTTCAGCCGCTCCGTCCTTTTCTGGATGCTCAAAAAGGCTTTCCTCTCAGGTGTCGACCAGGACATCATCAACATGCAGAAGAAGGAGAGCGTCCTTACCGGCGACCTGGAGGAAATGCACGCCCGCGTCGAGCACTACGACAACAAGGCCGAATATCTGTACTCCTTCATGCAAATCATGACCGCATGCACAGCTTCCTTCACGCACGGCGCCAACGACGTCGCCAATGCTATCGGCCCTTACGCTACCATCTTCCAGATCTGGAACACGGGCGTCCTGTCCGGCAGCAAGTCTGAGGTTCCTATCTGGATTCTCTGCTTCGGCGGTGCCGGTATCGCCCTCGGTATCTGGACCTACGGCTACAACATTATGCGCAACCTCGGCAACCGTTTGACTCTTCATTCCCCTGCCCGTGGTTTCTCCATGGAGCTGGGTGCCGCTGTTACGATCATTCTGGCCACCCGCCTTAGTACGTTCTCCGCCCTGTGATCATGGCTGTTATCCTGCCGCTAATCCCTCAAAACAGAGCTCCCCGTCTCCACCACTCAATGCATCACTGGTGCCACTGTCGGTGTCGGACTCTGCTCCGGTACCTGGCGCTCCATCAACTGGCGTATGGTTGCATGGATCTACATGGGCTGGATCATCACTCTCCCCACGGCCGGTATCATCTCCGGTTGTTTGGCCGGTGTCATCGTCAACGCCCCCCGCTGGGGTATGTCCAATTAGGAAACACGCTCTTTTGTTTTTTCCGCTTGATGAATCTTTCGCCATACCCATTCCTCCCTGCCTGACCTCTGTCGTACAGTTTGTGTACCCGGGACGGGGCTTTTCGGAGTCGTTCCACACGAAAATGGTGCATGGTTACTTTTTGTTTTATAGACCAATACTCATACCGTTATTTTTAACGTAGCAACTAATCAACTGCACTATCAAAAACACGAGCCACCTGTGACAATGTTGGGCGTGGGTATCAGAGGTAAATAAGTGCAAGGGTCCAGCTGACTGTCGTTTCAGAGATTGCTACAGTCGCATGGTGGCTGGGCGTTCAACTGTTTGTAGAAGTACAAAAGGAAGAAACTTCAATGTTACCACCATGAAGTCTTCTGTGAGAGACCTACGCTGAAAGGGGGCTGCATCTCGAACGCAGATGTGGTCAGGTAAATGGAAAAAATGGAAAGAATCACGAGCTGACAGCATCGAACATGCCGCTGGATCGGGAAGTCAAATGGTGGCATCTCCATGTGTTATCAATGCATGTCATAATGTATAGCCACCTTCAGACGGCAATCTCAAGACAGAGAAACTTTTTTTATTGAGTGTCTTTACAAGGATGGCTGGTACCCGTGCGTTAGAGTGGAGTAACCCACACAACAGACTCGACTTATGTGAGAAACGAGTCTGCTGTGTGGTCTGTGCCACTCTAGCGGACGAGTAAAGGTTATTCTGATTCTCAGTTGCTTTAACTTTAAGTTACAAACTCGGGTTTACACAGGGCCGACTATAAAGTGCTGACGACTTGAGTTATGTCGTCATAAAAATATAAAAGGTTAGAGTATAAAGCTCCAAGGTACCGTAAAGAGGTCACCTACCTGTTTGCTTGTGGAATGCGCCAGTAGTGCGGATCTTGACATGTCCGTCCAAAGGTTAAAAATACCCAACCAACAGTGCGTCGTGCTTTGCGACTCCCTCAACGCCAGAATGGATTTCGAGATCCGTCGTCTTTTTTCGACAAGACTATACCGTCCAACAGATAAGCCTCAAGTGGTACCTGTAGACACACCAAGTCTCTAATAATGGTATTAGCAACCAAGAACTTTGGGGCTCCTGTCTGCTGTCTGCCATGATATTTTCAGCAAAACAGTTGTTCACTCAGAGACGTTTCTGCCGCCATGCCAGGAACCGCTCGCTACATGTAGTTATCACCCATATGGGGTTTATCTCCGAGAATACCCACCACCACCCACGAGGTCCACTTGAGCAGTGGATATCTCGCCCCTCCCGCGATAGCTTCTATCTTTTTTTCCTGACGCATGATAATTGAAATTAACCACCATATCCCAACCATCTGTCACTCCTTCGACGTTGGTCAATGCTCCTGTGATATCGAACTTTCCCCAGCCAAACCGCCGGCATGCCTTCCACCTACCGCTATACCACCGGCTATCGCTGGTATAGTACAACTACTGCTAGGAGACTTGCTGGAATAGCTTCGTGTGGCTAGTACCAGTCGTAATCGGCACAAATGTGGCTCGCCACTAACCCAGACCACTTTACGTGTAGGTACTTACTTCTACCCGGCATCGTCTCATATGTAGATTCTAGGTTGGACAACTACTGTGCACTCTTTCCAGCATACCCTGCGGCTCACCACATCTGCTCAATAACGGCGCGCTGGTCAAGCTGCTGGCACGAGCGTTGAGCGGTAAGGCATCTCGGCATATTAACCAAAATCACTCAATGTTCAGCCATGTAGCCCCAGTGCACATTTGTCACACAAAAACGACACCATTGATTTCCGGCAGGAATCGACGCCTTATGTCACCCCGTGACAAGATCAAAAAAGATAGCTCTAGCCTGGATAGACACAAGTAGAATAAAAGTGACGACCCGTGATGACTGTGCTAGGTAGTGGCCTGTCTCTTATCGTACGAGAAGTCCGTTCTCGGAATTGCGGCAAACGTTTCTGGGTTTTCCGAACCCTCTATCAACCGCCGTGCCGGACCCGGTCCTAAGGGATCCCTGATAGCCTGACAGAAGCAGACATGAGTTCCCCGCAGCACCAGATAAACCCAAGATAACGCGGAGCAACTCGATTGGCCATTTCCGTGATTCGCGGTCAGAAATTGGTTTTCTAGGGGACACAATCGGGGTTCGCGATGATTCAAGGATCCTTTATCTCCAGGAACCTTTGTCAAAGTTCCTCAGCACCCTAGTCAGTACCTGGGTATCTCGAATGAACGGTGCCCGGGCAGATCCAGGTACAGAAAGCGAGACCGAGGCACACGCGTCCGCCGCGCCGAGCCAAATATAACAACGACGACATGCCGCGCCGGGCGCTGCCGCCTTGGCTGCTCTAGCTGTTGCTTGCTCCCGCGCCAATGCCAAGCTCCAATACCACCAGTATGGCAGCCGACATCAGCCGCACGCCGCCGCGCGAGGACGTCGACTCTGACAAGTCGGCGACGCACGACATCAAGACAGCGCGCAACACCCACGGCCAAGATTTCGAGCTTGAGAATGGGCATCTCACGGAGCTGGAGGTCGACATGGGTCGGGTCCTCGAAGATGAGCGCGAGGGAGACTACGAAGCCGACACCTCGCCCTTCCCGCAGGTGAGGGCGGTCGTGCCGGAAACTGACGATACTGCGCTTCCGGTCAACACGTTCCGAGCCTGGTTTCTTGGTATTGTATGCATGCGCGCACCTCCCTTCATCCGAGTAGCGTCGATGTTCGCCAGCTGACTCGGACAAGATCTTCGTCTTCCTGGGTGCAGGTGTCAATCAGTTCTTCTCGCTGCGCTACCCGGGAGTCCACATTGTGGCTCTCGTCGCGGAACTGCTTGCGTTCCCGATCGGCGTCGCGATGGCCAAGATCTTACCCATCAGCCGGTTCAACCCCGATCGTCACTTCAACATCAAGGAGCACGCCCTCGTGACCATCATGTCGAATGTGTCCTTCGGTTTCGGTTCCGCCGACGCGACGAACCTGATCCAGGCCGCAAGGCTGTACGGTTTCACCGTCCCGCCCGGCATGTCAGTTCTGGTGGTGCTTTGCTGTCAGCTCAGCGGATACGCCGTCGCCGGGCTTGCCATCCCCTGGCTCGTCAGGCCCGCGAGCATGATCTGGCCCGGCGTGCTCAGCAACATCGCCCTGCTCAGCACTCTCCACTCGAGAGCCAACGCGGTTGCCGATGGCTGGCGCATCACTCGTATCAAGTTCTTCATGGTTGTCGGCGGGTGCTCTTTCGTTTGGTACTGGTTCCCAGGCCTCATCTGGACGGGGCTGAGCTACTTCACCTGGATCTGCTGGATCGCGCCCAACAACCTCGTAGTAAACCAGGTGTGTAAATTCGAACCTTTCTATACGTGTGAGAAGGCTATTAACATTCCGAGTTATTTGGTATGGTATCGGGACTTGGTCTCTTCCCTCTGACCTTCGACTGGTCAATGATCGCGTACAACTCGAACCCCCTCTTGAGCCCTCACTGGGCTGCTCTGAACGTCTTTGCCGGCTTCGCCGTGTTTTTCTGGATCGTCACGCCGGCCATTTACTACACCAACACCTGGTTCACGTCCTACATGCCCTTCTGCACAGCGGATGTCTACGACCGCTTCGGCACTGCGTACAACGTGACCAAGATCCTGACCAACAACGAGTTCGACCAGCAGAAATACGCCGCGTACTCGCCTCCGTACCTGCCTGCGACATTCGCGTTCGTGTACGGATTGTCCTTTGCGTCCATCACTAGGTAATTCTTGCCCATGACAAAGTCTAGCCCGTTTACTTACACACGGGTCACAGTGTCCTGTCGCACGTCTACTTCTTCCACTTCGATGAGATTAAGCGCGCCATGAGGGGTACGCTCAAGCTCGATATCCATGCCCGACTGATGAAGTCCTACAAGTCGGTCAAATGGTGGTGGTGGGCCGTCATCCTCCTCGTTGTGTTCGGCATGAGCGTCGGCACCGCGGAGGGCTACGACACCGCATTGCCATGGTGGGGAGTTATCCTCGCCTTCATCATTCCAGCCTTGTACATGATCCCTTGCGGCATGATCCAAGGTGTCACCAACGTCAATGCTAATCAGCTGAACGTCCTCTCTGAGTTCATTGGAGGTTACATGTTTCAGGGCAAACCAGTTGCCAACATGCTATTCAAAATCTTGTCTACAGACGTCGTCGGCCAGGGTCTGTACTTCGCAGCGGACATGAAGCTCGGGCACTACTTGAAGATTCCGCCCACGACTCTCTTCTTCGCACAAGGCCTAGCTACGATCCTTGGCGCACTAACGCAGACCGGTGTCACGCTGTGGATGTTAGGTAACATCAGCAACATTTGTACAACGGACCAGCCCAACGGTTTCTCTTGCCCCAACGGCCGCACCGTGTTCTCCTCCTCGGTCATCTGGGGTCTCGTTGGCCCTGCGCGTCTGTATTCCGTCGGTGGCATCTACTCCGGCCTGCTGCATTTCTTCTGGATCGGCCTCATCCTGCCGCCCATCACGTACCTCATCTACAAGAGGACAGGCTCGGAGCTCATCCGCAAGATCAACTGGCCGCTCATCTTCGTCGGAACGTACAACGTACCCCCTGCCACAGGTATCAACTACTCCTCTTGGTACATTGTGAACTTGGTCTTCAACAAAATCATCTACCGCAAGTTCTATGCCTGGTGGAGCAAGTACAACTACGTTCTGGCTGCGGCATTGGACACCGGCCTCGCAATCAGCGGTATCGTCATCTTCTTCGCGGTTACTTATGGTGAGTGACTTGAGACAGATCCAAAACAATGCTCTCGGTGACTGACTCTCATGTCTTTAGGCCCGAACGTGCAGTTCCCCAACTGGTGGGGCAACACCGTCTGGCAGAACACCGCGGACGGCCAGGGTTTGCCTTGGTTGCAGATGCCGTCGGTCGGCTATTTTGGGCCTGCGAATGGCACTTGGTCATGATCTGCGCAAGGGCTGTTCATCGCGAGGTCCTGAAGTTAACATCAAGAGGAAAAGCTTGGGTTAAGGTCGGTCGGATCACGACTGACGATTCCTCGCAGAATGGTGTAGGTCTTTTGGGTTTGGAAAATGTAGTAACTAATTCCGCTGTTGAACCCCTATGTAATACTGGAAACGTGTAGGGTAAATAGGAACCTGTGCAGTGCGGTGATTCTGATACAAATACCAATACCTACCCAGGCAACACAAGATGCTTCCCCTGATCAGAGGTGACTGTTAACTCCAATCAGAACAAATACTTGCACTATTCAAGATAAAGCTAAAGCTTACCAGAGGAGTAGAGACTCCCAAGATTCTTATGCTGTCACAATCGAGGGCAAACAACTGAATGACTCTCGCGCGATCAGAGGTATCACGAGATGACATAAGGCGTTAACTGCTGCGTGCGATTAACGGCGTGGTTTTTGCGCGACAAATTGCCATTGACGTTCGAGTGGTATCATCAGAGCACGGCTGTGGCTCCATCTTACTCGTTGGGCTAATCTCTCTTTGCGCGATGCTCCGAAAACTGATTAGTTTCATGGCGCTTGTTATTTACATGGGAGTCAGCAACGCCCCATTTCCAAATCTATCCACTTTTGGACCACCTTGTTTTATCTTGGAACTCCTTGCCGTTTAAACAGGCACGCTCACCATCCGGGGAACAAACATGGTGGGAGCCACCTCCCCGCGTTGACATCGGATCATGATCGTGTGTGATCAAGAGCTTGATAAAGTGGCGCATAATCCCAAGAGCAGGATGATTACTTCCAAATTTGAAGATGAATCTACCGCTAACAATAAAGTGGTACTAAGAAACCCTGATAGAATACATCGCGATGTCTTCAACCTGTTTTGTATGCCTGCAGAGCGATATGAACGAGCAGGAATGCCCTCTGCTTGATAAGTCAAGCAGATGGTAAACGATCACTCACACCTTTCTCTTCTTTCGTGGTCTTTGGAAAGGAACTGGAGGATGCCATTCAGAAGTGGAGTCTGGCCGCCACCACCAGCACGTCATCATGAAATGCACGTCAGCTCGCGGTATCATTGGTCATTGAATGTATGGCGTCTTCTCTCCGCTCACAAGATTACCGAGCTATCGATAGTTTGACATCTCTGGCTAAATACCGGGATTGATAAGTCGTCTTTGGGCCAGCTGCATTCTCTCCTCGCCGACTAGCCTCTCCCCAGGATCCAATGCGTGCTTGTACAGAGAGCGTTCGGCAGGACTAGCGTCAACATCAACCTAAGGTAAGGTGTATGTCGCCATGAGACCCGCCTAAGACGACACCATTCACAGTCCGATTTCTGCGACTGTGCGGCTTTGAATGGATGAAGAGATATGCCTAAGAGGTGGTAGATAAACCCACCAGTCACCCGGCTTCCAGGTGGTAAGATCCTATTACATTTCCCACCTCCTCGACTCCCGTTTGGATATCATGTCAGAAACTAAGGGAATTCAGCCGGAACATGGTGTTGTCTTTGGTGAAAAGGATCCCGAAGTGCACGTGGGGGTCCAAGGGCAGTATGAGAATGATGCAGATGCATATACAGAGCCAAAGAGGACTTGGAGATCATACTTCTGGTCGAGTAAGTCTAGGAATATCCTTGGTCTGATAATATCTGTAGCTGACCTATCAAGCCCTTGATGTTCCAAAAGACGAAGCGCGATTCCTCACGAAACTCGACCTTACGCTTGTTTCAGCATCCGCCCTGGGCGTGATGTGTCGCTACCTTGACCAGGTCAATATCACCAATGCCTTTAGTAAGTAGAGACTGTGGGTAACTGAAACCATAAATGGCCGATTCTGTGTTGACAACTCCAAGACAGCGGCATGAAAGAAGATCTTTCGCTTTACGGAAAGGAGCTGAACTACGCAAACGCCATATGGAGCGCTGCATATGTTTTTGGCCAGGTTCCGTCTAATCTTTTGCTCACTCGAGTAAGTCGCTAGCCGACCTGTGTGCAGCGTGTGCTTGATTCTCGGCTGTGCTGATCAGACAGGTTAATGCGCCGCTTTACATTGCGTTCCTCGAGTTTGCCTGGACTGTCTTCACCTTCGCCACTGCTGCGGTCAAAGATGTGAAACAGCTTTATGTGTTCCGTTTTTTGTATGGCTTTCTGTTTGATATGGATCTTCTCCCTTCCCCTCTCATCTAACCATGGTGCAGTGTTGGTCTGTTCGAGGCTGGTCACTTCCCAGCCGTGATGTACGTGTGCTCCAGCTACTACAAGCCCCACGAGCTGGCTCGACGCAATACGTTGATCCAAATCTTTACCTCTGTCGGCCCTCTCTTTTCAGGCTTCCTCATGGCGGCTGTGCATGCCGGTCTTGACGGAGCCAATGGCCTGCCTGGTTGGCGATGGATGTACATGTAAGGCCGCAGCAGTCTTAGTCCATCCGAGGCAGGGCTGACTGACTGAGAACAGTGTCTGTGGCTGCATCTCGCTTCCCTGCGCAATCTGGACAGCGTTTGCAATGCCCCAGCTACCTTCGCGCGCGAAAGCCAATTGGTAAGTTTCATCGGAGCTTTCTGTGGTTCGATATCACTGACGCAATCTTCTTTTGGTTCAGGATCTTCACGGAGAAAGAAGTTGAGTTGGCCCGCGCCAGGATGCCCACTGAGATCAAGCCCCTCACTGGTCTCTTCAAATGGAAAGACATCCAACGCTGGCACACCACATGGCACGTGTATCTTTGTGAGTACCATAAATGTGTAATCATGTCTTCCAGAGTCTAACAGTTGTATAGTTCCACTATTCTTTGCATTTGCCTCGCAACTGGGCCAGTCTGGGGGTTCAAGTAAGTCGACGTCTCAGATGTGGCTTTTGGTTACTGTTCAACATCAGCTGCTAAGAATCTATAGTGATATTCTGGGTCAAGAGTTACAATGTACCAGGCAAATCGCCCGTATTCTCAGTGGCCGAGATAAACATCATTCCACTGGGTGTAGGTTGAGGTTACTATGCTGCGAGTTGAAAAGTGAACGAAGCTCATTGTTTTCAGATCAATATCATCATGATTGTCTGTACTCTCGTCAATTCTTGGATCTCGGATAGCCTGCCAGGCTCAGCAAGATGGCCAGGCATGCTATTTGCTAGCATGATGGCTATCATCTTCCCGGCCGCACTAGCCGCCACACCGGTCCATCCTCCGAACATTGCGACTCGCTGGACTTTGTATTGTAGGCCTTTCACTTACATGCTACGTGGCACGGAAATTTGAAAGACTGACGACTTTGGCTCTTAATAGATCTGACCGCACTCTCTGGGACCTGTGCAGGTCTTACTTGGACCTGGGTGAACGAAGCAAACCGCCACGACCCTGAGAAGCGAGCGTACGTGTCCGCCTTGGTCAGTACTTCAAAGACACTCTTCTTCACTCTTTTGACTCATCGAAAGCTGACTTGCATCTTGCTCTCAGATGAACGCGTTTGCGTACATCTTCACCGCCTGGGTCCCAATTTTCACGTTCCCGGCCAATCTCCAGCCATATATCGTCTCTGGTAATTACATCACAGCAGGCTTTGGAGCCGCGGCAGCGGTGACCGTTTTCGCAATCCGTCACTTCTACAATCAGGATCTCGTGAGGCAGCAGATTCTAAAGAAGTAGAACTTGCGGAGTTTTACTTGTGCCAGCTTTTCCCTGTCTTCGTGTTCCAAGGCCAAAGGATTAAAAACAAAAATAACAAAGGATTAAACAAAACGTTACTGTATTAGTCCCAATATTGACAGATTAGCCAAGGTTCTATTGACATAGAAGCAAAATGTGTATAGCCGTGTCCCCGGGGCAGGAATCCCGTACCACCTCAGAAGGAAATCGGACCGATTGTTAGTAAATACTGTCATCCACTTCCATTATCTATGTACAGTTCCTCCAAGCCTTCCCAGCACCATCGCCATCGCCGATCCCATCCCTTACGAGGTACCGGAACATCCGACAAAATCGTTGCCGCTGGCGCCGGTGTGAGTGATCTGGCCAGCCAGTTGGCAATCAGCGTTGATGACAACACGGTCGGCACCGGGAGAGCCTGGAAGCACAGTCAGTTGCGATTCTACCACCGCCTGAGGCTCACGGGACGTGCGTTGGCACGACACGTTACCGCCAGGGTCGCGCAGAGTCGATCGGGTACTCACCTCCGGTATAGACGCCCTGGGTCTTGATAGGGAACTCGTACCACGGGCCGCTGACGTCGAAGTCGAAGCCCTCGTAGTTGTTGTAGCGGTGGGGGTAGGTGGAGCTGCCGGCGACGGTGTCGGACTGGACGTAGTTGCAGGCGGCGTTGGAGGCGGCGTTGACCTGGGCGGTGCTGTAGGTGGTGCTTCCGCAGGTGGTGGAGCGCTTCTGGAGGAGCTCCGTGGGGACGGCCTGGGCCGCGAGGGCAAACAAGGAGACGAGGACGAGAGAGAGCTGCATCTTGGGACTACCTAGGTGAGCGGAGGACGCTTCGGTGAGGGTGCGGGTGACAGGTTGCGAGGCGAGGCTGGGGTGATTGGGCCTGAAGAGCGTCTCCCAAGGACCGTTTCCATCGCGGAAACCTCATCATCTTATACTAGTCCGCGAGACCGAAAATAAACTGTCGGTTGCTAAGGCGGGCAGATTTGTTGCGATGCAACGGCACTCAATGGTCAAGCAAAGGACAGGTCCTAAGGGTAAGCGGTAACACTATCGCCGAGCACACTTGTCGATCGCTGGTCCTCAAAGCGGAAGGTGTCTATCAGGATGTTATCGCGCATGGCCAGGAACGCGGCCGTGGTTGGCTGGAAGACAGAAAGCCACGGGTTTCGGCCGTGTTTGCCGACTCATACGTGTTCCACCCTCTCAGCTAATTAGCATCTGCTACTGTATACTCACGTATCTGGGCCAAGTTACACGGTAGCATCCGACAGCAACAAGGCCACGTGAGCGACGGTTGCGACATGGATGTCGTGCGCTAGTCAGGCGCATCTACCGACGGCATTGCAACCCCCAACCACCCCAACCCTTGGCGGATATGAGGAGTTGAGAAGCATCCCAAGCCGGGTGAGGAAGTCTTCCCCGTGTCTCCCATCCATAATCCCCGCATTGGAGCGCACCTTTTGGTCCCTGTGGACCTCCGATCCACCTCTCCCTTAAGCAGCTGTCGAAAAGGGTTTAACCTCGTTGTGGGTTTGAAGTGTTCGCGCCCCTCCTATCATTGTGCCACGGGGGTCTGCCTGCTGCTTTGACAAGGCGTCTCGGGATCGTAGAGGGAAGCTGCTTATCAATTTTTAAGCGCCCATGGCAGAGTTTACAGGCTAGCTGGCGTGTTACCTTCTCGATGGGGGCTACAGCTCAACCGAGATGTGCTCATCTCATCGCAGGGAGATCAGCAGAGTTCATTAATCATTGGACGAGTGAAAGCTCAAGCCATCGTCTTCTCTCACTCTCAGAGGCACTTCCGGCAGTACATCACTCGCTCACTCTTTTGAAGTACTCAAACTGAGACTGCGAACATACTTGTCAGATTTTCTCAGAAATGCCTCTAGGGCCGAAATGAATAAATCCGGACCTTGCATACCGTGGCCAAGACAGGATCTGGGTTGGAGAAAAGATGGAAGAAAGGACTCAAATAGAGTAGAGTATGCTCCCGATGATTTTATGCTTAGAGTTAGCCTAACTACTAGGGCCCGTGCCGCTCACCCGATGCTCAGTGATTGATTCGGTTTGGGGCATACCCAAGCTCGCGCGTTGCTGGAGACGCCCGGAAAATCGGCACACCGGTTGCAATATCGAATTCGGGGGTTTCAAATATGGGGCGCTGAGCCTGCACCGGCGCCAATGCTTAATCGCGCAACACACTTTGACTTGCATGCTCATGTTGACCACTTGACTGGAGAATTTAGTACAGGTAGGTTCTGTAGAAATTGAGACTGGAGCTGGGAAACCATCAACTACACTATAGTTGGCCGTGCTAGCACAAGAGCTATGTCATACGGCCGAGGACAAGCTCCAGTCTTGTTGCTTCAGCCATGTCTCGACAGAAGGGGTTTGCACCTTGACGCTGAGATCGGCTGGGAACTTAATAGAGTCCTTCCACCCAGCCACCTTTTCACCAAAGAGGCCGTACTCAGCAATCCACAACCAGCTTTCGGGTGATTCGAGCCCCAGCGGCGAGGCGGCCGCCAGGCCGTCCACAGACCTTTGTACGTAGACGAAACGGTGTCGTGTTGACTCGTGAAGCACTTTGATGATGTCACGGTAAGACTTCAACTCATCGTAGGCCGCCAAAACAGTCCCGACGGGCTCATCGAGAAGCAGTGTCTTGAAAAAAGGCCCGGTGCTGACGGTGGGGTCAATGAGCGGGATTGGAGTGTCGATGTCGTTGGGCCCTTCAAACTCGGCATTCCCAGTTTCTTCGTTGCGCTTGGGTCCAAAGAACGATCCGGGCAACATGTTGGAGCAGTAGCACGCGACCATGATCTGTGAAGTCTTTGCCCACAGTGCGGGGTGCTCTTGCTCGATTTGCCTGACGATGTTGGTCTTGCTGTCCAAGTGGTGGACGTGCCTCAGCTTTCCTTGGCTGAGTTCCAACACAGGCGGCAGGCTGCTGAAAACAAAGCGCTCGAGACTTTGTGTCTCTGCCGCTGCCTGAGCAATGTTCCGGCCCCAGAGCTCCTCGAGCTCCCGCGTGGCAGCGCCACGGTCGACACCTTCGTCCCGGACTCTGTTGGCGACTTTTTCGGTTCCGTAGGCGGTCCAAAAGTCGGTGACTGCGAAGATGGCGGTGGCGCCGTCGAAAGCTGCCTTGAGCTCTGCAACCGAGTCGACCGACCCAGAGACCATCTCGGCACCCAGCCTTGATAGCTCGGTGGCGGGAACGGAGGAAGCGTTGCGAGTAAAGCCCCGAACATGCCACTCGGCCGCGAGAGCTGGATCGCTGAGAAAAGTCCGGGCGACGGAACCGCCTTGGTTCCCGGTGGCGCCCAGGACGACGAGGGTCTTCTTGGTGGAGCTGGGCATTCTGCTTGGAACAAGATGAAGTGGTTTGGTGAAAAGATGGCGCGGTGAAAGACTGATTGGTTCGAGGTGCTTGACCCGAACGTTTAGGGGTCATGATGTCGGCATTCGTTATTTATATAAATCATCTCTGATGGATTGGGTATTTAATGCTCTCTCGGCGAGATTTGTAAGGAATGTGTACCTTTTGTGGTGTATTATATACATAACGTTATTGCTGATGCACTCACACTGGAAATGGAGAGCGCCTTGGTCAGCTGACTCCATGTTAGCATCGGCCGTGGAAGTCTTGATTACGTACAGCGATGAATGAATTGGTCTGCCGTCGGTACCTGAATAGTTTAGCAGCTGATTAGTATTAGATGACAGAAACTGTATTTGCTTGGATAGGTAGTAAACCAATCACTGCATTAGTCTAATCAATCGGTCGCCCAATACCTTAAGTTTCTGCCAGACTTGCATTGGTTTCTAACCACGACGTACGTCAATTGCGTCTGATTTCCAACGAATTGAACCGGGCTCCCGGCCGGTGGTCTCCCAATGGTGCCGGGATCCGGACCGGAAGTGTGGGGCTTCAAGTACCGATGATTGATTACGCAAGCAAATATCTTATCAGCCGATAAGACTCGGATTCTCATTATTCCAGCTCCGACAGCGGCACCGATCTGTCCGTGCGGCAGCTCGGGCGGACGAGTGGACAGGACAGGCGGGTTGCTGTAAGTGCCAATTGGCAGCTGATTTAGCACAAGCAGCACCTGAAGCTCCTGGGACGCGCATTGCAAAAGCCGCCCGGGCTCCGCAAAACGCGTTTTCTTGGGATTTCAATCAAACCCCCAATTTCCTCCGTCGCCTCAGAAAACTATATCCCCAACAGCTCGCTGTCACTCGATTCGCATCAACCGGCCACGGCCAAACTACCCATCGCCAAGTGTTCCAAGAGCAAACGCCATCGAGACGGATTCTCCCTTCCTTTAACCCCCCCCTCGGCCGCCGACCCGGTCTAAATGACCCCAGGCCATCCGCGATGCGCGTCATCAAGCCAACATGGCTGAGCCATAGCGGCGAGCAAAAGGATTTCGAAGTCTACAGCTGCCATGTGTCCTCGGACGGCAAGCGGCTTGCGACCGCCGGCGGCGATGGTCATGTGCGCGTCTGGTCTACTGAGGCCATCTACGGCGACGCCAATGGCGACGCGGATGGCAAGCCAAGGCAGCTCTGCCACATGAGCCATCATCTAGGCACCATCCACTCTGTTCGCTTCTCTCCAAACAGTCGATACCTTGCCTCGGGCGCCGACGATAAGCTCATCTGCGTCTACCACCTCGACAAGAGCCCTCCCGTAGCTTCTTTTGGTGAATGCGCCCCGCCCCACCAACACCTCTCACCCTCCGACTGCCCAGTTGCTGACCCATCGCGATAGGACTTGGCGCCGAACCTCCGCCAATCGAGAACTGGAAGACCTACAAGCGCCTTGTCGGACACGAGAACGACGTCCAAGACCTTGCCTGGTCCTACGACTCCTCAATACTAGTCTCCGTGGGCCTCGACTCCAAGATCGTCGTCTGGTCAGGCCATAGCTTCGAGAAGCTCAAGACCATCACCGTCCACTCCAGTCACGTCAAGGGCATAACCTTTGACCCTGCCAACAAGTTCTTCGCCACCGCAAGCGACGACCGAACCATCAAGATCTTCCGATTCACGCCCCCCGCCCCGAACGCCACACAACACGACATGGTGAACAACTTTGTTCTGGAGACGACCATCAGCGCCCCCTTTAAGAGTTCACCGTTGACGACGTACTTCCGGAGGTGTTCCTGGTCTCCCGACGGCAACCACATCGCTGCGCCCAACGCCGTCAACGGCCCGGTGAGCTCCGTCGCCATCATAGAGCGCACACGCTGGGATAGCGAAATCAACCTGATCGGCCACGAGGGACCCACCGAGGTCTGCATGTTTTCCCCGCGACTGTTCCATACCGAGAACCCGGCGGACAACCCTGCCAACAACGCGCTCGTCACCGTCATTGCCTCCGCCGGCCAAGACAAGACTCTCAGCATCTGGAACACCAACACGTCGCGCCCCGTCGTCATTCTCCAAGACGTTGCCAGCAAGTCCATCTCCGACTTGGCCTGGTCGCCCGACGGGACCACCATTTTCGCAGCCAGTCTAGACGGCTCTGTCCTGGGCATTAAGTTCGACCACGGAGAGCTGGGCTGGGTCGCCAACGCGGACGAGAACGACAAGGCGCTGCAGAAGTACGGTGCGTCGCGCAAGGGCATGGGCATTGCCGAGGACATTGAAGGCCTCAACCTGGAGAACCAAAGCAAAGCTGGCGAGTCCCGTGCTGCCGAGTCCAGGATGGGCGCGCTCATGGGCGATGCGGCTTCTTCCAAGGGGCCCGCACCTGCTACTAATGGAACGAAAACCGTTGGCAACGGAACGGGTACCTCCACTCCCAAGACTTTGAACGGTAACGTCGAGCCCGAAAAGGATAAGGAAAAAGACAGGCCGGCGGAGGAGAACGGCGACAAGTCCGCAGAGCGAGTCAAGGAGCTCAAGTCTCGAGTGACTGTCGGTAAGGATGGCAGGAAACGCGTCGCGCCGCTGCTGGTGTCATCGTCCGGTACCGGCCAGTCCTCTCTACCCCAAACGCAGCTGGTCGGAGCCACATCAACAGCCAAGGCGGCGCAGAATGACGCCCCACAGACGATTCTGGACCTCGAACGGCCGTTTGAAGGACTGCCCAAGGGTGGCGTTGCTGCCATGCTGCTTGGCAACAAGCGTAAGCTTCCGGTTGTCGAGGGTGAGGAGGAGGAGGAGGAGGACCGTGGTTCGAAGCGACTGGCGACCGACCCTACCCCGATCGTCCTCAATGGTGTCGACGGGGTCGAACCAGCCTCGGTCGTGCCCGCTTCCCATGGCGTGGTTCCGACGCCCGAGTATCTCCGACCCGCGGTCCTCAACCCATCTATCGCCTTTGCGCAGATCCGCCTCGCTGTGCCAAAGGTCAGATCCCACATCCTGCGCCCGCTGGAACGAGGAGTGCTGCTTCCTGAAAGCAGCACAGACGAAGCCTCCAAGGTGCCGGAGAACATCATCCTCGAAGCCCGGAACCCCGTGCAGATTAGGGACCCTTCGTCAATTTCGGCTACCAAACGAGGAACGCTACTCTGGCAAGATTATCTTCCAAGGGCCGTCATACTCGTCACAGGAAACAAGCAATTTTGGGCGGCAGCTTGCGAAGACGGAAGCATTTACACCTGGACCCCCGCCGGCCGACGGCTGATGAATCCAATCATCATGGAATCCCAACCCGTCATACTGGAGTGCCGGAATAGCTACCTTTTGTGTATCAACGCGGTCGGCCTATGTCACGTATGGGACCTCCAAAAGCAGGCAGCACTGCACCCCCCAGTGTCCCTGGGTCCCGTTCTCGAACTGGCGACAACGACACTAAACCTCAACACCACTACGCCAGGCCCCGGCGTCACGTCAGCACAGCTTAACTCGACCGGACACATCGTGGTGACCCTGACCAACGGAGACGGGTACTACTACACCCGCGATATGTTTTCGTGGCAGCGCGTCAGCGAAGCCTGGTGGGCGGTTGGGTCCCAGTACTGGAACAGCAATGATTCCTCCATCAGCGCCTTGCAGTCCACTGCCGTGGGGCCCGTCGCCCCGGCGAAGCCAAAGGACGAGAACACGGCCAACGTTTCCGCCGGCATCATCCCCTACCTCGAGCGCCACACGACCAACGAGTTCCTGCTTAAGGGCCGAGCTTACACCCTGCAGCGCATCGTCAAGCTACTGCTGTCCAAGGACGGCTTCGAGGGCTTCGAGTCCACCGTCAGCATTGCCCATCTCGAGAACCGCATCGCTGCTGCCCTGCATCTGGACGCGAGGGACGAGTTCCGTCTCTATCTGTTCATGTACGCCAAGCGGCTTGGCGCCGAGGGTCATCGTGGTAAGGTCGAGGAGCTGCTCAACAGCCTGCTTGGTGGCATCCTCAAGGACAAGGATGACAGGCCGAGCGACGGTGGCCGGGGATGGTTCAGCCAAGAGAAAGAGATCTGCGGCTGGGACCGGAAGGAGCTCTTGAAGGGCGTCGTGATGATTCTCGGTAAGGCTTTTGTTTTCCCCGGAGGGACATGCGAATACACCTTGCTAACACGACTCGACAGGCAAATTCCGCGAGCTTCAACGACTTACGATCCAGTACGCCCGCGTGCTTGACCTCAACCTGGAGAGCGATGGGGCAATGGAGATGGAGTCATGAGCTTCTTGGGCGGCAAGGGCGACCTTCGACTCGCGACAGCGCGAGAGGGGGTTCATCCTTACTAATGAAGCAAAACCGTTGTATACTATACCTGCTGGTACTTGTTTTTCTTTTATTATTCTCACGGAGAGCAAAAGGGTCGGTACGGTGTGGTTGTCGGGGCGGCCGGGGAGGGGTTTCGGAGTCGGCGTACGTACCAAGCCCTAGATGGCTTCGAGCGGCACGGCGAGGAGGGTTTCTACCTCTGCGAAGCCCGCCGAGGTCTGGATCTAGGGTGCGGTCAGGCTATTCGGAGCTACATATTTTTTTGGCCCAGTGAATCATATACCATGAATATGCCCGAGTGTCACAGATGCTTATTGGCGGCGGCCTCACACGTGATGAATCGGCGTTCCGGAAACCGTGTCCCCGGGGCATGTTGACTGGTAAGTGAGTGGTTATGTGGCATCATCCGCTGACGGGATGTGAACCATGTTGAAACTAACCCTGGTGGGATATGAATTGACGTAGGGAGGCTCCTGTGGACCGGACCATAGGCGCAGAGTAACAACAAAGTTCCACATTCTCGGCCGCAAAGGACTTCTGAATATCACGGGTTTATGGTACCATAAGATATCTATTACCGGGGGGGTATATGTTTGCTCCGACTCCAGCCCGTTCAGAAAATGACTTCCTCGGTGGCGGCCCTCACCCGCTGCATCGCCCTCCCCAGCCCGCGTTCGTCCTCGGCCCCGACCGCCACGTCGGCGAGGCTGACGCCCGTGACGGGGTCTTCGTACCAGCTGACGATGCACATGCGGCCGGCGGCGAAGTCGTCGCGGAACGAGGCGATGAAGTCGTCGCGGCCCAGTCTGCAGCTGATGGAGAAGGAGGACCCGCTCATCAGCCCGCGGCTGGTGAAGTGGTGACGGAGGAGGGGCAGGCAGAGGGAGCCCGAGGTCCTGATGTTGAGGTCGACGACGTGGAAATGGGAGAAGTCTTCTCCGGGGTCGGCGTAGCCGTTCGTCTGATGACCATTCGTCTTCTGACCGTTCGTCTTCTGTCCGTTGGTCGTGTGGCCGTTTGTCTCCGGCTTCGCGTCTTTCGAGGGCGCGGTCTCGAGGACATCGGCCCCCGCAGGCCCCAGGTAGTTGTGGCTTCGCAACCAGGCGGCGATCTTCTTGACCAGCGGGCCGAACTTCCTCTTCAGCTCATCCTGGCGCCCGTAGTTGATGGTGCTCCCGATCCAGGCCTTGGCGTCGTCCGTCAACTGCTCCGAGGCCGCCAGGAAGATGGGGTCGCCGCCGTCGTCCGTGACGAAGAAGGTCAGGCCGTAGTCGCCGACGGGGTCCTCCACGAGGTCCGATAGCACCAGGGCCGCCGGCCGGAGGTGCGCGTTGGCCTCGGTCACCGAGGACAGCAGCCTCCGCAGGAGGCCCCCGCGGAAGTCGGCGACCAGCCTGTCGCGCTCCTCCTCGGTGCCCACCACGTACGTGCCCGCGCCGCCGAAGCTCTGCTGGTTCTTGAGCACGAAGGGCAGCGGGTGCGAGGCGAGCGTGGCGAGGATCCTCTCCCGCTGCGCCTCGAACCACTTCCCCCGGGACCCCGCGCACGCGCGCGGGATGACGAACTCGGCGGCGTCGCCGCCGGCGCACGGCGCGCAGCACCGCCGGGCCTCGTCCGCGAGGCCGTCGACCTCGACGATCGTGGCCTTGGGCGTGGGGAGGCCGGAGCGCGCGAGCGCGGCCTTGGAGTTGAGGAACCAGTGCGTGTCGGGCGGGACGATGAGGTTGTCGTAGCTCTCGAGGCCGTCGAGCATGAGCTTGTACGCGATCACGTCGATGCCCGCCTCCTCGACGGGTATCGCTGACGGGCCGGCGCAGAAGACGAGGTCGGGCCGCTGCGCCTCGGCGAGCACGGAGATGGTCCTCTCGGCCTCGCGCCTGTCGTGCGCCTTCTGCTTGGCCGTCTCGTTGATGTGGAAGAGCACGACGGCGGTGTCGCCGCTGATGAAGGCGTCGCGCTGGGGGATGAGCGAGAGGTACTTGACGGCGAGCTGCTGCTGCTGCTTCTCGTCCTCGGGCCTGCTGCAGGACTCGTCCGGCGGCACGGTGTTGAAGGGGGTGTCTTGGTACAGATATTTGGCGTTACGGGGGACGTTTGCGCTGAGTTCGGCGCACGAGTTGATGCCGCAGAGCACCTGGGCGATGCGCTTGTCGGCGTTCTTGGGACACGCCCGCCGGTAGAGGTCGGCGAGCGTCGTGTCGAGCGTTATCGTGGGTAGGTCTGGCATGGCGTCTTCTTCACGCTGCGTGCTTGTTCTTGTTATCATTATCAGATCATGGACTAATCGGTCCGGCAGGTGTTGATACGACGAACTGCAGCTATAAGTCGTTAAGGTGTGACGGGATCAGCCTCGGAGTGCTTCTCAACCTTGTTTGCGTGAATGCCGAGCAGAATGAATACGTACTCAAGCAAGCCGTCAGTGTAAAGACATAAAAACGCATCACATCACCCCTTGCGGCGGCGGCGGCGTCCCGGTTGACGTGACCGCAATGTCCCAAACCGATTGGCTGCCATGAGTGTGCAGATCCCCCCCTCCAAGACTGTGGACGGTGAGGATCATCAATCAAGGGACGGCGGCCACACTTGACGGCGCAATGCGAGGGAGAACACCCGAAAGCGCACCCGCAAACCCTGCGAGACTGAGGCAAGGGATACATTGATGTCATCACCAGCAGCCACGTTCGTAAAGACCGCTTGGGGATTTGCCTAAGCCTATGATGGGCCGGTGGCGGACTACCGGTAGTCTGCCCAACCGTCGATCATCGGGGCGGTTCGCATGTGAGACTTCTTGGCGTCGCTCGGGCCGTGAGTGATCCATTGCGAGTGCTTATGGGCTGGTGCGAGACGCTCACAGCTTCTTGTGCTAGGCGGAATGGCGAGCTGGCTTGGATCTTAACCGTCCCGTCCCTCCCTAGGATGCCACGCCAAGCTGCGGTTATCGGGTGTTGTAGGAGAGGTCGTAACGAGACGGTTGGTGGTAATGGTCTCCGCCCGATCATCGCGTTTCTTGTGGGCTTTGCATCATCGTCCAGCCATTGGCCAATCGGCTTTGGTCGAAACTCACACGCTTCTCTCTTTGCGGCAGTGTACGTCATCCCACCACCTCATCTCTGGATGTTCACTAGCACAGGAGACAACAAGAAACGTCGAGGATATGGCACTTTCTTCCTCTGGGTTATCCCTTTGATTGGCTCCGGTCACAGCAGTACACTGAGATAGGAATCACGGGGTTGATTCTGATATACCTCAGACCCTTCGTCAACTGGCGGTTAGGCTGTTTAGTAAACTGAGTGAATAATTCACCATAACTTCTCTACCTTTTACTTTGGCTGCTCTCGTTTATCGCCAGTTGTAATTTGCGATCCCATCATCGACTAGTGACCATTAGGTGCTAATAATCTTGGTGGCGCCAATCGTTGGTTTGTTCTCCGTGTCTCTTTTACCAGAGTCGGAAGGACAAATTGGGAGCAGAAGACGGCGGCAGTGGGAAAGAAAACTATGGTCGCAGCAACAGAAATGAGAATTGCATGAAAAATGGCTTTTCTTGGGCGATTGGCTTGTCCCCTGTCTCAAGAGATTAGGTAACGGCAGTGTGAGAACATAAATAAGGCATCTCTGACTGAGACAGAAATTGCCTTTTGAGAGGCTTGAAGCAAATCATCAATCGCATGCCTCTTTATACAGAAGATTTGCCTGAGATCTTGATCCTTTCAGGACCTAGAACATTTTGCCGTAGTATGGCATCACTAGCGGCATTGTGAAAGCTGTATCCTTTATAGGGCTCACGCCGAGCTTCAGGGTGTCCTGTATTATTTCAATTGCGTTGTCAACCGGAAGTCAATGGACAAGTCGCAACAAGAGCTCATGTGCACTTTGCGGGCTAGCACCGCCATTGAGAAGTTTGACAACGTTGAGACAATACAGTTGTGTATTTATAACTACTCCATAGAACTATTAAAAGTTTGTCAATGTGTTTTGTCTGTATATGAAGCTTTACGTCCAAGCAACAGCCTTACACCCGATTCTGTAAGTTGTACCTGTCGACAAGACCATATCGTATTCTTGTTTCGTGACCAAGACTAGGTTGGGAATAAAAGTCCGAACACAAACGCGGAGACTATTTTTAAGTAGCCGTCAACGATAGACGCGTAAAAAGAGAAAAAGTCGATTCACCGTCACACAGAGACACCCGAACAGGGGACTTTGCAACTGGATTATGATCAATTTGGACAGCTGAAAAAGTCAGTCTCATGAAAAAAAGTGTCCTTTTACTCACGTGGCTTGCGAGTTGTGAAGGCCTGCAACGCTGAAAACACCTAGCGTACAGCGTCTTTTGCACTTGCGGGAGAGAGCGGTTCTGGCAACAACTCCGGTAAAAGGTGGAGCTTAAACCTAGCAAGTCTGACTTCAAGGCTGACAAGCCGATATCTCTCGGCCGTCGGGCAAAATGAGGCAACTCAGTTCCGGGTCTTGGGTCTTCAGCTACGGTCCTGGGCGAATGAGAGGCTTTCTCTCGAGTCAATCTTCCACCGTTTTCTTGTTCAGCAATGGTGAATGGTTCATAATTGTCCCTCCCTCCCTTGTTTATTTTGCCTCATGTTACAACGGTGCGGGACTTCTCTGCAGCTGATGACCAGCGTCTAGGGCATTTGATGGGAAACTGTCGTCTCAAACCGCGTTTGTTGAGCTGCTACGTCCAAAACTGCCATATCTTGAGTTACTGTTCCTCAAAACTCCACCCACTATGTAACGACGGCATTGAATGGAATATGTGGCACAGTCGGAATTGAATAGAATTGCAGGTTTTGGACGCGATTCACTCCACGTATGTTCTTCCTGTGCGCGTGTGGAGAGGAGAGATGAGGGGAATGCCTTTCCTCGGATATACCCCGCTTGGTCTAGTTGAGATGTCTCATACGGTCTCGTACAGACTCCTGAGCCTGACAGCTGAACGCAGCCAAGTCTCAGATGGGACTCTTGGGATGCGACTAGTGAACCCTCTTTATCCGATAAACTGGATAATTTCGCCAATGTCATTTCTTACCGTTCCGTCTACCGGGTAGTTGGGTATCCAACGGACATGTGTTCCAAACCTTCCATAAAGAGGAGCTACCCACAACGTCCAACGACCAGAGTACTCGATAAGAACCTAGCGCGAGAATAATTGTAACCAATTGCGGCTTCAATCTAATGATGTCATTATATGCCAAGGCGTTGACCAAGTTGCTTTATATCACACTTTTATTGCACACTAACCATTCCACTTGTAGCAAGTCTCAAGTTGCTCTCTGAGAAGCATGTAGAGTCCTTGCCAAGATGCCCTTGAGCATTCGGCATCACGTTCTAATAACCAATCAAGTGTTTCTTGGTACCCTTCGAGATAACGGATAGTTCTTTCGCGAGTTGGTGGCTGTCTCAGTTGCGACATTAGGCATGCAAACATAGAGTTGCTCTCAGGTGCCGGCAGCGCCGAGACTCCCTCGACAAGGGGGTTTCTCCTAGTTTTGTAGATCAGAAGGCTTTGCATTGTTTGTGATCGCGGCTACATCGACGTTCCGGGCGGACATCACCCCTATATTCGCAGGGTAAGAGTACGGAATGGGGCGCTTTTAGATCCTAGAACAGGATGCTTTGGGAAAATACCTACTTTCCAGTTTTGTCTCAAAAACGATATTTTGCAGATCAGATCTCTTTTGGTATTGTAGATGATCTTGTACACACGGTAGTTGATCTCAGGAAGCCACAGTCAGTGTATTGGGTGCTCTGGAATGTTATTAAGAACGCAATGCAACTACTCCTGCCATCGCTTCTCCCTACCATACAAGCACATCGGCTAATTCTTATATAACACCTTGACCATAAATTCATGGCCCAGACCACGTACCAGTATCTCAATCTATCACTTTCCACTTACTTTGGATATCCCGTCAAGATGGCAACAATTCAGAGCCAGCCCGCTGAGCAACCTCACAAGCACCTGGACAACCGCATCGATGGCGAGTCACCGGACGTCGCTGGAGATTCAGACTTGTTGGCCAACGAGATGTCTAGTCTCAGCATCAATGGCCATGGTCGCCAACGTCGTCTACCTCGCTCCTCGGAGGTGAACCACCATCACTCGCCGCGCGGTGGCAGTCCCACCGGCTCCGCCCGAAGTGCATACACTACCCGTCGTCGTGTGAGCCGTACATCATTCAACGCCGGCGGCTTTTCCTCTGCCTACCGCTCCGAGGTTTCGAAGGAGCTCACATCCCAAGCCGAGGGCGAGTTCTTCGCCCTCACGGAACTCATGGCCAGCATGTCGAGACGAAGTCTCTCCATGAGAGAAGTCTGGAGCAAGATCATCGCCGAGCGTGAGGCAGCCTATGCTGAGATGGACCGCATGTGCGAGCGGTACGAAGAGTTGACGGAAGTCATCGAGCAGAAGGAGAAGGAGCACCACCACAACAACAACAACCAAGAGGAGCGCAAGCAGGATCTCTTGAAGGTCCGTTACGAGCTTACCGCTGCGATCAACAGCGCGTCGGACTTCAAGTTGAAGTTGGCCGAGCGCGACACCGAGTGCAAGGCCCTCCGTCATGAGATTGCCGAGTCCAAGGACGGTCTCACGTACATCCGTAAGGAGCACGAGGAGTTGAAAAAGACATCGGAACAGATGCGCATGACTCTCGTCGCCACTGAGGCTGCCCGCGCTGATCTTGAAGACAAGTACGGCAAATTGCGCGGGGAGCGCGAGGCTCTTGACCTTAAGTACACCGACCTGCAGTCTCGCCATGAGGAAGTCAACAGCCACTTCGAATCCGCCAACAAGGAGCTGGTGCAGTACAGGCAGAGCAACATGACCCTCAAGAAGGAGAAGCACGACTTACTCCACAAGGCGGGCGAGCTTGAGGATTCTCTCCGCAAGGTCGAGCACAGACACGACGAGATCAAGCGCAAGTACAAGGAACTCGAGGAGCTCTACGAGAAGAGGAAGTATGAGGTCAAGGAGCTCCATGAAACTGTCACACGCGTGAGGACCGAAAAGGAGGAATTCGAGCAACTCATTGAGAGACTCAAACGCGAGATTGAGGAGGAGCACGGCCGATGCGAGGACGCCGAGGACCGTTGTGGCAAGTGGAAGCTCAAGTGGGAGCACTCGGAGCGAGAGATCATCTCGGTCCGCGAGGAGATCTCTCGCATTGAGATGACCCAAACTGAGATGCGCGAGACCATCTCCAAGAAGTCCGAAGAGCTACGTGTTCTCGTCATTGAGAAGAAGCGCCTCCAAGAGGAGGGTGAGCGCGCCAGCGGCCGTGCCGACGACAACCACCGCCAGCTACTCTTGGTCCAGGAGACTCTCAGCCACACCGAGTCCCTGCTCAAGAAGACACAGCAGGAGATCCATAGCAAGACCGAGCGCATCGAGCGCCTCGAGCTCGACTACGGCCTTGCCAAGGGCCAGGTCGAGAAGCTGGAAATGGAAATCCACACCCACCAGTCCCTCGTCGCTAACCTCAAGATTGAGGTCGACAGCCTCAACGGCCAGTGCGGCACCCTCAAGGAGAAGTGCCACGACTGGGAGCAGAAGTACGAGGACGTGTACGAGAGCATTACCGAGATCGAGGAGGGCAGCTCCAGCTTCGAGTTCGAGATCTCTGCCATGCGCACCATGCTCCGCGAGACAAGGGAACAGAAGGAGCAGGCCATCACGGCGCGCAACTCGGCGGATCGTGAGCGTGACCAGGCGATTGCGCAGTACGAGGAGAAGTGCCGTGAGTTGGAGAGGCTTGAGGAGAGGATGAGCGCCCAGATGCACGAGATGAGCCAGCGTTCCGGAAGCAAGACTATCACAACGACGCGTTCGTACAAGGGCGGGAGCCACAGAATGGCCAGCCACAGTGGCTCGTCCAGCCCTACGGATGAATCCTGAGGGTGCTTGACGGATCAGGTTTTCTTTGTTTCCCTCTTGTCATTTTTTTTTTGTCTTGGTTAGTTGCTTAGTTATTGGAACGGGAGTTGAATCCTAATAATAATAAGTGCTTTTCCCTTTTCGCAAGTACAACAGTGCCAGGCTTGGGGTGGATGTAAAAGTTTGCGTAGCCATCATCTTAATTAAATGACATTGTTAAACATAGCAAAGCGTTTTGTCTGAAGGTCAGGGTCAGGTCTTGGTCATCATGAGGTCGACTTCAGTGTAGCGCGGGCCTGGCATTATGTTCATTAATATCAAGGCTTTTTACCCGAACAACCCATTATGTCCCGTCGAGTAGCAGCTCCCATTAAGTATTGATTCATTAGTTTCATGCAGTGTTCCGTCTACAAAAGCTATGCTCTTCCTGGGTATCAATCTCTTTTGCCTTTGTCTCCGGTATCGTCTTCGCTACTCGTCAAGGTGGTCTCGCTTGGATTAATCCTGAAGCTGAAGTCCACAACACCAACCAAGCTGCTAATGGAGCGTACTAAGCCCTCCAGATCATCGCACACGAGCGAGCTGCAGACCTGCAGCACGGCAAACTCGGTGTATCCCTGCTGTTCCACATTTCTCACGTCCAGGATGCTTCCGTTTCCGAGCGAGCTCATCATCTCCGCCAGCTCGGGGCTTTCTGAGGACTCGAAGACGCTGGGTGTCTGCCCTGACGGCCGAACCTCGGTCCCGGTCCTGGTGTGTACGGTGACCAGTCTGTGCTCGAGCTCGCTGCCCCGCCGTTGAATGGCTTGATCCGGTGTCGGTCCGCGGAGGTGCAGCAATCTCCGGGTGAGTTCGTTGGGGCGCGGGAGGTGCATAAATGGCGGAAGAGACTGGCCAGAAAGCAGGGAGTTGGACAAGAGGGTGAGGGTGGATAGAATGGTATGTTGCGTTGGCTCGATGCTGGCGAGGACCTGATTCAACGCACGAAGCCACTGTCGGTCGCTCTCCGACGAAGGGGTCGAGGGCAGGTCACGGGGCTTCCACGTGATGGTATAGGAAATCAGCGTGAGGTATCGCATGATACTGGTTGAGCGTCTGATGACGTCCTCGTAGGTTGCCCGCGGGAACTTGCCACCGATATCTGGTTCCCATTTCTGCCATTGGGCGTGGCTATCCAGACTAGGGAGCAGCAACAGAAGCTTGCCCAGGATCCGGCTTCTCTCCTTCTCCATCTTGTGGGCGGGCGTGCCGGGTTTCTTGATATCGCCGTCGGTCTCTTCCATCCTGGCCTTGATCGTTTCGGTTACCACGCTGAAGTAGTTGGCAAGAAGGTACAGTGAGGCGCTCAGGTCGCGTCGGAGCCATCTCCGGTCCGTCATGGGCGCGGGGAAGATGGTCCAGATAAAAGCGACGGCGCAGCCAGCGGCTACACAAGCAAGACGGTAGGGTGCCAGGAGGTAGGTGGGATAGTACGGCTGTCCGGTCGCGGCCGCCGCCGCTTCGCCGATCTTCTGGACCTGCAGCTCATAGCCGATGATGAGGACCTGAGTGATGATGGTGACGAGCCAGACGGGCATGAAACGAGGATACTTCAGAATAAAGTACTGTTCCACAAAAATGAAGAGCCAGAGGATGACGATGACTCCGGCAGTGTGCCCGACGACGATGTACCAGATGATGTAAGAGAAGATGACGGCCACGCATGTTCCGCCAACACGACACACGAAGCCGAAGATGGATTGGCCCGCTGTGATGGTCATCCCGATGGCGATCATGATCATCGCCCAGACCAGCCGCTGTTCGTTGAAGAATGTCTGCGTGCTTTGGAGGAACGCGGTGATGCCGATCGTCATGGTGGCTATGCTCACGCGGAAACCGAACATGGATTCTCCCGATCCCACGAAGCCCGAAAACTGCCTCAGGTAATTGCCAAAGTGCTCCCATGCGGTGCGGGCCGGAAGATGCTCGGGGTCTTTCTTCTTGTTGTATCCATCGCCTGCGTACACGATGTTGGCTCCCATCTCGGCGATGTCGGGTGTCTGTTCTGGTGACGCGTCTTCGGTGCTGCCGATGCCCTTGAACCACTTCTTGATTCGTTTCTGCGAGGGGATGATGAGGCGCTTCCGACCCATCGTGCCGTCGGCAACCTTGGAGTCGGCGAACATGACGAGATCCTGCACCGCCTCGCCGAGGGCAAGCATGAGCTTCTCCATGTACAGCATCACATAAAGCTGCGTCTGGTCGCGCTCCCGCATCCTCGTCTCCAGCCTTTTCAGGTTCAGATCCTGCAGCTCCTGCTCCGTCACATGCCGTCTCTCTCGCAACCAGGCCTTGAGCATCACACCCCTCTTGCCGTTGAAGTCTTGCACCCTCTTGGCGAGCAGCTCTGAGAAGCCGACGTCTCCCGGCTTCGCGTCGGCCTTCGTCCCGGCTTCGTTTTCGACGTCATCGGTCTTGGTCTTCTTCGGCCTCGGCACAAGTTCGAGGACGATAGAGGCGTGGTTGAGCCCCTGGTCCATTGCCTCGACGAGAATCTCGAACGGCTCGCACAGCTGCTCCATGATGTCGTTCCAGACCTTCTTCTCCCGGCTCCTCTCGACCTCAGAATCGCCTCGTGTGCCAGCGTTGGCACCCCATCCGTGTTCCTCAGACGCGCGGCGGAAAATATCGACGATGGTGCTGATCCCGTTCAGAGGGATCATGACGCTCCGCAGACGGTTGTAGATTTCGCCGATATCCTTGGAGTCAAGCTTCCCGTAGGCGATATCCCGCTTGGCAAACAGGATATCGCCGTGCATCTTCCCGAAGAGAGCCGCGATTGCCAAGGTCGTGGCCTTGAGCTCGCCCGCAGCTTTGGCCTCATGGGTGAGTTCCGGGCCTTTGTTCTTTTTCTTCTTGAACACGTTGCTGCCCTTGGTCTGGTGCCGCTCCAACATGTCGGGACTCGACAGCGTCTGAAGATAGTTCAATTGCAGCCGCATCGACTTGCGAACGAGCCCAATCACCCCCTTGAACTCGCCACTCACGACCTGTCGGCTGGAGACAGGAAAGACAAGAAGGGATACGCCTGTGGCGATACCCATGGCGGCGAGCATGGCGACTAGGAGGCGCTTAACGAACGACTCGGCCGCGGCGGTTGTCACCATCAGGGGGCCAAACGTGCAGGCGACGTTCATGAAGATGGAGTAGATCATGACGGGAAGGTTCGTCGCCGGGTACTTGGCTCGCAGCGTGTTGGATATCCAGATGTTGAAGAAGAGCCAGATGCCACAGACTGCCGATTGACTCGAGTTGTAGACGGGTAAACCAGAGGCCAACTCGTCGGCCGAGGCTGTGTTGCGCCTGGCCTGAACACCGGACCACAGCGCCAGCATGGAGATGGCGGCTCCGATGAGGATTCCGGAGACATTGAGGACAAGATTCTGCAGATACTTGCCTCTCGGTAGGATGGCAAAGGCGAGCACTGAAATGATGGCCACAAGGTAGCCTAGCGTGGTGAAATACTGCGCGACAGGTGGTGATTGGTAGATGGCGATGCCGATGATGGGCGGCAATGAGCCCTTGAACATCATGAGAACGGTCGGCACGTCGAGGCCCAGTCTATCCGTAAGCTTTTGCTTCGGGGCCGGCTTCCTCGATGCATGGCTGGCGGCTGTGGCGGACCGTGCTGGGACGCTCTCCGGCTGAGGTTCCGGAGACTCCTCATACCGGTCATCGGCGTCCGGGTCTGCCCTCTGTTCTTCGGATGACATTGCTGTTCAACGGTTCATCGGCCCCCGAGCGATTGGAGTGATTATCTGACCGTGTCGCGCTGTGGTTCGGTCCAACATTCCGTGCGTTAAGAGAGTTGAGACGGCTGGAGGCTGAGTTTTTCTTTCTCATACCTAGGCCGGGAAGGTCGGTTGTTTTTGTCTCTTGGGGCAATGATGTAATTGCGGAGTCCACCGGGTTTGCCGTGGGCTTCATGACTAGCGTAACCGTAGAAAATGCCAAGACAGGTATATATAATGCTGGCAAGGTTTGCGCTAACGCCTTTCGTCTCCCCGGCTCGTTGAACTCATTGGAGAGTTACGGGGGAAATTAAGCAGATCTAAATTAGTTGATGGTCTGATGTGGAAATTCATGCAGAAGCACGGGCCTCTATCCTGGCTATAAACACGAGATGAGCTATATGCGGGAGGTTAAGGGATATGTCAAGACAACGGTGATCAGCCCGATAAACATGTACCATTGGTTTCTTGAGCTGCTGTCTGGTGAGAGAGAGTCACCGAGCCCCCCTGCCAGGGTAAGATGCATCGTCCCTCGACTACCGAAAGGGCGGTCGGTGGGCGATGAGTAAGATCAATGAAACATGAGCGAGTAGGCGAGTAGCAGGTCCTCGTCTCGGAGAAATTGTTGAGCCAAGGTTCAGGCCGTGAGATGGATGGATAGAAATCAAATTACATCCAACAATGCCATATTTCTATGCACCGGCGATTTTATGGGCTTTCAGACATGCTATCCAGTCAGTTGTCAGGTCCCGTATAACAATCCTCGGCGCGCATGCATCTATCATCCCTGCCACACAGCCCTACACGCCAGGCTCTCGGGTCTGATATGGCTGTCAGGTCTGCAAAAACCCATCAAGCATTAGGCAAGCTCATGCGTGCACTGCTCTAGCATATCTCTGCCAGGCGCCCCTGAATAGGAAGCGGCATTCTTGTCGAAAAGAAACCCCGTACGGAGTACTGGGCACCGCCGGGGATCCTTCGCACGCGTTGACTCGGGCATTTACCCTAGGCCGAGCCGCGTTGCGGGATTCGCCACAAAATCCGTGGCGGGATTCGCTACTCGTACAGATTCCGTAGCAGGCCCAGACCGTATAGCATATTGTCATATAGTGCTCCGTAGTACGGAGTAAGGTTCGCAGACTTGGCAGTGGCTGGGGGGGAGGGGGGGAGAAATCGATCAAATCGTCTCATAATTTTGTTCAGCATGCTCGATATCGACCTCCACTATTTCATCAAGGGGATGTGCACGCACGCTGTCGAATGTGCATTGAGTAGTTGCACCGAAAGTTGGCCCACAGGAGGGAGTTTGAGTGTGGCATCCAATGATCACCCGCGCGACAATATGATGAAGTCCATTCCTCTTATCCCTTGGCTTGACCAGTCATCCAATCACTCAAGACAATGCACTTGAACTACAGACCCAGCCTCTCCCGGCAATCTACACATATTCAGTCTTTCGTAGAAGCCTATGTTTCTTGACCACTTCTCGCACATTGCAGTCCCACTGGTGTCCAGCGCTGCATCACCTCACGCCGTGTTTGACCAACGGATCTAGCGCCCTGCACAAAGGGCACACATGTTCTGCAGCGATTGGTAAGTGGTTCTACGCTCGGCCTAGATTGCATTCCGGCCAAAATGCCCAAACTGGTGGTGCATGTTGTTACCTGGGAAACACTGCCAGCACCGGTTTAGTCTATTTCGAGGCACAATGTGATCTCCGCAACGTTGAGTAGGAAATCGGTGCGTAGATTTAGAGATAGAATAGTCGTAAAGGTATCTTCTAAAGATGATGCATTGGAGCGGAATTTCGAATTATTGGGGCTTGGCAAACTGGGCGGAGGACGGACGAAACCTGGCACTCGAGCTTATGCCTTGCGCCAACGCTCATTGAGCCATCACTCAATGAACCTATGCAACCTTTGAAGGTTACGGTGGAATTGATTATCTTCAGCACTAGAAGCAAAATGCAGGGTCGATGATACGCCACATCCAACGCCCTTGAACCCCGTAAAAATCAGCCACGTCAGTCATCTACGTTTCCGTTAGTTAGCTCGCCCTCTTACCACTTCGGTCACTCCCCAGCGCTGAATGGACTCGAAGGTGATTCTTGACCATTGCCCAGGCCTCAGGTAGACTTGCAATATTAAAGGCCGATGGAGGCCAAGCACGGCTGGTCGACGTGCCGTTTGACAAGGAAATTACCGGCATCGCCAAGTACTCCTGACTGCGGGGTAATCCCACGCATCTAGCGGGTTAATATTTCCGTCTTATCCGTTGCAGTTATGTAAAGGAATAGATCGGCAGGCAAGTGTTTGACTCATTTGATGTGGTGTGGAAGAGAGATAGATCGGGCGAGCGAGGAAAGAGAACTGTTCCCTCTTCCCGCTTTCACCGAATGATATCAAACCAAGCACGCAGATGATTTCGAAACACTACCAATGGAGGAAAATAGGTGACTGTTGATTTCTCACGATTGAACCGATTTCCCTGTAAACACGTAGTCCAGAGCACACGTATCTAGTAGACCTGACTATGCTGTTGCTGTGGCCCACTCCAGCGATCCTCGTCAAGTACGCACCGAATGTGTCAGTTGAACGAGAACGAGAACGGAAACGACGGGTTTACAGATTTCGGACATTTCCTTCACCCCCGCACGGCCATTACGCGTTTCTTTTGAAGAGGCGACTTGTGGGCAAAGTGTCAAATTGGATTCCACTCGGTAAGCTTCTTCCGTCTGTCACCACGAGCCGCTGCCAGTCAGAAGGCTCGACACTCATCTTGCAATGTAACAGCGAAAACGAGCGTGATGATATTCACGGAAAACCCTAACGGATAAGGATGGCATGACCTTCATTCCGTGCCAGCCCCCGTATCCGACTGGCAAACAATCCACTTCCCCGCACTCCACGGCCCGGATCTGGGGTTGTCTGGGGTTCCAGTAGCCGGGGTCGTCCAACGGGACCAACCACGTCCTCGCGGTCCGTGTTGTGAAGTTGGAATATATCATGGGCAGGTTCCTTGTTCGTTAAGGTTTGGAAACGAGTCATTGAGACCGAGGCGTCAAGAACCTCCTCCTCGCTTCATCCCCAGTGCAAGGGTTTCCTGCTCTCTTCCTCCCCTTTCGGCCGTTGTCTTGGGCGAAATAAACAAGCTACGCCAAAATGGCTACCTCAAGGCGCTCCATTGACAAGAACGAGGCCGACATCATCGGCCAGGGACGCCTGTCTACGGATGTCCATATTGAAAAGGTGCCCGAAGCCATTGATGTCAATGGCTTTCGTGTGTTTGGTTTGAGCACCGAGGGCGCCGACTTCTACACGAACTATCCGGCGGAGAAGAGAAAGAAGGTCTTCCACAAGGTATGGCCGTTTGGATTGCGTCGAATGCGGCTTGGTGTCTAATCCACCTGTTAGGTTGATATTCGCTTGGTTCCGATGCTTGCTGTTCTTTACTTGATCTGTCACATTGACCGCGCCAACATTGGCAATGCCAAGATCGAAGGAATGGTCGAAGACCTGGGCATGACGGGTGTGCAATATAACACCGTCCTGTCTATATGTGAGTACATCAGCAGACCCCAGACCCTTTCTCCCACGCCATTCATTGAACCTCAAAAGAGCAGATCTGACATGCCGGCGGTACAGTCTTCATTCCATATGTTCTGTTCGAGGTCCCCAGTAACATCTTGCTGAAGAAATTCAAGCGCCCATCCACTTACCTTGGTGGCCTCACTGTTGCATGGGGCATTGTCATGACCTGCACAGGGCTTGTGAGGAGCTATGCAGGCCTGATGGTCACTCGTGTGCTCCTCGGAATATTCGAGTAAGTTTCTGTGATGAACCGCAGCGTCTGGTCATTTGAGAGTAAAGTAGTTGTCCCATTAAGAAACTACGTATGAACCGGAGAAGCGGTAGAGATACCCTTCTCACATGGTCCGTGCAGGTGGTACGCCATGTCTGTGGCGGTGTCCAATAGCACCGGCCACACGAAGCTATTCCAGCTTCTTTTAACAAACTCCCTGCTTCTCCTTCGCTGCTATCACGAGTTCCTCTAATGGCCCACCTGCTTACACCTAAGACTCCCAGGGCTGGCTTCTTCCCCGGCGCCATCTATCTCACCTCCTTCTGGTACGAGCCAAAGGATCTCTCGACTCGCATCTCGTACTTTTACTGCGCAAGCGCCTTGTCCGGTGCCTTCTCCGGTCTCCTCGCCGCGGCCATCGCCGAGATGGATGGTATTGGTGGTCTTGAGGGGTGGAGGTGGCTATTTGTCATCGGTAAGAACCGTCTCTTGGGCGACAGAGCTTGCTGCCAGACTAACAGTAACCCCAGAGGGCCTGGCTACCGTTGTTATCGGATTCGCCAGTTTCTTTCTGCTGATCGACACCCCGTCGCTTTCGACACGCTGGCTCGAACCCGAAGAAATTCGGTACCTGGAGCTCTCGATTTTCATCAAGCAGGGAGGCGGATCCCGCGAAGAGAGCGGGGCCGGAGGACGTGTGAACTGGAAAGACCTCAAGATGATGTTCACCAACTGGAGGATTTACGTGCAGGCCTACTTCTTGTTGTGCCAATCGGCTCTGTCTTATGGCATCAAGTTCACACTTCCAACCATCACCAAGGCCATGGGTTTTGCCACGACTGAGGCCCAGCTCCTCTCGGCACCGCCGTACGTCGCTGCTGCGATATCGGCCGTCTCGTTCGCCAAGGTCTCGGATCGGTTCTTTTGGCGAATGCCGTTCCTGGTCACTCCTCTTGGAATCGTCGCGGTTGCGTACTCCATCATTATCTCGCTCAACGGGGAGCTTGAGGCCAAGAAGGGCGTGGCCTATTTCGCCGTGGTTCTCGCCGTCGTCGGTATCTACCCCATCCAGGCGGCGGCCGCCTCCTGGAACGCGAACAACATCGCCCCGGCCTCCCGGAGGGCCATCGGAATCGCTCTGATGAACTGCGTCGGCAACGTCGGCGGCATTGTGGGGAGTTTCATGTATCTGGAATCCGAGAAGCCCAAGTATCACACCGGGTTCGGTCTCAGCTTGGCGTTCGGTGGCAGTGGACTGATTGTTGCTCTCCTGCTCGAGTGGAGTTATAAGTCGGCGAACGCACGCAAGGCCAAGATAGCCGATGAGGCCAAAGCCAAGTACACCGAGCAGGAGTTGTTCGACATGGGAGACAGGTCCCCGCTGTTTAAGTATGTGCTTTAAATAAAGTACGCCTATCGTTATCTTTGATAGATAGCACACCTGCCGGGCGCCAGAGGGCGTTGGGCTCGCATTGTATGGGTTGTGAGTAATAAGCCGAATTAAAAAGTAGCCTGCACGCAGACTATCATCAATATTTTGAGAGACATGTTCTGCCCGAATCGTTACGCTTTTTCAAACTCTGAGAAGGTTGCTGAGTCAATAAAATTCCGCTTTGGGAAACCAATACCACTTCGAAAGATTACGGATACAAATTTGCGGATTCAAACTTGGCCCTCACCGCCGCGGACCCGAACCCTCCCCTAGGACATCAAATCGGCGGCTTTATATTGATTTATCTTACCAATGTAACACAACGCCCACAAATGCTGATTACTCATAGCCAAGAGACAGATATAACCCCGCCCTCCGTGGAGGCAGCTGCGTCAGTATGTCGTCTGGTTGAATATAAATTCCCACATCCATTTACCAATTGAGAGAAACTTTGACCCCAGTTTCCTCCACCTTGCCAACTACCTACATCGTATATCATAACCAGCTCATTCTAGGGGCTAGAAATAGACTCCACTCTATACGATGGCTCCGCCGATCCTCAATGAGAATCAATTCGCCCACAGCGGCGACAAGACCACCTTCTACTGGTCCGCCGGCCCTTCCCAGGGACCGCTAGTGATCTTTGTCCACGGCTGGCCTGCAAACGGCGAGACATGGACACCTCAACTCCTGGCCCTCGCATCTCTGGGCTTCCGGGTCATTGCGCCGGACACCCGCGGTTACGGACGGTCCAGCGTACCGCAAGGGCCAGGCGCCTACGCCCTGGAGCACCATGTGTCGGATTTGCTAGCGCTCCTGGTTCACCTTGGCCGCGATAAAGCCATCTGGGTCGGTCATGACTGGGGCGCTGGCCTTGTCTGGGGCTTCGCCTCCCACCACCCGGACAAGTGCATCGCGGTGTGCTGCATGGCCGTGCCGTACAACGTACTCGACCCGGAGACTCTTGTCAGCCTCTGCAACCGCGAGCTGTATCCCGAGGCCGAGTTCCCCTACGCGCAGTGGGACTACCAAATCTTCCACAATGAGCAGCCCGAAGCCAGCGCTGCGCAGCTGCGTTACAACGTGCCCAACACCATCAAATGCTTGTATACGCCCGGCGATCCGGGCAAGTATGGCAAGATCGCCTTTACCAGCGCAGTTCGGAAAGACGGCGGTTGGTTTGGCAGCGCCCCCGGTGCGCCAGACGTGCCGTTCGAGGTGACCCTGTTCAAGGAGGACAAGCCTGCCTTTGACCGCATCGTGGCCGAGTTCGAACGGAACGGCTTCGAAGGCCCCAACGATTATTACCGCAACTTCGAGGCTAATAAGGCCTACGACGCGAAGGCGCCCAACGGGCGTCGCCTCCGCTTCCCTGTCCTGTTCATCGAGGCTCAGTGGGACACCATCTGCGAGACGAAGAATTCCAGGCTGAGTGACCCCATGCGGGAGCTGTGCGAGGATCTTACCGAGGTGAGCATCCAGGCGGGACACTGGGTTGCCATGGAGAAGCCGGAGGAGACAAACGCGGCAATTATTAGGTGGATCGCCACGAAGGTGCCCACTTACTTTCCCGGGTACTGGAAGACGCCTTTTGTGTCTCGTGTATGATATGAAGGTTTCAGGAGCAGAATCTCTAAACCGCGCAACTTACATAGAGAATGTTGTTCTGAAATACCGCCGCATGCTCAGTCATTCTCAGCTAGTGATATCGGCGTGCGCTGCCTGAACCTTCCATCGACAACAGCCGTGCTGGTGGGCGTAAGATGATGCATGCCGTCGATCTTCTCCGCTGATCTTGGGGCTATAATTCCCTAGCGCAAGGCGCTAGCAAAACTACCAGTACACGCGTATGTTTCTGTTTTGCATAAGGACTAATCATGAAATAGGGAGTCGAGCCTCAATTAGGCACCTGGCAGGACGGGTGGCGGTCTAGTTGTCCTTATAATGGGAGATATTTCCTCTCAAGCCCCAGTCCACCTGTCTGTCTGCCTCTGTGGATACTCTTGGAGATGAAAGGGTCAAGGTTTCTTATTGAATTGTCATCGTAGGTGGTGTTTCGACGGAGCCCACCCGTTGTCCAGGGATGATCTTCATCTAATCTCGGTTGCTTGGGATCAATCTTCAATCACAACTCTAGCCTTGAGTCGGATTTTTAACCTTAATAGGGGCATGAACCCGTCCAACGTAAACAACAGTAGTCTCTGACTTGTCTTTTCTTGTTTGGTGCTGTATGTGTTTTACACGTCGCAACTCGTGACTTTGATGTCTAACCCACGACCAACGCACATCAACACCGACGCCTTTGAGCCGGTGTATGATAGACATAGATGGTAGCGTCGCAGTCACAAAGGAGCTGGGAGCTTGACGACCAGCCCATGTCACTCAACTTGGGGCAGTATCAGCAGGACATTGCGTCCAAAGATCCAACGCAACATACAGAGTCGACCGTCCGGTGGCCATTTCACGATGCCGACGATGACAAACAGCCTCCAACCCCTGCCCGGCCACCGCAGGAGGAATTTTCATACCAGTATCAACCCCCCATGCATGAGACGCCAGAACCGGGCCGAGACCGCCTCCGCTACATTCTCAGCTACTGGGGTCTCGAGATCTTCACAGTCTTCATGGCTTTCTGTCTCCTCGCTGCCATCATCGCGCTCCTTGCGTATTACGATGGCCACTACATGCCGGAGTGGCCGTTCGAGATCAACCTCAACTCCGCCATCGCACTCCTCTCGACCTTCTTACGGGCCGCCATCGTTGCTGCCGTTGCCGAGATCATCGGTCAAATCAAGTGGACTTGGTTCACCGAGCAAAGCCGCCCTCTGCAGCAGCTCCAGGATTTCGATGGGGCGAGTCGGTCTGTTCTCGGATCTATACATCTCCTGGCGACGTTGGTATGGAGTCTAGGCTTCACGTCCGCCGGCCTCCTCGCCATCGGCGCCGCATTGGTTACTATCGCCAGTCTGACCGTTGGCCCCGTCACACAACAGGCAGTCCGCACAACTCCCTGCTCCATGCTGTGGGATCACGCGCCCGCCACCATGCCTGCCGCTCACTACGTGCCCGGGTCATCAGCGTACTACCGGGTCGGCGCGGGCATGTACCAACCGGAGGTGGACATGAAGAGCGCCATGATCAAAGGCATAACAGACCCGGGCAGCCAGGATAACCAAGTCACAGTCGGCTGCCTCAGCGGGAACTGCACCTGGCCCGACTGGGGCACAGGTGTTACTCATTCGAGCATCGGCATGTGCAGCAGTTGCCTTGACACGACGAAATTCGTCAGCCCGCCCGACCGCGAGGGAAATCTAACGTTGCCAGACCAAGATTCATACATCAACATCCTGGGGGGTAACTACATGTGGATAGGCTACAGTAACCTGTCCGCGTACAATGAGCTATTCACCGAAGAATTCTCTGCGGGGGCTTTCGTCTCGATGGCTAATTTCAGCATGTTAATGGTATCGCAAGCGCCTTGTACTTCGGATAACTCGACCGGAATACCCAAGCTGCACTGTCCGCACCGGCTGTCGCAGGACACCAACAGCTATTTCGACGGACTTGGGGACTACATTGCCGCTTCGTGCATCTTGTACCCGTGCCTGAAAGAGTTCAATGGCTCGTACGATGGCAACGTGCTGAAAGAGAAGCTTGTTCGCACCACCCCGGCGGTATTCGACGATGCCGAGCAGAGTTTGGAGGGCGGGAATCGCTTCTCGGGCATCGGCAACTACACGGCCATCCAGAGCCCGTGTGTGCTTGATGACGGCACCTGGTACGATATCAACAATCAGAGCAAGGCCGAACACGTTCCGGGCCGCACATGGACTAATGTCAGCTTGCCGGACAGCGGCGGCATGGTCGCAAGCCTGCCCAATGCGTGCCTTTACAAAATGGACGGGATATTTTTTCGGGCCATGGCCAGATTTCTCAGTCAAGAACTACTGAGCGCATCCTGCAAATACGACTCCATGCAGAGCGGCCACCTCAACTGCTTCAGCTCCTGGTGGCTCACACCGTTATGGGCTGACATGAACGCGACGGTGTCGAGCGTGACAAAGGCCATCGACAGCTTCGCGTGGGCCGTAACTAACAAGTTCCGCATGACAGGACTCGGCCCGGACGTTCCGGAATCAGCTGGCGCCCTCACCCCCCGGGACGCCGTGGTCTTGGGCGATGTCTTGGCCAGCACCACGTGCACCTACTTTGACCAAAAGTACATGGTTCTGCCTACGGTTCTGGTGGTCATCTGCGCGGGTCTGCTCGCCTGGGTCATCCTCATTAACTACTACGACCCCGAACAACCCGTCTGGAAGGGCAGCGTCCTTCCGCTACTGTTTTTCGGCCTGCACTACAGCACAGACCCGGGCACACCGGGCACACCGGGCTTGGGAACGGGATCAGGCGCCGCCGGTGCGGGCGGAACGACAGGTATCGGCGGTGGTGGATCCAAAGACAGTGAGCGGTTGGCAAGGAACATGACGTTCTTTGGCAAGAGTAGACGCACAGCGCCAGAGCTTTATCGTATCCAACGGGAGTCGGGACGAATGTGGGTACGGTTCAAAGGCGGGATGGACCCGGGGTTCCTAGAGCTAGGGACGAAGCGAAGCGATCCGGACGCCGCCAGTGCAAGGTTATTACGAGAGTCCAGGACCGGAAGGGACATGATTGTAAGCACTACAGCGAGATAATGTGTATATGATAATGTGTAGATCTTTTTGAGTTGTCACCAAGCCTTGATATAACTGAGATCCCTTCTAAGCGATACTCATCAGGGGACCCCAATCCTCTTTGATATCCCGTCTTTGGTCGTGATCAAACGTCCAATATGCCTGTCTGGATGAAGAATGAAACCCAGCATCGTTCCAGCTCAGTGTAGATTATTTTGAAGACATGCAATGGTATGACGGCTATTGCTATTGCCTGGTCACCTGGCGAAGATGGTGTAGAAGACTAGAGAAGCATTGGGAGCACTTTTCACTATAGTACATCCGCGCCAGACGGGATGCAATTTCTGGGAACACTAAATTCTCCCAGTTATGCTTACTAGCCACGAGACCTATCATTTGAGAAGATGATGTCTGCCCCATGCCTTAACGTGTGACTTGATGTGTAGTATTAGACCACACATGGACTCAATTGCTAACCCAATATGCAGCTGTTGAACACACGCACCAGTCCAACAGCCTTCAATTCCGGAAGAAGTAGATTCATACAAGCCACGTCAGCTATGCATGCCTAACACTACTGACTTCAAGTGTTGATTCCATAGAGTACTGCTCCACTCTTCACCCACGACTTAAGCAAACTGGAGAATATAAGAAGCCGAGTCATAAGGCGATTAGTATGCCTAGGAAATAGCATGATAAAGGGAGGGCGAGTAAGACATGAGGCCATGTTACACTTGTTCCTCTCACCATTATCCCGTTTAGTGACGTACGCTTCTTAGAGGCACAACCCTCTGCCAAGTGGTAGACTTGTGGCACTGATGTCAACGTCTATCGCTATGAGACAACCATGCCTTCAGTCGATGAATAGAACCACTTGTTTGGACTGTAACGAACCAACTTTAAGCCATGTCATTGTTTAGTGGCACTTAAAACAGTGAACGCCAGTGTTATCATGATTGACGGGAGCTAGCGGGGTGTAGGAGATTGACGATGGAAGTGTTGGTGAGCGATAGTGCCTGAAACAACTTCAACCTAGAGCAAAGGGCAAGTGAAACATCAACCGCATTTTTGCATGTCCCAAAGCAGGGAACTAATCCCAACCCGCTTTCCAAGCCAGCAGGCAGATGCCAAAGGCCCGCTTGGAACTGTGCTAAGCTACATGTAGGCGAAATGTGTCTCGGGAACCGTTACAAGCATTACGGGAATCCAATCGACTGCATTTCTCGTTAAATGACGGCATTACGGTACTCATCGTTATCTATGAACCAGCGAAACATTCTTAGTGATCGATTTTCAGAAGTTTGGGCCAGTTTAGAAAGAAATCAGCATCTTGGCACTCGGAAAGAGACCGGTTGTCAACTTCAAGCCGTTTCCGGGAGACGTCCTCTACTCTGAACTATTACTCTCGTAAGTTTCATTACATGGTCTTATATGGAGGCGAAGCCATGGAGATGCAGGAACGATATCTGTACGGTCAGTCTTTGTAATATTGGAGGTATCATACCTTGCATCGTGGATGATTGCTGAACCGTGTTCCTCAACATTATCAACATACAAATTTCAAACTCGGTAACTCATTCGATTACACTTCAAAATGACGTCAACCTAACATCAAGCGTTACAAGAACTGCGGACGTCCAAGTAAAAGGACAAAAAGCCCTGGAGCACAGCTGCTGATACCATTCTCAGAGGACTTGCGGCTCAACACTTCCTTGCCCCGGACCTACTATTAAGCCGGTCATGTCCATGATCGAGCGGTGCCTGAACGATCTCTGTGCCGGTATTTTATACTGCGCGTAATTTCAACCTGAACACAATGGCATGAAGTCAAGCTCATGGATACGTCTGTTAAACCTCGACCCAAGTCTCTATTCCGACTGCCACCGTGCGCCACGAAACCGGAGATGAGGTTGCGAGTATCATCAAGCGTGCTCCGAATCACCATGTCAAAAGAGACAGGTGTCTCGGCTTCCCGCCACGAGAGAGTACCATCGCAGTCTAAACATGGCAGGTAGAATCAAGTGCAAGGGCCTTGACTGCACCCGTAATGGCCTGTTGTCCAAGACGGATGTTGTTGCCGTCCGTGTCCAAGGAGTTTGAGAAATGGCGTAAGGCCGCCAATGCATGATTTATCAAGTTCCAAGCGGTCGGTGTCGCCATCTCGGCGATGCCCGCCGCTAGCACAGCATTCAGTCTCCGAGACAAGGTCATGCGTTATTACCAGTCTTGCTCGGCCAACACTTCAAAGGCGGCCAAAAATCTCCTGGATACCTTCCAAGAGACGCTGTTGAAACAGCGCGCCCAGGACTTCTCGGGCGTATCCAGGTTTCGCAGACCAAGACCTCAGAGACGCGAAGTGCTCGTACTGGAGACCCAATCTTCCTGCCCTACAAGAGTTCGAGGCCGTGTAAGGTCCGGAAAGCATCTTCCACAACACTCAAAGCGGTGTTTCAGGAGATTATTGAACCAGAATACGGTGTGCCTATAACCGCTATCCTAGTCCAAGTGGTGAATGCCATTTTGGTACGCGTATCGTATGATACCCGGGGGCGCATTCTGGAATGAATCGTGGGCCTGGCGGTTGTGAACTGCCGAGTTTGTGGTTTGGAGATAGAATTGAACATCGTACGAACTTGGCTTCATGACTATGACAATGGGACTGTAAATTCACAACTGCCGAAAGGTATTTGTTTCAATCGCTCTCTCGCCTCATTGGGCGGTGCTTTGGTGAGGCTCGACACACATCCCACTCGGCGATCATCAGCAATGTAAGGGTTCCCACTGGTGACAGGCTAAAGTTGAGTCTCCTACTCGAGCAATCCTTCATGTTTGACATTAAAAGCTACCGGCAGAGCGCCGATCGATTGTGACCCTGTCACTGACAGAACAGCCTCGAGTGACGAGACAACCGGCTCAACCGATTGGGATTCTGGCATTGGCGCAATCTCGTACCTGCTCATCGCCAACGCCACTGACAGGCGATGCCAACGACGGGTGTCGATTCTTGCGTGAATGCAGACTGAGATAGAGCATGAAGGCACCGCACCGACTTTGCGGAAAAACGCAGCTAGGGAGGGGGCAGGGCCTACACTACTCTAAACGAACCATCACATACAACATGGCAGTTTGAAAGGTCCGGCTGGGGCCTGGCCAAGCGCGGGTCGAGGTCCCCCCCATGCTCCATGATGGCGAAAGCGATCTTGCATTAGCTGTGGCAGGCAGTCCGAGCGCCAACAATGGCAAGACGAATCCAGTACCAGACGGATATTAACTCACAGAGTAGTGTGCACGCTAAATCACCCGGAGTAACTCATTTGACGGAAACGGGCACATTTAGAAGGGGGGGGGGAGGGCAAGGGGTTACGCCCATCTCTCGCGACTAAAAAAGCGTGGCCAGTAAGAGCCGGCACGCCAGGCGAGGATATCGAATGCCAATTGAGGTGCTACCCGCACAGGGGACGGAGGGTCTGACGTCCCGGCCCCCTTGCGATATGCGGCGCGAGGTCCAGACTAGCACATTGACGTCCTAGTGGTTGCTTGCGCGCCCACACGGGATGGGTGTAACGGGGGCGGCAGGCGAGCTGTGACGGCGGGAAGGGGGACTAAGAGAAATGAGACGAAATAGAAGTGAAACCGGCCTGTTGTTGTTCTCCATCGTCTGGTTCGAGTGAGTGGCCCGAAGAAGATGGGATTTTGACAAATATCCCGCGCGATGCGTGCCGGTGATTGGCCCGGCGGCCCAGCGAGTAGCGCCGAAATGAGCCGTCCTCTCTCCGCCGCACTGAGCTGGACTGCGGCCATGCTATTTCTGCACGTATATCCGTATATCTCCAAGCCTAATCGCAGGGTGCCCTTTTTGTTTGGGCTGGGCTTCCCACGGACTGCGGGGGAGGTTTCCAATATCGAACGAGCCCCCCCTCTCCATTTGGTGCTTCAAAGAAACCTCCCCTGTTATCCTGCATGTGTGGGACTCGAGGCAGAGACACCCGATGCGCTGTACGGATAGTGACTGTTGGGTATCTGCCGTCTTCAAAGGCATTGTTTCAAGCTATGGAGTCGCGACTCAGACGAGCGCCTCCAAGCCACCAGTGCGCCCCCCCTACCCCCCTTACCCCCCACCCCCCAGTCACCCTGTCACTGAGCTTCGCTTCCGCACACATGCGCGCAAAGGACGTCCTAACTCTGGTTCGGGGTAAATGGGAAGTGGGCACGCGAGTGGGAGGGGGGCGGTGTTCGACGAGGAGCCCAGACTCCGATCCTATCCACCGCCAAAAGAAAACAATATGCAGGGCTGGCAGATGTGACGAAGAGGGTAGTGCAGTTGCGGTGAAGAGAGGGCTCATTACGGAACCCGGAGCGTCGGGGGTACACTGAGAGAGAGAAAGAGAGAGAAAGAGAGAGAGAGAGAGAGAGAGAGAGAGAGAGAGAGAGAGAGAGAGAGAGAGAGAGAGATCTGTGGTTTTGGCAGCCCGTATGGGGAGGTATGCGCCGCTCCTAGGCCGGTTTGGGCTGCTCTCCACGCCGGCTGTGAACTGTCAATTGCCTGATTTGATCAGTTGGGGTCCGCTTAGTGACGGCGTCTCGTGGTACGGCGGCGAATTTGGCGGCTCTAAAGCTCCATGCTCCACGCTCCATGCAGCCACTCCCGGTGTACGTTATCATTCACGGTGAAGCGATTCCTTCATGGGAACGTTGCTTGCTTGGAGATGTAGCATCATGACGTCCCTGCTTACCTGTCGTTGGCTGCTGAAGGGGGGGGGGCCGGTCTGGAGGGCCATCGGCTTGTATGTGTGAATTGTGAGACAAAAGGATGAGCTTACCTGTATGCTTGTTTCTGTGTCTCGCTAAAGCAGACCAAGCCCAAGAACAGATAATGTAGCCGCCCGTCGGCTGCACGGTATGGGAGGATGAGCGGTTGAGAGGCGTTGGGCCCCCCGTGGCGCATTTGCTGGCGGCGGCCGCGATTCTCTCCGCTCTCTCCCCCTTGGCATGAAGTACTCGATACTTGTCCCGTCGGTGGG